TTGACTCTTCCACGAGGAAAGAAAGTCTGAAAAAAACAAGAGGAAAAGGAGATCTAATCCAGGGTGATTCGCAAAGAGGTCGAGTTGAGAGTCTTAATTAGAGCACACTGAAAATGGTGAAGGAGTATTCTACGAATTGCATTTTAGGATATCGACCTTTGATTTAGCAAAGATGCACGTGAGTTATTAAGTATTCTTTAATGGAAAAAATATTATAACTTAACTAATTTTAATTATTCTCTGTAGAATACAGAGAAAAAAAAATTCGATTTTTTTTTACTGCAAAGGAAGAAACCGATATAAGTAAGGGTATAGTTTAAACCAGCGGCAAATCTTCCTTCGGCGGAACCCCAACTTTATAAATAAAGAAAATAAAGTCAGTTGCGAACATATTTACCAATAAAAGATTTTATTTTAAAAACACCTAATAAGAGGAATAATCTTAAGTCGGTTTTTATGTCTGACTATTGAAATATAGTTAAAATTTGTTTTTGGTGTAAAGTATGCTTGTAGCTGAAACTGAATAAAACAAGCAGAAATATGGTTTTCTTTAAAATAAAAAAACTAAAACGAGCTGCTTAAAACGTTGAAAATTGTTATTAGGGAAGCATAGAAAGACCTTTTGGTCTTAAAAACTAAAAATTGGAAAACATTAGAAAAAAAAAGGTTAGCCTGAAAAAAAACTTCTTGAGAAGGCCAATGCCCACCCTGGAGTGTCGAGCCATTGATGATGATGATGAAGCATATTTCTTTATTAACAAATTTGACAATTTTATTTTCATTTAAAAAGCTTACTGGGAAATAATAATGAAAGTCTTATAAATGTGTAATATTTTAATAATTTATGAAATACATTGTAATTAGAAAATTCATACTTATTAAAAAAATCATTATTTTCCTTTTCAATAGCATTTTACCTTAAATAATTTCTTAAGGGCAATAAAAATATGAAATAAAAAATGAACTGTTGATTGGATCTAACAGTAATTTTATTTTATTTTATGACCGCCGTTGAACCCAGGACTAACAGTAATTAAAGGTTCCAAATGTTATGGGTTAAAACAAATGTTGTAACCCTCAAAACCTTTGACTTTTCTACGGAATACTATTTGTGAACGACCGATGTTTTAAACGACAAAATGAACCGCCCTAAGAAATCTATCTGATCAGATCCTGTCGATTGGACACTCGGAAATTTATTTGCTTTCTTGTCCCTGTCCACAGGTAGGTACTTTATTTACGTCACACTAGAGCTGCACAATGGGCCAATGGCTATTGTCGCCATCCCTGAGAATGATCCGAAGACATCCTCTGCAGAATGGATGGCTTCCCTGCTTTGGTAGGCCGAAGACAAGAGCGCGAAGTCGCGCACTTTACGGTAGAACAGTTTAACGAGGACCTATACCTATCACCCTCAATCCCTACGCAGGCTGATCAAAGTGATCACCCACCCGCTTACTGACCACAGCCAGTGATGCTTGAATTCGGTGTTCTACTGGGAACCGTGTCTTAACGATCAGTTCACAGATTAGGCAATTAAATAAAAAGAAGCTACAACTTCTTACTAAATTGCGACATATTTGCACAAAAATAATCATTACTGACTTAAAAAACGGTAAGACCACCAACTACCACGATTGTTTCGAAATTTGTTTCTTGTTGAGAAACAGATGGTTACATCAAAATTAAAAATCAAGATCTCAATATTTTTATTGTGTTAACACAGATATGTTTTTCAATTCTAACCTAACACTTTTGCTCAGTTCTCATTATAATTTCCATCCCAAAACATATTTTTTAAAATTTTTGGTTACCGTAAAAACTTGTTACATATTTTCCATAAAAAAAACTAGTTAATTTTTAACTTTGCTTTAGGTTTTTAAGTAGTTATTTTGTAATTATTTTAATGGCATCGAACAGAGTGTTATCTGAAATTTTTTTATGAAAGTAAATAAAACTTATTACTGTTCAACAATAAGAAAAAAACTGTAATTAAATATCTTTATCATGAAATATTGATTAAAGTAATATCATGCGATTACTTTATAATTAAAGAATACTTCTTGGTTTAAATCTTTAAGTCATAATCAACATACAAAACGCATAAGTATCAGAGAATAATATTAAAAAACGATGATCAAGAAATATTACTGGTAAATACTGCTGAATAAGGAAAAATAAATAATTTATAGTGAAATACCGTCAAAAGTTTTATAAATTTTATGCTGATAGTCAAAGATATTTGCATCATCTTTGTTTTATTTTGAAAATATGTGACTTTAGTGTCCACATTATGATGGCAATTATCTTTTAATGATTTACAAAGATAGCAGTAGGCATGCAACTACTACTACAAAGCGCAAACAGAAGAAAAAATTAGCCGGGAGTTGAAATAAATAACTCTCGACTTTTTTCCTCAAAAAATGAAGCAGTTCAAATTATTTAGTCAGAAATAAGGTTGGACATTAGCATTGTAAGATATATTAATTTGTGCATAATTTTAAACTATGTATTGTTAAGTAACTAAGTTTGATTAAAATAGATCAGTTCCTAAAAAAATCTTCAAAATATTAATATTCCAACATTTTAAAACTTTATTTTTTGAGAACTTGAATTTCGTTCCCATTAGATTAAGAAAAGTTTTTATACATCTGAGTACAAAAATGCTTATATTATTATTAAATAGTAAAAATTAAAATTTTTTCTCTCTGGAATCGTTTAAAAAAAGAGAAATATTTTTATATTCGCTTTAATAGTTCTCAAGATTTAAAAAAATGCCCTAGGAGTAAAATAATGGCTAATTTCCTAGATTAAACTATTGGGATCGTATTTTACTAACAGCTATCATACTTAGTAGTACAGCTATCATACTTAGTAGTAGAGTAAAAATTACAAAAAAATTCATAAAAAGAAAAAAGCTTAATCTAGACTACGTTCGATATTAAAATATTGCTTGCATTAACTATTAAACATTTTTAAAGTTTTCTTTACATTTAGAACATTAAGATCACACCTTAGTAAGTGAAAATCTGTTCATTAGATCAAAAGATATCTGTGTTCAAATTTTTACTTTTTTGCACTGCTCTTCAAAATTAAGACAAAAGATTAAGAAACACTATATCACTCATAAAAATAGATATTTATTTCTTAAACTTACATAAAATTTTTTCAGTGTCAACACATAGTATCACATTACAACTTACTTTAAGTATTGGTATATACTTATACCTTAGAATAGATAACAAGGTTACCAATTTTTTAAAAAACTAACTCATAAGTTAATGCATTTAAAATTAACAAATAGGAAAGCAATTAGTCAAAAAACTCTGTAATGCAGGGTATTTTGAAATCACTGTACTAAATATATATTTATATACTCAATTTACGATCTTTAGTACGATCCCCATCACAGCGATCATTTTATAAAGTCCCCCTTGTTTTGCATAGACGCAATGTTACTTTGATGTTAAATAGAACATCTGCATTGAACCGTTCATTTTAATATAGCGACCGAATTAAATCATATTACTGAGAAAAAGTTTCAAAGAAATTAATTCAACCATTATTTCCTAAGTTATCTTTCAATATTGTTATTTATCAAACCAGCATAATATTTTTAATCATCTTTCACTTAAGAAGTATTATTTTAAAAGATACTTTTACATATTAACAGAGAAATAAAAGTTGCATTAATACAATTATTTTTTGTTTCTTACCTAATTTTTATAGTTGTAGAGAATTTTCTTTTGTAAAATTAGTCAAGTATTTTTATGCTACGAGTTAATATTTATGGTATTATTATTCGGCAGATACGTTATAACATCCATTTGCACCCTGACCACCACGCAGGTCGTTATATCGAGAGTCGACTGTATATATATTTAGAATCTTCGTCAAAAATGAATTAAAAAAGTAATTACAAAAGGGGTTGCAGGTTTTTAAAATAGATGAAGAAAAAAAAATGAAGAAGAAGATGATGAAAGAGATTTTGATGAAGAAGATGAAAGAGATCTAAACAAGTTTGAATGCGGAAAAAAACTTGAAGGTCATTCTAATAATTGTCTTTTACCTCTTCTCAATTTCTCTGGGCAATCAAATAGGTTTCAATGTTTTGAATCTGGTCTACCTCAATTGCGGTTCGTCAGATTTTGATGACTTTTTTTGCATTTCCCTTCTTTAAATTTTGTAATTGCAAAATTGTTTTGACAAGGATTCTAAAAATATATATTAAGGAAGGTGATTATGAAATACCCTGCATATTAAGAAGCACAGTAAACTTGAGACCTGCTAAGTACAAACTCATACTTAAGTTCAGCCAACCTTCTAGACAGACGTTAGGTTTTAAGAGGGTTCAAATTTTAATTCATAGTTATACATATTTTTGCAGAAAACTTTTTGATTTTAAAGCATGTTTGCAGAACAAATCTTTGTAATTAATAAATTTTTTTATTACAACACAAAAAATAAAAAGGAATTATATATATTTATGTTTCAGAATCTATTAATATTTTCCTACCTCAAAAATCAACAGATTTAAAATGTAATTATTAAATATGTCTCATAATTTTTATTTAATTTATAAAAGTATATATTTAGTAATGGAATTTTATAGAAAGTAAGACATAAAATATTGCTAAATTAAATTTTCTTTTATAAGGAAATGATTTTTACTCGCTAATTAAATTTGAACTTTAATTCTCCTGTGGTTACAGTCTAAAATAAATTTCAGAAAGGAAAAATGTTGATTCAACAGCTAAAAGTTAAATTAGTTAAAAGTCATATTCATATCTATGCCATTTTATTTCTAAAATTTAAAAATAAAAAAGTCAGAATGGTGTGATATAGAAGACAACTTTTTCTATTATTGGTTTAAGGTAAGAGAAACTCAGTTTTTACAAATAAATCTCAAATTATTAATAAAATAAGATATGGTAAATAAGTTCTTGTTATAAAAGTTATTTTTCTGATTTAGAGTAAGAAATAGAACGAACAAAGTTTAAAAAAAAATCTTTTAGTACTTAGGAATTATAAATAGTAATTGTAGCACAAAACACAAAAGCATTTGAAAATACTTCAATACTAAAACTGTGACCAATAATCCATATGCATAATATTTTTGTTTTTGATAATTTATATGACTATATTCATTACAGTGAAAGAATTGCCTTACAAGAATTACATAATATCATTTATCAATAAAAAATGCATCATATAATACATAGCAAACTTTAGCAAAAAATCTAGTTCATAAAATGTAAACTGCAAATACAACCTTCAAGTTTTACTTTTTACAAAGAACAACTTTATCTAAAATTTGAATCTAATTCTCTTCCTTCTCATTAAATGAATAAAAAATTTTGATTCCACTTTAGTAAATTTTATTGCACAGCCTATATTTTGCAGAGAAAATATTCATGAAAGATTCAATCCTAAGAGTATAACTAATATATGTAATCCATAAAAGTTATTACAATTGTTTTCATGAAACTAATTTTTTAAGTTACATGGTATTAGTTTTTAACACGTATGAGTATGCCATACTATAAAAAACATCTAGTTCATAAAATTTAACTTCTTTATGATAAACATTGGTAAACTTTTAATTTTAACAAACACTACTTTTAGAAGTTATAGAATTTAATCACAAACATATATTTACTTCTAGTAATAGATAAATATAAAAATTTAGATCGCACTTAGTGATTTTCATTATCATAGCATGTATTGTGATAAAAAAATTATTAATAAAAAAACATTACTAAATGGGCAAACAAATTATAACTATCACAGATAAGATTTTGGGCAAAGAATTATTTTATGATTTATTTGAACTGAACATGAAATAATTCCAATTAATCATTTAAAACTCATATAATCGACTTTTGTAAAATCAGTCTCATTCAGAATGTTTTACAGGATTTCAATTGTAAACTGAAAAGAAAGAAGGAAATGAAAGTAGAGTCTAATAGTATAAAAATCAGAAATGGATATACTAAAAATAAATATTACTCATAGAGTTATAAAATCAGACCGCACTGTAAAATAGGTATGATGGAAAAAAATAAAAAGAAAAATGAGAAATTAAAAAAAAATTAAAAGAGGAAAGAATGCAAGGGTGCCTCAAAACTATAAATTCTGAGTTTGACTGAAGTAGATGAAAAAATAAAGCTGATATTTAAATACAAATAAAAAAATTAGAGAAAACGAGGCACTGTATATTTACTTCCCCCCCCCCCAAGAAAAAAAAAGATCTCAACATAGAGCATACTATTTGCATATACTTAATTTAAAAAAATGATATGGTTAGATATAAAACAAATAAAAAATAAGGTTTGACATTTTTTTTTCAAACACAAAACTGGGCACACAAAAGACAATACAAAACTGAAGAAGGAAATCCAACTTTTTTAACTTTTTGCACATTGAAAAACTGTGTATTCTTTTTATCATTGCAAGAAGAAAACTGCATAGTTTTAAATTAAAACATCTTAAACATCATTGCTTTCAATTCCCACTTTAACAAACAATAATACTATTTTTTGCAACAGGAAAAAATCATATGTAACAATATAATAAATAGATGCAAATGTTGTGTTATTTAACATTAAAAAAACTTTTTACAGGTATGAAATTTAAGATAATTATAATCTCTATGATATTTCAAAAAGTGTATTTAAAAAATATAGTAATTTTCAATTTGATGAAGACATAATAAAAAGGAAGAAAATTCACTGAGATTATAGTTTATGAAGAGAGTGAATTAGTTTAGTTCTATAACATAATCGATAATAATGAAGCACAGCTAGCATAATAAGTGACTAATTTGTACTTTTGTAAAATGTATAAGCACTTGAAAAATGATAAACATGCTGCAACAAGTTAAAAGCTTTGCATGTAATAAAAAGCAAGAACATTTTATAGATACATAAAAATAATTTTTTTACAATAAAAAATAATCTCTATACCGATTAAAAAGAATATTTAAAATTTTTATGCAGATTCAATAAACATGCGTAAAAATTAAGATCAACAAAATAATCTCTTGTATATTTTTGTTTTGATATAAGTTTTAGTAACTAAAAATGAAATTTTAATGCACTTGAGAGAAAAGAAAATGAAACAGTTGCAATTTTGTATTGCTAATTTCAGAGATACTAAAGTATTATAAAGTTTCTTTCTGATAAAAAATAATAGTAACCTTCACATAACCTGTGATAATCTTCACATAAATGCACAAATCCAAAAATGTTACTTCATATAACAAAATAAGATCTTTTCATTATTTTTTTTATATATTATTTCACATTAATAAAAATTTGTGCTTTAAAAAGTAATTTTTTAAATATAAAAAAAGTAATACATTGAAACATAGAAATTGAAACTAAAAATAATTATAACCAATTATGTTTAAAAAAATTTTAAAAATTAATCAATCTAATTCTTTGCACATTTAATTATTAAAAAAAAGCCATTTGTTTTCTGACACACTCATTGTTATAGATATAAAACTTAAATTAGCTCAAGTTAATTAAATTTATGCAAAATTTTAGCTAAAAACACACGAAATACTACAGATTTAAAAACATTAGTTTTTCAAAAGGTGAATTCTTTTTTATTTCATTTTTTGTGAAAATAAAAATGAGATTTTGTAGATTAAACATTTTACAATAAAAAAACTACACAAGCACACTATTTGATGTAGCTCTTGAACTAAACAAAAAAGTGAAAAATTCAAATAATACAAGTGTAGAGAAACTTTGCAGTAGAGTAAATAAACTTTCAAAATAGCTAAAAGTGGATAACAGGAGATTGAGATTGGAGTTATTTCTTCGACATATTTCCGTGAGGACTAAACTAAAATCACAAGAAAAAAATTATTAATAAAAAATAATAAAAGTTGCAGATATGCATTAATTTTTTTATAATGATTAAATCAGTAATGATAAGGAAGTAACATAGTCAAAATATTATTTAAAAAAGGTTAACTGTATGAAAATTTTGTGAAGATAGTCTTATAACCCTAAAACAATTAATAAGTAACTAACGATGTACACACCAAAAGTAAAGAATTTTATATTATGATTTTCTTTCTAGAACACATTAACTGATTAAAAAGAGCTGCCAAAATGAGAAAAAAAATCCACCAGTTTATGCAAAGTATTGTGCAATTAATAAAACACTCTATACAAGGGAGATTTTTCTACAATCAATAAAGCGGAAAAAAAAACTATATTATCCTGGTGACAACAATTTTACATTGACTACAATAATTTTTTTTACTGTAAAACTAAAAAAAAAAAGATCTCATATAATTTTTATTGTATTCTTAAATTTCTAATGTTGGATAGTAAAGGTTATTAAATTTTTTATGAATAGTCGTTATATCCATAAAGAATATATATAATAAGCAACATATATTTAAAATAATATAGGGGTACACAAATTTTTGCAACAAAAAAAAAAAATATTTGAACCTATTTAAAAAAAAGAGTTTTTTTAAATTTTAAAAATTGAAAATTTTTTAACTTATTTATTAAAAATGAAATAGCATTTCTTTTTTTAAGTATTTTTCAACTTAAGTATGTGAATAGAATTACTTATGAAATTAAGAATTACTCATGAAATTTTTCTTTTAAGAATTACTTATCAAAAAATTCTCAAGCAAGCAATAAGTAAAGTAAAAAAATCTTTTTTCGATACATAATTTTTTAGGAACTCTCAAAATGTAGAAATAATTTTTAAGAATACCGTCATGTGGGGCTACATTGTGCAAATTCGAATTTGACACTTCTCGAGTGCTGCTATTCAGTATTATGTTTTTTTTTCACGTTAAAAAAGTGTGGAATTTGAAGATAGAAGTCTCCTCTATTACTACAAAAAAAATTTCGAATTTTAAAACAATCTCAGAGTGTGTTTTGTTTATCCAATGTCAACAACTTTCCGAGAACGTCGGGCGTCGAAAAGCAGCGCTTGGAAACTTTAGCTGGGAAATGCAAAGACGTTGATAAAACAATTGTCGTAAGTGCAAAATTTTTTATTTACATATTAATAAACAATTACATCATGTTAGCGTTAAAAACTTTTGAAAATTAATAACAAATAAACGGAAAATGAAAAAAAAAATGCACTGCGGGGCTACTTTGTGCAAAGCTTCATTTGTTTTTTTTTTCGACAGAAAAATTGTCAGACGTTATAAAAAAAATACCTGGAACGAGAAACTACCATGATTACACTTTAGAAAAGCTGCAACAATGTTTGCAAGCAGTTGCTGGTGGTATGTCGATTGCAGAAGCTTCTCGGAAGTACAAAATCCACAGAAATACTATCTCTAATAAAATTCACAAGAAACACGTAAAACGTGCTGGTAAACTATTATTTTTCCTCCACAAAGATTTTTCTAATTAATTAATCAAATGATTTAACACATAAAAATATATTTCATAGGAAATCAGGTGATTTTGACAGAAACTGAAGAGCAAGTTCTGTCATGTTCATTCAAGCATGTTATGTTCAAATTTATCAATATTATAAATGTTAATGAATATGTAATAATTATTATTTTTGAAATGTCATCCATTTCAATGTTCAAAAATGTATATGGTTTCCTTTTGCTTCAACTCAAATGTTTTGAAATAAACATTCCTTTTAAGAAATAATTCTTTATAAAAAATGTTTTTTTAATGATGAAAATTATTTTCAAACTAATATCTTTACATATCTTGATGTTTTTGTTATTAAAAGTGTCAAGAATTAACTTTTTTTAACAATTTTATATCAATATTTTACTAAAAGCATGATTATTAAACTGAATTCCTATTGCTGCACAAGGTATGTTTTGACTTATTATTTGTAAATATTACATACAAATGCCAATATTGATCAAATTCACTCGTCTGAGTCCAGTTATGAATATAATATCGATAAATTTTACTAAAGTTTGAATTAACATAGTTTTTTTACATGTCAAAATTCAAAAACTGCGAAATCCTGCACAAAGTAGCCCCACATGACGGTACAAAAAATTAGGAATATTTTATTGGTGAATGGTTACCAAGACACTGACAAAATTTATTAGAGCGAAAGTTTTGCAATAGTTTTCTTTTTTTAAATACCTGACTGCTCATTTTGGGGGCTTTTTCTCTGGATATGAACCATTTACCTAAAGATAACATAGAATTCAAACAACTTACAATCAAACGAATAGCAAAATGTGTGTCTTGGTCAGCTCCACTAGTAGCAATTGAAGATTTCATTTGACCATTGGGCATAACTGCCATATATCTTCCTCTTTCAGAAACACATTCTAGAGTGACAAACTGATTTTGCATTAGAACTTCTCTAACTTTAAACCGGCATTCGGGAGTAGGAAGACCTCCGGGACCCTGAAATAAGCAATCATTAAAAATAAATAACACATTTTCTACACAATTATATAAAAATTATTAATATGGAAATTCAAACTAATTAGATAAAGGCTAGTTATTATTCTGAAAATGAATAGCTTAATAGAAATAGGTCCAAAGAGACATTTTTGAGAAAATTGAAGGTTCTTGAGAAAATATAGTTTTTGTCTTTCAATTTTGCAGACCTCTCTAGATGAAGGTGTTTAAGTGCTTTCGGAGAGAGAAAAGGTTTCAAGTGCATCTGGCAACAAAGAGTCGCCAAGCAACCTTAGAGAGCTTTTTTCAAATAGCAAATTAAAATGATGGTAGTAAATACTATAACGCAAATGATTTAAATGAATGTTAAGGATTTATAGCCTATATTTTGCTGACAAGAAATATAGGCAAGGTTTATTTCCTATTATCAAAGTATAAACTTAATTGGTATTTTACTTAAACATTTATATTATGAATATTTTTTAAGGAAAGTAGTCTAGAAATGGAAATTACTTATATAAGTAATTGATCAGAGCTGTTTAAAGCTATCAAGCTGTTTAAAGCAGAGCTGCTGAAAGCTGCTTTAGCACTAAATCTATTTAATCATTTGAATTTTTAAATTTTTTTTATTATGCCAATAGTGATATGTTAAGATGTTAGCAATTTATGAAGCATGCATTTTTATTAGTTTTAGACAACAATTTAAACTTTTAGATAGTTAAGGAAATTTTTTTCTATACAATGAAGCAGTAACTTTATCTCAAATTGAAATTAAATTTTTAGAGTTCAGTTTAAATAACTTATGCAGTACAAACAATTTCAGTATCATTAATAAATGATTCTAACTTATATCTAGTCCTTAAAAATTTATAAATGATTTCATAATATGAATAAAAAACAAATTTTCTTTTTTTTACTCTAGAACAGGGATGGCGAACCAATGGCACGTGACACAATATTTTGGGCACCCCACCGATCGCAATTGTTATTGCACTATGAATTGTTATTACACAAATGTTATTACATTATGAAGCATATGTAACAATTAAATTAAAAATCACAAGAACAAACAAAATAATAAACAACTATTAATAAAAAAATTAACAATTAATACTAAAAAAACAATTAATAACCATAAAAAACAAGTTAACAATAAGTAACTAGCAAAAAGAAATTAACAGTCTTGCTTAAACTAACATCTTACAACCTAATATAAGTTATTTGTCATCTAATCTGCAGCAACAGAAGTCACACTGATGTTACTTTAAGTTGAATTACGCCTATAACTGAGACATTGCAAAATGTATATTTTTTTTCAATGTAAATAGTTTTGAGTTGATAGTATTTAGTATTATTATTTTCCCAATAATCACGAAGTCAAAATTACTTGACGGCACGTCTATGACATCATTAAACAGTTTTTTTTAGAAAAAATGGCACGTTGGTGTATAAAGGTTCGCCACCCCTGCTCTAGAATATATAAAATTTCATGACAGAGTAATTTTAAGGGATATCATAAATAATATTATAATTAACATCTATGAAAAGAATTCAGAGAAAAGTTATTTACTGCAGAGTAAAGTTGGGCAACTCCATCCTTAATGGCTAGATAATTGAAATTATTCTGAAGAAGTATGTATCCTTCCCTGTCTTGCACAACAGTGAAATGAGCTGTAAAAACATATTAAAACACAAGAGAGTATTTAATATTTATAATAACACTAAATAATCAAATTAAAAATATTTAGATTTAGTTACGCATCCTTTCATAAAAATTACTCAATATACCTTACCAAATCATTTAAAAACGCGAAAAATTTCTATGTTGCTACAGAAATTTAAACTTTAAAGCTTAAGAAATAAAATAGGTTAGTTTAGTTAGGGCATTTCCCATTACTAATAAAATGGGAATAATAATTAAAAATAAAACCTTTTATAATATTTCTGTAATTTTCACACAACTACTTTCTCTCAAGAAATTAAGTGAATGAGTTTGCAGTGGCTAAGGAAGTTTATTTCGATCCTATGAAAAAATTGCTCATAATAACAGAGTGGCTACAATGATTATTGTTAGAGAAATTAACTTGAATATGCAATTTAAGAGCAAAATATTGAGTATTACTTCATATAATAATTAGTAATAAAGCAAGAGAAGGTCATAAATATGAAGCAGCTATATTTACTGCATAATTTTTTTACTTATTAACTATTTTATTCATTTTTTTCTGTTGATAAAACACCAAGTTAATAAATATATACATATAAAAAAAAAGCATTTTCTTTAAATTACCATTGACAAACTGGTGACCATCTCCACCAAGGGAATCTAGTACTAATCTGCCATCAGGAGATTGTAAAATTTGGAGAGATTGACCAGTTATACGAGACACAAATTGAATAACATTGCCACTCTTTACATTTTCCTGAAAAATTAATAATATTAAATGAAACGCTCAATAACAAAATTTTGAATTACAAAAATCAGATAATGCAGACCTGAGAGTGCAAAGAGAAGAAAAGAGCTTAAAATTAAAAAAAAAGAATGCATTTAAAAAAAAACTGAGAAATAGAAAACTATTTCATAAATAATAAACTTACTAACAAACAATATTTATGCTTAATGCCATTCCATGGGGTAAAAAAGAACCATCGTTAATTCTTCCCATCTATACAGTAAACTTTTAAAACTTTTCTTACCAATATTTTTGAAGAAAAAAATCAACATATATCTTTATTATTATATTAATAATAATAAAAAATTGGTTTTAATCCTTCTCATGGTTTTAATCCCCATGGTTTTAAAACCCATGCGTTAACATAACACATGGGTTTTAATCCTTCTTAGTGTACTCAGTTTGGGGTCACTGATATCAAAAATATTACAAACCAATAGAAATGTAAAACTATTTGCCTCCAAATCTTCCAACTTTTTTAAGCAACCAGAATTCCTTAAGCAGCATGCACCTAAAGTATATTTATTTAGAATTTATTATCTACAGTCACAGCTGCTAAGATAATGTTTGTCTAAATTACAGAGTAATAAAAAGCTAAATAGTATTATTTCGTATAGATGAATGAGACAATTTTCGGGGGGAAAAAAAGAACTTTGCAAATGCCAATAAAGCCCAATATTTTTTTTAACCAAATAATTATTTGTCAGACAAAGAAAATATATAATTTATGCAATAAATCATATTATATTCAGCAAAATTTCTTAAAAAAGTAAACAGTAAAAGGAACAAACAGCTTTTGACACTCATCATTGAATGTTATGAATAATGATATGTACTTTAAATTTAATGAAATGTAGACTGAATTATTGCTCTAAATATATGGATGCAAACGAATATTTTTTAGGAGATATTAATAATTTTAAAATTATACCATTGAATTCTTTAGAAGAGTATTACATTGTAACCTTTGCAGCAATGACCCAATAACTTGACATAAAGTTTAGCCTAATTCAGAATTAATTTAATAAGGTTGTAGTCATATGGATAAAAACTATGTAGACATAAATGAATTAACAATATTTGAAAAACTAAAATAACAAATATTCAACTCTTCTTCTGCATACTCATAATTTTCTTAAATTAAAAAATTTTACCTATTATTTCTAGTCTAATAGTATATAAAACTCTAGCATACATAATAAATAAGAACTTTTTTATATAAAGAACAGAATTTAAGGTTTGTAGTTAAAAAAAATCATATTTTAAAAATGAGAACAATATTTCAAGATAATAATGTACACTAAATATTATATCGCTTAAGAACTATTTTAAATTTTACTTACTAAAGTTGGATGGTCTAAGACTTTATTTAATGCTTTAGCACCAGCTTTTGTCAACCCTTTTAACATTCCACCAAGATCTTTACCAACTGAGGACAAAGTACCTTGCAATCCCTATAAGAAGAGGTGTTATTTTATTTATTTTTGACAATAGTGCATCTATAACAATATTGATCATATTAACAAAAGGGCATAGACAACAATGATTGTTTTAGCAACAGTACATTGATAATACAATAACAAATGAGATCAAATTATAAAATTTGATCACATTATTAAACAGTTTCATTAAGATTCTTAAAATATAATATTCTAACTTATATTTAGAAATTTTCTCATGCTGCTACAATATATAATATTGAATTTAATTTAGGAGCACAATATATAATATAAAATTTAATTTAGGAGCAAAAGTTTCAACATGAAAATATTTTTTTAGACACTAACTTACATTTAATTCAGGGTTGGCAGGTTTTTGACATGTGACAGTTTTTGACAGTTTAAACCATGGTTTAAACCGTCACGTCAAAAACCTTACTGTCAAAAATGTCGAAAACCTATATTCATATGTGAAATTTAATTAATACATAAAATTTATATATTTTTTATGAAGGATAGTGTTTCTAAATATGTTCTAGAAAAAATAAATTTAAAATTTTGAAGAAACACTTATATTTTGAATAGTAACCAAAATCTTGTACTTTTGAAAGCTCACATCTTTTGTAATATTATGTATACATNATATATATATATATATATATATATATATATATATATATATATATATATATATATATATATATATATATATATATATATATATATATATATATATATATATATATATATATATATATATATATATATATATATATATATATATATATATATATATATATATATATATATATATATATATATATATATATATATATATATATATATATATATATATATATATATATATATATATATATATATATATATATATATATATATATATATATATATATATATATATATATATATATATATATATATATATATATATATATATATATATATATATATATATATATATATATATATATATATATATATATATATATATATATATATATATATATATATATATATATATATATATATATATATATATATATATATATATATATATATATATATATATATATATATATATATATATATATATATATATATATATATATATATATATATATATATATATATATATATATATATATATATATATATATATATATATATATATATATATATATATATATATATATATATATATATATATATATATATATATATATATATATATATATATATATATATATATATATATATATATATATATATATATATATATATATATATATATATATATATATATATATATATATATATATATATATATATATATATATATATATATATATATATATATATATATATATATATATATATATATATATATATATATATATATATATATATATATATATATATATATATATATATATATATATATATATATATATATATATATATATATATATATATATATATATATATATATATATATATATATATATATATATATATATATATATATAAAGCTTTGTCACACGTAAATTATTGCAATAAAAATATTTGCACCAGGCTTTGTTAAGCTCGTTCTCTTACTGCATTTCTTTATTACTGCAAATGGTTTTTTTGAAAACATTGTTTTATGGTGTGTTAACAAACCTTTTTGGTAAGTTTTAAATTTAAGTAAAAATAAATAATACATTTCTATATCTTTTTCCTTAAATGATAATTTAAATCAATGTCGTTTATTTTGAGAACATAAAATGCTTTGTTAATTTTCATGATTTTTGTTCTGTACTGTCAAAACTACATTCTTGCCCCAATTACAAATATAAACTTTAAAAAAATTCTTTCTCTTTTCCAAAATTAGTCAGTTTTTTTTTTGTTGGTCAGCACCCATAAATTATGGTAACACTGGGCAATAACCTACATAGAGTAACTTAAGCACGGCTATCTCTTGAATAAAATTTTAATTAAAAACTAAACTTTAACTTTAAATTGTCTTTAATGTTTGCAATTGTTTCTCATAAAACCTTCATAATGTTATTTTTCTTTCTTTCTAATACCTCATTTATTGGTTATGTTATTTAAACCAAACAGATATTTGTTTCAGGACTGTTGTGGAAAATTTAGTTCTGAAGGAGTGCTCCTTCTTTAAGGAAGTAAATATGATTAATTCTTACAATCCAATAATTTTGCTGTTGTTAATTTACGTCGCACTAGAGCTGCACAATGGGCTATTGGCGACGGTCTGGGAAACATCCCGGAGGATGATCCGAAGACATGCCATCACAATTTATAATTTTACACTAATAATAACACTAATAATTTTGCAATAAGAGTCTCACAAATTTATTGTTACTCTTAATTGAAAAAACATTCCTTTGCTAATATTTACAGTGTTACGAAGTAAATTTAAATTATAATTAATTTATATGGTAAGAATTTCTGATATTTATAAAAAAATTAACAATTAAAACATGAAAAAAGGTTTAAAACTAATTAACCCGTATAGCTATTTAAAAATACTAATTATATTTTAAGTTTTTAGACTTCTTATGAAAACCATGATTTGTATTTTAGAAAAAAATAAACTGCTGTTTGTGTTATAAATTAAAACAAAAAAGTTATTAAAGAAAATTTCTTTGTGAAAACTTCAGCTCTGATTCTCTTAAGAAATAATTTATGAAAACAACTGAAGATTTTAAATTCTAACAATGACAATAATAACACAGTCATAACGACCAAAAGGCTGTCAAACTACTGGATGAAGACTTTTATGTATATAAATATACACTGATATCTTCAACATAAACAAACTACTTTAAAATATACCACAAAAAGATAACAGTACAATCTTTACAGAATCATCATATACTGTATACCTTTGGATTTGACGCATCCATTTCCAGATTTTAGAGATGCAAATAAATAAAAACTACAATATAATATTTGTCACTAAACTTTAAACTGAGCGGAAAGAGAATATCGTCTTCATCTGAAGGCAAGTTTCGAAACAAAATAAAAATGATTCATGCGTAACGTAAAGGTGAGTAATAAGGAAAAGTTCACCTACCCCAACAGGATATGGAGAACTTGATGGCGGTACATAATTAGCCTGTAAGGTATAAGGCATGATTTAAACACTAATAATGACAGATTAATAATTTAAAATCAAATATGTAACTCACTGCTGGAGGAATATTTGTTCTTTGTGGTGGAGGAGTTCTGGGGGCATAAGATGAAGTAGGAGAAGGTAAAAATTGATCATTTGGTAAATTTGGATACCCAGCCATTCTATATAAAATGATAGAAAGTTTTGGTATAAATATATCACAATAAAAGAGACAAAATAGCTTACAATAATTTTTGTTTTAACTTCAAAAACAATACAAAATAAGAATGATTGCTGAAACTAGAAACAGTTTCTTTCACAGAAATTTTACGGTGATTATATTTAATAATTACCTTTATTACTATCAGGAAATAATATTATCAGGAAGGCAGTTTAAAGTTCAAAAATAAAATAAAAGTTGATGGACTGTTTATAATTTCAAAACAAAAACCTTCCCGATTGTCAGACAATTATTGCGCAATGGCCACAACGTCATACCACGTGATTTTTATGAAAAAAAGGGCTATTATTTTTCAAAATGAGCATTTTTCAATCAAAGAGTTTGATAGAATTACTTTTTTAGGAATTTGTGTCATTGACATTCATTTCTACAATAATTTACTGATCATAAAAATATATTTGCAATTATTATCAATTATTTCATAACTGTTAACTGTGGGTTACGGTTGTCTGCTCTAAAAAATTTATTTACTAAATTTTTATTTACTTTTATATGATTAAATCTATCGACTCTAAATCATGTAACAAGTTTGATCCTTTTAAGTTTTATTCCATTTATAATTCTTCTTAATGACCCTTAAATGAACAGCTTAAGTGGCATTTCAGAATTGAAATATATATTCCATTTGAATTATTAAATTATAATGCTTTTATAATGGCTGTATTCAGGTTAGATCCCTGTGGTATAATTTGTATCATTTTAACCTATGTGTCAGTGTTGTATGCAGATTACGCTGTCGTGAAATGGATGGTTATGCCGACAATGTCCTCCAGGTGATTAATGCAGTTTCACGCAAATAAATATTTTCCAGGCTACATAGTCGCATTTCATAAAATATCTTTTACTCGTCGATATCCTTATGTTGTGTGAAAACAATGCCTAGTTCTTTGATTTATAATCGAAATTTCTTTTCTTTCATTAAATTGAGTCATTTGAAACCTAATAACCTTTAGTGCAAGTAGCTTGTTTTGCTTTATTTTCTTAATATAATTTTCTTGTATGAAGTGAGGGGCCACTCCTATAAAGTCTAAAAAAAAAAAAAAAACTTTTTACTTGAATATTTCTTTAAATAGAAATTACTTATAAAAACCCTATATAGATTCCAAAAGATTTTTTTCTGTAGAAAATATTACATGAAATATTCATATTTGTTCACACCGTACTTTTTAAAACATATTTGTATCTATATTCCAAGGCGCAATTTCGTAGATTGCTAGTTAATAAACAATAAAACAAATTGCTAATTAAAAAACTAAGCTAATTATAAAACTAAATTTCTTGTTGCGGAAATATGCAGTGACAAAAATTTCTAGTAATCTCTGAAGGTTTTATTTTTAGGTCCTTTTCATAAGGTTTTTCGAATTCTGATATTTTTTACAACACGCAAATTTTTGGTTGCTATTATTTACTTGAGTTAAAATTATTCACTCATTTTCACGCTCAATTTGTATCGGTGTTCTATTCTTAATCCCCTCTGCAGAGGATCAAAATTGCGATGGCAAGTCTTCAAATCATCCTCAGGGATGTTTCCCAGACGGTCATCAATATCCTCTTGTGCAGCTTTAGTGCGATGTAAATAATGTACCTACCTACTTACCTTACTACACATTGTCGTTATTCAATCATTAATCTAAGTTTCTGATTTCTCGTTTTATTGAAAGTTATTTCTCATTTTTGTAGTTCTTTTTACAGTGGTTTTCCATTTTTTATTAAAATTGCTGTTTGTTTTAAAAGAATTTTGTGTTCATGAAGTGAAGATGAGATTTGAAGAAAATGAATCAAATGCCAGAGTTTAATTCTTTTATGTTAATATTTTACTACTATTGTATATTAATTCTGTCTTTTATTATTAACCTTTTCCTTAGTTTATACAAATTAAGTTAATCTAATCATCATTATAGTTATGCTCTGAAGTGTCTTTAAAATACATAGTTAAAGTTTAGAAATCAAATTTGAATTATTAATTATTACATAGATTGAATTTGACAATGAGTTTTTGAACTGTAAGTATATGTTTATGTAAAATATCATGGCAAAAAAAAATTAATATTGAAAAACATTTCCAGCATTATTTAAGGATAACCTTTCTTAGCTGGACACCCAGAGAGTGAATATTCATTGCATAAGAAACTGCATAAAAATTATAAATTAAGCTCATTTCCATATCTTTTTAATTTCATTTTAAAATTTTATGTTTTAAAGTAAATTTAAATGAAAAGTAGGATAAAAGTGGAAAAAGAAAAGAAAAGGCAAGCTGCATGATGAACTGGTAAACAATAAAGTTTAATCCATCTTTCAATTTCGATGTAACTAAGGTAATCNCAAAAAAAAAAAAATATTGAAAAACATTTCCAGCATTATTTAAGGATAACCTTTCTTAGCTAGACACCCAGAAAGTGAAGCCGAGAAGTGAATATTCATTACATAAAAATTATAAATTAAGTTCATTTCCATATCTTTTTAATTTCATTTAAAAATTTTATGTTTTAAAATAAATTTAAATGAAAAATAGGATGAAAGTGGGAAAAAAAGAAAAGGCAAACTGCATGATGAACTGGTAAACAATAAAGTTTAATCCATCTTTCAATTTCGATGTAACTAAGGTGATCTATCTTGGTAGTTTAGGGATCTGTCTGGGTTTTTCTTCGAGGTACCTATTTTGTGAAAATTTAGACATTATTTGTGAAAATTAAAAATTATATTAAAAAAAAATGACATAAAAATGTGGCTTTATTATTTCTTATGGGATACAAAAGTAAAATTCTAAGAAAAAGTATTTTGTGAAGCTACTGTTTTTCCTAAAGTTGAATTTGTGAAAATACTGCTAAACGGTAGTAAATTTGGCCTGGACTTACCACAGTAGTTAGTAATAAAAGTGTTGATAATTGCAAAACTGTTTTACAGTTTTAAATCTATCTTTTTATTAGAGTTTTTTTCTGTTATTTTTATAGTTTTTCTAAGCATAATTCATTGAGTCTTAATTAAAATTGTTTTATTCTAGTTTATGGGGAGCTTTCCATGTTGTTTGTTTCAACACTATAGTGTTTTTATTAATAATGGCTCATTTAAGAGCAGTATTATCAGATCCTGGAATCGTACCTTTTCCTGATAATAATTTGGATTTTTCTGACATGCATAGTGGAGCTGGATCTCCTGTCTGTAAGGTATAAACTTTCTCAACTTACAATTATAGCTTGTGATAATTTATTAAAAGGGCAATATAAGTTATTGTTGTTATAAAGATGTTTTTAATGTATACTTAGGAGAAATTTTTGTTATTGTGTGTTTTCTTAAGATTACAACTAAAGAAAGCAATAATAAAAGAGTTATTGGTATTGACATAATTGTCCTAGCTATTACTTGTATCTACAGTATTAATTTTTCAATTTCACAACGCACTTATATTGTACATTTTTGCAGTAGTACTTTTCTGTTTTTCTTTATTTTTTTAAGCTTTACTTTTAATAACCACAGTTTTGCTTTTTGTTAAAGAAACATATATTACAAGTTTGGACAGACCACATGTGAAATTAAGATCTGATACATAGAATTCGCAGGATCCTCATGTACTATTGGTTTTTAGTTATTATAACAGGTCATATTAAATTTTGCACACAGCAACAAATAATATATTCTTCCATGGATGATAATAAATAACATGTCAATTACATGTAAAAAATATTTTACTCATTGGTGATTGGCATCTTTAACTCTAGCAATTTAAGTCAACATATAATATGTAGTTGTATCAAATATTATACTTAAATATAATTAAAAAATTCTATTTAAATTTAATAAATCCATTTTTAACATAAAAAGGTCTGATTTTTGTTGAATTTTTGAAAATTTTTTTTTTGGATCTTTATCTACTCTTATCTGATCTACATTTTAGCAGTACTTAGATAAAAAGATTGCATTACCATTCTAGAAAATCATGCAGTGGGCTATAAGAATGTTTGCCATTCATTATAGCCTACCAAAGGTGTTTATTTTTTTTTTTTTGGGGGGGGGAGGTAATACAAAAGGAAAGAGAGTTATTAGTTATTCTCAAGTTATTTGAATTTTCCTATAATCAAAGTTAATGTGTTTCTAATTTTCCCTTATTTGAACCCTTAGGCAAATTTGAACAGAATTTGGTCTAGAATACAATACTTACCCATTGAATTCTATGGGGGAAAACCTGATGCTTATGCAGTTCAGTAGGTAACAGCTTTAGTGAAATGGTGGAAATTTTGATTATAATCTGAAATGGATCACAATTAATGAAGTACACATAAACTTATGAAAATTACAGACAAATTTGAATTTCATGATTTTCTTATTTTTTCTTCTATAAAAAATAAGGAAATCATGAAATTCAATTTTATCTAAAAAAATAATAAAAAAGGAAAAAAGGGAGGGATTATGTATTATAACTTCATGTTTCAAGCATTACATCGATTACCTGCAGCTTCATATCTATGTGTTGTTCGTAAATAAGCCTTTAGCTTATAACTGAAGCTGGGATTAATAGACTGGAGATAAGTAGGGATTTTGCAATTTTTATCTTCATCTTAAGTTCTTCTGAAGTTCCTACTATTTTAAGAAAAACTTTATTTTCTGATAGCATAAAATATAACGTTTTAATGAATCCACTTAAGGATAGACTCATAAGCTCAGTACCCACAAAATCTGCCATTATTTTGATTTTAATGCCTTTAGATTATTATTACTACAGTCAAACCCCCTATAGTGAACCTTCAAGGGACCAAAATTTCGGTTCACTATAACCGGGAGTTCAGTATATCCGTTACAAGGCAATTTAACTAATGGTTCCCAAACTCCTCTCTTTTATTATACAGTATTTAAATAAATGACTGGAAAATATTATGTAGTAGCAAAAAATGTGCTATTTTTCTTTACTCTTCGCCTTGCGAACAAAAAAAAATTAGTAATCTTTAGCTGATGAGCAATCCTCAACATCAAATATGGAAACTCTTCCCGACTCTCTGATAATTTTTCCTGAATTTCTGTTATTCTGCTTTTTAAACTAGCCTAACCTGCCATTCGAGCACATAAAAGTAGTCTCTTAAAATCGCTTAGCAAATTCATCGACATTTGTCCAGATACTGGAAGATTGCGGCTTCTTCGAATGGTGAACCACTTCAGTAATGCTTCTTCAACAGCCCTGTAATCTGCTTTTCTCAACTTTTTTCTGCCGTCTAAATTTCTTTCATGAGTAGAAATTATTAATTGCCTATTTTTCCATATGTTACAAACTGCAGATTTGGATAGTTTATATTCTCTTCAAATATCAGATTGATTGCATCCATTTTCAATTTTTCTGATTATACCCATTTTACCATCAATGAAAAACGTTTTACTTTTACTGCTCGCCATAGTTAAATATGAGACACTTGTTTGCAGGATTTTTTTTAACTGAACTGAAAGCAAAAAGGATTTGAAATGAGGGCCTTATCAACACATTTTAGTTTCCAATCCATTGACCAATAATGAATAATTACTCATTCCCTCTGACAGAAAATGCATATTGATCCCACTGACACCTTACAGGTGCATCATCTGCCAGGATTGGAAACATCTGCTTGGTTTGCTTAGGGATGGGAAAGTGAGATAAAAGAAGCAAACAAGAAAAAATGCTTATCGCTACATTCCCCTCTATAAATCGTTTTAAAAATCGGTATATGTATTTATTTTGAAGTAGAAATTTCAAAATTATTACAAAAAAATGAAGAAAAAAATCAGTCGAAGACAGAAAAAAGTTCATTATATCCAACTTCCTCACTTTTTTGGTTCACTATATCCAGAAAAAATAACATTATACGTGTATAGCAAGGCACGGGACCGAACATTTCGTTCACTATATCCGGAGGTTCACTATAAACCGTGTTCACTATAGCGGGGTTTGACTGTATGACATAATTTATTTAAGAAATAGGCTTTGACTTTTGCAACCAATAGATTTTTATAAAATACAGTATTACAATGACCTTTATTTTATAGTTTTAGATAACTATGAAAGGTAATTTTCCATTAATGAAATATTTGTTTCAGTTATTTTTTCTATATTTTAAGTTACTGTTCCAAAAACATGCATGATGACAATAGGCATAATGACCCTTGTAAAAAAAAAGTGGATACCCTTTTTTAATCTAAACAATAATTTAATTTCAAAACTACGTACTTTTTTGATTTATATTGACTAGTAACTTACACTTTAAAAAAATACTTATAGGAAGATTGGACTGTTTGCTCTCGGTGTGAAACATATAGGCCACCTCGTGCTCACCATTGTAGAATATGTAGACGCTGCATTCGCCGAATGGATCACCACTGCCCATGGTAGGCTATTAAAATTCCCTAAGAAAATATTCTTTAATGTTGTAATTTGAGCATATAATTCTAATATATATTTTTAATTATTAACAGATTGTATTACCTTTTAAACTCAGCTAAATTAGTTGCAACAAAATTATATTAATTTCTAGTAGATACTTGGTATGTTAGTATTGCACCAACAAAATTTCAAATTGTATCAGAATTGTTGCATGGGCACTTTTATTCCTAAAATCTAACTAATGCTTAAAAAATTAAAATATTTACCTACTTAATTCTAATAAACAATAATAAGATTTTTTTTTTATAGGCAATTTCATAAATTTTTAATATATTGTAGGAAATAGAATTTAAACTAAAACAAATGTGCATATTTTTCTCATGAATATATATTTTTAATGCTCCTAGGCAAAAAGAATTTTTTTTTAGGTATTAGGAAAAATTTTCTCGAATCTTAAGAGGTTATCATGAATTTTTTTTAAAAAGTTGCTCAGCATAATAAATTAGCTTTTCACATCAGCCATGGCATATCTCTTAGAAATTACTGTAATAATTCATAATTCATTTTTTAAGATATCTTGCTAAAAGTTAACATTGCATTATACAATTGGAGATCTTTAGAACGCAAATCTTCAAACATTATTGTAAAAATTCAGTTAAATCTAACATACATACAGCAAAATTTGAAAATATGAGGACTTAATGCATAAAAATTTTATGTTGTTAAAATTAAAGTTGAATTTATACTAAAAAAATTGAATAAATCCCCGTAGAGTTCAGTCTGTAAACAAGCAACAGAAATTTTTTACTTTTTGTTCTTAGTGGTGTTCTCTCAATTCAGCTTTTTAATTACAAATTAGTTTTAGGATATTATAAAAAAATAGTTCTAAGAATTTCACTTCATTTGTTTGCATTTTAAAAATAAAAATAAATGCAGATGCTGTAATAATCTGCAGCCGAGCAAGAGAGTTTCTGGTGCTAGGATTGAGCCTAAACTTCTGAGTAATTTTCAGCTTTCCCTTAATTACTTTTATTTTTAATGACACATGAGCTGGCTTGAAAGAGTGTCTGATCAAAAATATGTGGTAAGATATGACCTCAACATTTTAGTTCCTATAATTTTAAAATAAAAATAGTATCTATTGAGAGTGAATGCGTGGGGAAATGGTTAAGATATTGGCCAAATAACTGATAGATACCAAGTCCTATCCCAATTTGTTTTTATCATTTGCAATTTTTTTTAATATTTTAAGTAATGATTAAAAAATAATTAAATTTAATTAAGAACATTCAATTTTTTAAATTTAACTCTTTACCAGTTAAACTAATGTAGTGATTTTATTGATTTAAAACTTAAAGACTTATAAAAATAAATTGGAACCTAAAAAAGTTCTTGCCCAGTGATTTTATCTTCTTATTAAATATAGTTTTATGATTTCAATAGTTCTTTTTGTACAAGAGAAGTTAGTTGAAATTTGACTTCAAACTTCTAATAGTTATACAGAAAATTTCTCTGACAATATTGTCATTAAAGTGAATCGAAAAATTCTGAAATATGTATTACTATTTTTTAATGATAAATTTAGATTTGAAATTTATAGACTCCTATCAAAGTTGTGCTGGATATTTTATTTTAAAAAGATTGCTTAAAAAAATTTGGTGTTTATAATTTGAAAAAAATTAGTTTTAACTATAAAATTTTTCACTTATTTTATTATGCCTTTCAGGATAAATAATTGTGTCGGGGAGCTGAATCAAAAATACTTCATCCAGTTCTTAATATTTGTTGGTATGAGGTTTTATAATTAATTAAATTTATATAGTATGTGTATGTGGATAAATTCAGTTGTAAATGTTTGTTATCTGACTTAGGTTTAGCAAGTTTGTATTCTCTCGGTATGGTTGTCATTTCCTGGCTAATAGATTGCATAGAATGTAAAAAGGAAATAATTTTCAGACAGCACCGTGTGTAAGTTATCTTTATGCTTTTTGTTTTCTTTCTTTAACAATAAACATGTTCATTCTGAAATTCATAAAATGAAGGAGAAGCATAATAATTTTTGAATGATACATTTCAGGGTGGTAACTTTTTTTTGTGGAAAAATTGACTCTTTAATTCTTTCAGAAGCTGAGTGCAACAGCTTAGAGAAAATATTTTCAGTGATTGTAGATATGTTTTTTCTCTTTTTTTAATAAAATTCTCACTGACCAGTTAATGCATTTTATTTCATAGAATTTTGTTTGTTATCGATTTTAAATTGAGGCATAAAATTTGATATCCATATTTGTAGAGGCTAATTGTTTAAAGAAGATGCGGGTTTAATAAATCTAAAATTCTCCCAATTACATTAGAGAAAATAGCTTTAGATATAGAAGTCTTTAATTTTTCATAATTTATTTTATAATCCAATTCAAATATAGTTCAAAACATGCGATAGACATGAAAACAAATATCCATTTTTAGGATTGCTAAATTATTTAGAAAATTTTGGTTGTAAGACTTTTCCAGTTTTGTTAGAGAAAATAGCTTCAATGATTTAGAAATATGTTTAAACACTGTGAGCTTTTCTTGGTAAAATTATTGTTGATTGCCTTTAATTTCACAGAAACATAAATAAATAAAAAATGAAAGTAAATTAATAAATAATAAAAGTAAGTAAATAAAAGCTTTTACTTATTAGTTAGTAAATAAATTTAAATAAACTTTTTGCTCAATTGAGTAAATTTAAAAGAATAATTTTTTTTTTGAGAGAGAATCATGATTCATTTTTCCATTAATTTTTTATTAAATTTATGTGAAAAAAGTTTAAAGCATTGTTCTTGCAAGTTTATTAAAACTAGTTTGGATAAGGAAAAAGCAAGGCTCGTATGGATCAGGAAGAACAAGAAAAATATGGAATTGTCAGGGAATTTTATTTCTAGTCCAAATATCAGAGAATGGCCAGAAAAAGTTGCAGTTTTTTTTTTACAAAACCCTGGACCATACTTGGAAAATAACCAGTCTTAGAATTGTCATTAACTGTAATCAGTTACTGAGATTTGAGTTAAATAATTTTAACATCTATTACAATTATTTGTTACAAAAATGTCCCAATTTACTCAATCTGACTTGTTCCCTTCCTCATTCAATGGTATTTTTTTTACTCACAAAATCTAATATTGGGCATTACAAATAAAAAAAAAAAAATCAAAGTTTTCTGATGAAAAAAGGCATGGTAATATGATCTAGATTTTCATGAAGATTTACTTGGAAAAATCAGGAAATTCTTTTCTGAAATTGAGGGGGAACCCTGAGAAAAGTATATCTTTTCAATTTTATGTTATCTACATATTTTTTCTAAGCAACTATTAATTATGTAATGCATAATAAAACTAAATGCATAAAAAAAACTATTCTGTGAATATTGTATGTTTCTTAAACTTTTTAAAAAACTGCTAATTTTATTAAAATGAAATTGTTGAGATATATGTTCGGTTTGTTTATGATCAATGTTTTTATTATATTTTAGAATTCATACTGTGCTTTTACTAATAGAGAGTATTTTATTTGGAGTATTTGTGATTGCAATAATGTGTGATCAGGTATGTGCTCACTTTAAAAGTATTATAAAATTAAATTTAAATCAGTTGAAATTAATTAATAACCTTCTTTAATTAAAAATTGTTGAATTTTATATTGGATTATAAAAAGTTGAATTTATAATTAAAAAAAACTTTTATGGTAAACTTATAAAGCTATGCATTGCAAGATATTTTTTTTCATTTTTTTAAAAATGTTCTTTATTCAAAAATACAGTAACCTGGTATACTAAATCTATTATATGATTTTATTTTTTTTTTGAAATTTCCAAATAATAATTATAATATGAAAATATAAATATTTTGTTCTACATTGAAGTTAGATGTAATGCAAATTATGAATCATGATCAAAAAATTACTCTAAATGAAAACAGACAATATGGTGAAAAACTGATTATTAAATGGCTCATGCCAAAAAATGATTTTTTAAGCATATTATTGAGATTAACTTTTTTTAATTTCTTTAAAATGGAGGTAACCAGAGTTTATTTAATTTTTCAATTAGCAGACTTAAGTTTAGTTTTCTATAACTTTTCTTTGAACTTTAATACACTTATTCTATAAATATTATTTCACACAAGTAGGTAACCGATACTTTTTAAAAATTCTAATTTGCATAATATACTTTTTTATAAGTTTCAAGCCATCTTGTCTGATGAGACAGCTATTGAACAACTTCAGAAAAAGGGACCACATAGACCTAGAAAGCCGAAAATGGCCTTGCTAAGTGAAGTTTTTGGACGAGGTAATTCACATAATCATCAAATACACTTTTTTATTAATATATAGAATGATATCAGTTAAATTAACAGAATTAAATACTTTTAATAAAAAAATCTTTTAAATGTTCAACAACTTTAAAATAAATTTTCTCTCTCTCTCTAAAGTTAAATACTTTTAATAAAACCAACATGTTATATGTTCAATATCTAGTCACTAAATTTTACTTACTACAAAGATTTACGATTTATGTGTAATGATAAAAGAATTATATTCAATAATATTTTTGTCAAAGTGGTAATTTATAGGGGGTGGACAAAATAAAGGAAACACCTCTATGCTAATACATTTTTTCATATTTCTCCAGAGAAGATCACCAGAGACTCTAAGAGAATCATTTTTTAACTTTAGAAGTGTTTAGAACATGTGATTTCTCATACATATCAACGAAGTTAAGAGCTTTTAGAGGTTTGTGGGACCGACAATAAATTACAAATGGAAAAAAAATGTTTTTAAACACCCTATACTAAAAAATGTAGCAATAGATTTGTAAATTGTGACAGCTATTTTGGTTATTATATGCAATAATTACACAAAATTTCGCAATCGTATCTTAAATATTTATGGAAATATAGACATTTTTATAAAAAACTAGTTTTTTTGTCTTACGTTTTTTTGCTAAAACTTTAAAAATATTCAATAAAACAACAAAATTTTTAGAACAGTTTAAAATTAGTTACAAAATTTTTTCTTTTAAATTTGAGAAACATTTGTTTAAAACTGTGCAAGATATAAGAAATTAAAGTAGTTCTTTTATATTGCAAATGGGCACAAAAAATTGAAGAAATTTTTCTTAATTTTATAGTGAATCGTATTTAGCAAATTATAAAAAAAGTCTGATTTAAATACCTTAAAAATTGAAAAAGTTTTAAGCAATTTTTTAAGTAGTTTTCGTAATTTTAAAAAGAATGCACAAAATGATAAGGCGTTTTTCCACATATTTCATTTTGTATTATTAAACAAGATTTATTAAAAATTATCTCAGCATTGTTGGAGATCATCTCCATAAAAATATTTTTTTCACCTGTTTTTTTTTTATGAAACTACATTTTGGTGTATTAAACCTTTATTGTATGGTATTATCATTTGTTATTAAATTCTATTTTATGATACAAAATGATATTTGTAGAAAACTCCTTATCATTTGAGCTTTTTTTTAAAAAGTACAAAAACTGCTTTGAAAATTGCCTGAAACTTTTACATTTTTAAGATATTACATAAACTTTTTATCTACTTTTTAGACTAGAAATTTATATCAGACTTTTCATTATTTGCTAAATACGATCACTACAAAGTTAATAAAAGTTTTTTTAAAATTTCTCCTGTGCATGCGTAGTATAAAGGAACTACTTTAATTACTTATATCTTGCACAGTTATAAACTAATTTTCTCAAATTTCATTAATTTATTTTAAAATGTTTTAAAAATTTTGTTCAGTTTTATGGAATAATTTTAAAGTTGTACAGCAAAATTTTTTTTTATGTATATAAAAATGGCAAGTTTTTTTATGTATATAAAAATGTCTATATTGCTATAAATATTTAAGTTGGTCTTTCGAAGTTTTGTGTTATTATTGCATATAATAACCAAAATAACTGTCACAAGTTACAAATCTATTGCTATGTTTTCTGGCATAGGGTGTTCAAAAACATTATTTTTCGTTTGTAATTTATTGTCGGTCCCTCAAACTTATGAAACTTCATTGATATGTATGAAAAACTGCATGCACTTCTAAAGTTATTAAGTGATTCTCTTAGTATTTCTGGAAAAATATGAAAAAGTGTATTAGTATAGAACTGTTGCCATTATTTTGTCCACCTCCTGTACATGTCATTTGCTTAGTGGACTCCAGCCAGCTGCACAAGCGATGCCCTTACCAATTGTGCTATTGGAGCATTTAATTGTTTTACTTTTGAATAATTTTTTCCATCAAAATTGAAAAACATCTCTCCAAATATATAAACAAACTGTAATCCAGTAACTTTTATAAGGATAAAATTATTCTCTGTTTAATAGTGTTTATTACATGATGTTTTTAGGTTCTCCATTTCTTTGGGTGTTTCCTTGTCAGAGTGCTTCAAGAAACATCGAAAGCTTTACATCATATGAAGTTTGAATGTGTGATTATTAACTTTTTCAATTTTATTGTAACTAATATAAAACGTGAAATGAGAGATGGGACCCAACGAATTTATAAATTCCATGTTATAGATTAGGATTTTTTCACTTTTTCTGCTTCAAATCATATCTATTTAATATTGTCATATTTCTTGTACATATTCGTAATTTATAGAAGCAGGTTTTTGAAAGTATATATTCGATTGGGGTCAATGTTCTTATTTCTGTGTGTATGAGATTGTTTTAACAAAACTTTTTATAAATAATAGTTTTTTCTTTCTCCTCTTTGTTTAATAAGGGATATTTGTTAAATTATTTGTTTAAAAATGTTAGAAGAATTCATCTGTGTACAGAGTATCAAGAAATAATTTGGAAACATTTAAAACCAAATTTTTGTGTGGCAAATTTGTTTTAGAAAATATAATGTTTCCTTGGTCACAAAACTTCTCTGGAATTGGAAAATGTACATACAAACAGTAATTAATTTCATTGAGCTATAAGCACCTAAGCTCTGAACACCAATTGATATTTCTTTTTGGTTTATCTTGAAGGCATGGGTATGGCACTAAAGTCTTACAGGCACTAAGCCTCATCAAGACTTTGGCTTGCTTAAAAATCCTTGTCAAAGGAATAGAATAAAATATCAGTAAATTAGTTGCTCGTAGCAGACAATTTTGTAAAACTTTTACAGTTTTGCATTAAAACCAAAGGTGGTTCCTTTGAAAATTTATAAACACGTTACAGGTTGTACTGTTTTCTCATTTGGTTGTGATTTTTTTTCTCATTTTTTAAAGGCATTAAAATCTTGTATTATATGTGTCCAACTCATTTCTTGTCACCCTGTACATCTAAGATGAAAATAGTACTGTACCTTTTTGAATATTTGAACTAGAGCTTAATCTTAATTTAATTTTGCAAATTGCATCAAATTTAATAATTTACTATTTTATACACTGCATCATGCATGATGTTTTAAACATCACAAATTTTCTAAATTAATCTTGCATACTGAAGTATATCTGAATAAATTTTAATACAGTTAGGTTTACTTTAATTCAAAATAAAAAATGATTGATGAAAGTTGTGAAAAAATTTATTTCATTCAAAATGAAACAATGTTTCTATATTAGCTTATCTTTAAGGAAGAGATTAACATATAGTAGACATGAAAGTAATTGGGGTCAGGAAGCAAATTACTAGGGAAAAAGACGTGTATTGATTTTTCTATTACCTCACAAGATAATGTATCCAAAATCTGTAACATATTTTTTAAAGTTAATAATAATAATAGTATATAATTTTATAAGATATAGACTTCATAAATATGTAACATTTATGCTTTGTTAATATTATTAAAAAAGTTAAATGAATTCTCATTATAAGTTAATTAAAAGCCAAAAATTATATGTTAGTCTTAAGTCCAGTCTGTACTTAAAGATTGAAATAAGTTTTAAGAAACCTCTTCCCTTACCGTCTAGAGTTTTAGGTTAAAATTTTGATTTTCCTTTTTTTTTTGTTCTAAGCAAACTTTGATGAGAGACTTACTTGACAGCACTAAATATTTTTAAAAAAAGGTCTAAAACGAAGGGGTCACTTTAGAACAGTATATATATATTTTTTTTTGAGAAATGTAAAAGGATAAAATAATGCAGTTAATAATTTTGGATAGGTAATTTAATACTGTACATTCGTCTGAGTTAAGATTTTTTAAATTTGCTTTTTATTGCTTATATTGATGGCAATCAATTGAGATAATGCTAAAAAATTGTCTTAATATGAATAACAAAAAGATATTTATCAACAATTTAAAGCAGAAAAATGTGTAATTCTAAATGAGTAATCTTTTTAAAAATATTGATTGTAGAATTGTATTGGTATAATTTTGTCAGAAAAATAAATAGAATGAAGTATATCTTATGCTATATTCTCAAATTCTGATTAAGTGGCAGTCTTGTATTTTATGGGTTTTGAAAGATGCTGCCCAGTACAGTAAATCTCCAATCTCAGTTTGTTTTTTTAAAACTAAATAAAAATGTTTTAAAGCATATTTAAAATCTTCCCCTTAGTCTACACTCCTTTAACAATTGAGTTTGATTGCGTTGAAAGTGGCTTCTTAAGAATAAAGTATGTAAGTAAACCCATGAACTGATAGCATATGATACTTTGATATATATTTGTGATTTTTTGATATTCTTGAAAAAATATTTCAAAATAGTGTTTAACATTTAAATGGGATTTACTTTTTGTATAAAGAAAGTATTGTTCATTGTTATATTGCTAAGTTTTACTGGATGTGTAATTTTTTTTATTTGTTGCAAACGTTTAAAAATTATATTTTTTGTAATCTTTATTTTGTATACATTATGTAAAAATATTTTCTGAAGTGTTTTTATTTTTAGTTCAAAGTTACCATAAATACTACTATAAGTATAAAGCAATGATTAAGTTACTATAAGCTATAAAGCAATACTTTGTATATTAATAATTATAAAGAAAATAATAACACTTAAATATATTCTAAAAATTTTGCAAATATTTTTGTTAAATTAAGAAATTGAAATCTTTAACAATTTTAAGAAAAATTTAAATTATATTATTTTATAAGAAGAGATTCAACGTGATTATAAATACAATTAGTATTTCAACTCTATAGTTGCCGCAATTGTTTATCAAAAATGATCTTGGCATTATGCTGTGTGGGTTAAAGTTTAATTCAGAAAAAGGTAAGATAAAAACTTAGAATTTTAAAAATTAATTTGTTACTGACAGTCTTGAAAATGTGTTTATTTATTCATTAAAATCAGTACACTAAGAGGACCTATCACTCCAAACATTTTACTTCTTAAATAACTAGAAAGTATCGAGCCATGTTGTTAATGTAACAATAATTAAAAGATTCTGATATCTCAATCTTTATAGTCAAACAACCATGAAATCAAACTTGGTTTCTTAAATTTTGTTTAACTAATATGAAATAAAGTAGGACGCTGATTATTAGGAACTACTTCAGATTTGCTATTTAGGTAACATGGATTTTTAATCTCCTTTCCTTAACAATCTCTATGTTTTTTTAAAAATAATAACACAGCGTGCTTCCTTTTAGTAGAAGTAGAAGAAAAGATGGTCATATTAAAGTATTCTAGTAATAATGAAAAGACTGATGAAACAATCATAATTACAACTTTTCCTTTTCTTTTTGCAAAACTAAAATAACTAACTTATAAAATGTTTACTTGTTACTCATAAAATTACCAATTCCATATAGCCACAAAGCTTTTATTTTTATTTTGAAAGCCTCATAAAACAGCCCTCTCCTTTTTAGTTTACTAAACCAATTCTTATTTCATCAAAAGGATCTAACTTCCAATAACAGTTGAATTTTTAATCATGACTTCATTTGGCATCAGTATATAAAAGACACAATTCTTATAACATTTAATGGCAATGTAATTATCTTCAGAGGATAAAAGGAATATCGAAAATAAAAAAGATAGTATAGAAATATGTACGAAATAAAAATTAAGTTTTAGTGAGGGTGAATTGTGACAGCATATTATTAAAAAAGTTGAAAATTGATTTGGTTTCATAAGTATTTAAATGGAAGAGGTACGGTTATACTGTACTTTATTTAAATATAAAATAATTTTTTATGTGAGATTCTCATAGGAACAAAGGATCAACTTAATTTGATGCCCAACTTATTTTGATGGTTCTTTTGTGTTCATTCACTATTAAAATAAAGACTGATGAATTTAATTTTTACAAGTTTTTTTTACCATAGTTACAAATTACTGAAAAATCATTCTCATTTTAAGCTTGTTGAAAGAAATAAGTTGGTTGTAATGTTATTGCTTGAGCTTTATACCATTTTACTGGATATTTCTTTTACTAACGATTACTAATTACCCACCATAACTTCAAAACATCCCTTTTTTATTTAATTAGATCAAATCAAATTTTTTTAAAAATCTCAATAGAGACAAAAAATTAAATAAAAGTTTGTATGTTCGATTATACGTACATTGTCGATTATATGTCAGCAAATGACCGTTGATTATTATTCTAAATGATATCTTACAGTATATTTTATCCATAATAATTATTTATTAGAAGTATAAATTCTGTTAGATTGACTTGTTGTAAATTTTAATTGTAATAATAACTCTTGTAGAAAAATATTATTTTATACATTTAATATTGGTAAGCTAAAAGAATGTAATCAGTCACTTTTAACATTCCAGTGTTTATAACTACATTTTATAAATTTAGAGACAATTTCACTTAATAAAAACTTACTTTAAACTTTTTTTACTCAAATACATTGTTATATAGCTTTTCCATAATTCTGTAAATGTCGGGACAAGTTTAATTTTAGTTACTTTTTCCAGATTTATTTATTAATAATTTTTTATTTTCCTATTTTTTAAAATGCAGAATAAAAATGTTATAATTCTTTTTTTTAATTATTTTTTATATTTACCTTTATATTACACACACCAGATTTTTGATCAGAATTATAAGTTTTAAGCTAGATCAAACTATTAGACACATTAACTTTGCTCCATTTTATCTCCACTTTAACTTTATACAATTACTTAAATGTAGTTTGAATTAAAATTTGAGCAGAAATTTAAAAAAAATATTTTCATGTCACACATTTAAGACCTCCCTTTGGTATTATTTTTTTTTTAAACTTACATTTTAAGAGGGAATATTCTTGTATTTAACTATTAATGATTAAAAAAATTATTATATTTATATGATGCACAACTATGATCTTTTTAAATTTTAATCTTTATTACATATATAAAAAGGTATACTTATTATCTTATATACAAAAATTATTTTTTGCGAAAGTGAAAAATTAATAAAATCCTATATTGAGATATTTAAGAAGCCATCATATATTGAAAATCATTCTTTTGCAAAATGCCTACAGTACCAAAATTTAATTCCTTAATTATTCATTGTCTATCAACATGTTAAATAGGAAAATGACATAACTTGTACAAAATTTTTTGGCATTTATAAGAATTCCTTCTTTATGATTATATGTATTTGTGACATGGGCAATTTCATGGAACTAGTCTTTAGTTTTATGTTCTGTATTTTCTAAAGGTGCCATCGAGTTAGAGGTCAATATATATGGGGAAATACTAGCAAATTTTTAGGGTAATATACAGCAATAATGAGCAGAATCTTATAACTGTTTTCTTTTCAATGCAAATATTTGCCACATCTTGAGGTGATGTCTGAAGCCAGAAAAGAGCATCTATTATGTAACCAGTTCTGATTTATCGATTGACAAAAAGGAAAAAAACTCTTTGCGTGTTTCAAAACCTGTTTTTGTTAATATTCAGAGCAAAGATGAGGCTAATATTTACATTTTGGCTTTAAGCTCGGTTAACAGATAATATGGCTAGCTATGTCACAAAATGGAAAGTTGACTAGTTGTCTTTCTTTTTTTTATAATAAAAAACATACACAAAGTATATACTAGGTCAACAATAAAAATTTATATCAACTATTTTATTAAATTACTATTTCATTGTTTACATTACTTTTTGAAAAACATACCTAGTAATAAAGATATATATTTAAGGAAAAAATATCTAAAAATTAATAGAAATGCATGAAGCTATTAACTACACATGGAATTGCTCATATGTTTTATTTTGTGAAATGTTATATTTTGCTACACTGTGTATTTTACCCAGCTGTGCTGATGAAGTACACTAAACATAATTTCTGTTAAAAAATTAGCTTTATTTGTATATTTTTATACTATTTACAGACATAATACTTAAAATTAAGAAATTGTTTTACTTTGTAGTTAAAATGTATTACAACTTTACGTATTTATTGACATTACAGAAAAATTTATGTGAAGTTTAAACATGTGATATATATATTTCAATAAATATAATTAAAAAGATGTAATTCTTTATTTAGTTTTCGATACATTCTTTGATTTTTTTTATGTACATAAGGGATGTATTTTGAAACAAACTACCTAGGAATTGAACTAAATTAGAAAGATTTTTAACGATCGATTTCTCCAAACACAACGTCCAGAGTACCTAAAAAGAAAACCATAATGAATAATCAAGTGATTTATGGACATTACTATACATAAAATTTTACAGAAATTCCGATGAGCTTCAGTTTTTATGCGTATGAAAAAAAATGTATTTTTTAAAAAAATATTTGAGTCAATGTTATTGTAGTTTTTTTTAATGAAAATCAGTAAAATTTTAAAGTTAGATGCAATATTAATCTACTCAGCCCATTCAAAATATTTCATATTATCACTTTATTTTAACAATGTGTTTCAATGAATGATGTTTAAGTTTGCAAATGATGAATTTATCAATTACTTTTCGATCATTTTTTAAAGTTAGCAAACATTTTATCAGTCAAAAGCAGCATGAAATTTTTGCTAAAATGGAATGCAATATTAAAGAACACTATTTCTTTATTGGGGGCAATACTTTGATCATTGTTGGGTAATTTTTACTCACGCCTGATACATTCTTTGTTTAAAGTTTTTGGCAACAAACCCACAATTTGAAAGAAAAATTTAGTTCCCATATTAACAAAATGCAGTCAAATTTATACAAAAGAGCTGTCAAAATCTTGACAAAAGAGAACATATGGCATCAATCTTCTTATCTACTGCTTGATTGTTTTATCTGTTTAAATAAACTAATATGTAAAAAAAATTATGTTTATTATAAGTTTAAAGGTTTCCTAAGGAAAAAATATTGTTAGTTCTTAAAAGGGCTGAAATGTTTGAACACATTTGCAAGGAAATGAATTCAAGATGGGATTAACATGTCACAGAAAAGTGAATAAATAAAATTTTAAATCAAAAGTGTGTTAGTTAGATTTATTGTTGCCGTTGAAAAGAAAAGTGCAAAAATAGTTAATACAACTTTTTAAATCATTGCAAATTTTTGAAGTTTTAACAAATAAGTTTTTCTATCAGAAAAATAAGGTATAAATTTTTTTTCTTTCTATATTTCATACCAGGAGCTTTTTCCCTGTTCCAAATTACTTGCCAACCTCAAAACTGCTTACACAGTTCATTTTAGATAATTTTTTCATTCGTTTCACCTTAAGACTACTTTAATTTTAACATTTTTGTTTTCTATAATCCATAACTGTTAGCACAGTTGTTTTATAATCTTTTTGTGGCTTTTGACCAATGCATTAAGATAAAATGGCGAAAATTCAAGATATTGGAGTGGATTGATATAGTGATTCCAAAACAAATTTAAAATTAAACTAAATAACCAAAATGCTTTAAAAAAATGTTCTCTACCAAAACTAACAATTATTTTTTCTTGCATAAAATAATGCAGGTAATTCAGTTCTTTTGCATTCAAATATTAAGGATATATATTTTTTTGGTAACAATAAATTTGTAAATGAAAATGTTTTAATTATGTAAGCATTAAATTTAAATTGTTAATTAATAAGAAAATTGATTAAAACTGAATGTTTAAGAAAAAAAAACCCCACCTAAAATTTAATTTAATGATGCTTGACAAAGTCTTACTTACCAATAATAGCTACAATATCTGCTAACAAATGTCTTTTCCCTATATGATCTAGGGCAGCCTATAAAAAAAAACCACTTTAAAAAATCATTTAAAATAATTAGATAAAATTTAATTCTAGTTTGCAACAGCAAAATAGATTAAAATAGTTTTCAGAAATTCAAATGGGCAAGTAATCAAATAAAATGTGAAAATTTAGTTCTTGTGAGTAAAGTGCTCATTTAAGTTACGAATTTTGGTTATTATTTGACATGCATGCATGTCTGAGGGAGGAGGAGATTTTAATAAGCTTACAAGAAAGTAAGAATTTGAATCAAGAAAATCAAGTTTTTTGCTTCTTCAGACATGAACAAGAATACATATCTTTATTTAATACACATTTTTTGCCTTTTTTTACGTCAAATTTTTGCCAGAATCAAGAATTTTTTTTTTAAAGAAGAAATTAATAAAAATCACAAAGTAATTTTATAACATTTATGCATTTTAAATTTTACAATACTTCATGGGTGTCATAAGTTCTGTTTGCTAATATGCAATATTGTATCAAAGACAAAATATAAGCTTGAAAGGAAATTGTTGTATCCATTAAAACACTGATTTACTTCACGTAATTATGCTTATAATTTAAGATTTTCATAATTGAAATAACTTATTGATACAGTTTTTCTAAAGATTAAAAATAAATAAATAAAATAAGGAAAGTACCAAGTGAGCAAATCCAGGAGCTTTTATTTTGCATCTGTATGGTCTACTGCTTCCATCAGAAACCAAATAAACACCAAACTCACCCTAAAAAGGAACAAAAACAGACAGCATAAATACTTACAAATTAAACTCTTCAATAATTAAATGAATTTATTATTATTAATATCCAATCACATATAACTTTTAAAAAAAACCTTAAGTTTAAATAACAAGCAATACATTATAATTATTAACTTAGATAAGATTTATAATACAAATAATTGTTTCATAAAAATGAAGCGTATTTCATCTAAAATATTAAAAAAAAAAACATCAAATTTTATTTCATCTTTTTAAAATGTTTCAAAAATTTGACATGAAATTTCAGTTATTAACTAATGAATTTTTCGTAACTCAGCAATAAACTCTTTTAGGTTTGCTTACAATGTTCGAAAGCAAGATTTATTGTATTTGGAATGATTTTGAACCAAAAAAATGTGGTTTTATTTATTATAATGAAATTTAAATTTTCATTAGAATTGCTTCTCATTTTGATATAGTAATATGGAATAGATGTGATTTTAGAATGTAAACTAAAGAACTTGGTAAATTTATGTGTGTGCAAAACCTCAACTGAGGTGGCTTCATGACAGCGAGAAAGAACTTAAAACCTTGAAGGAGATTAATTGAAAATAGCATGCACCTGATCTTTGATGGAAATAATTTGTTGGGATGGCCCTAGCTTGCTTTGGCAGTATCAAGAATATTAGTAGTAAATTAAGAGGTTTGTGAAGTGGTGACGGTAAAACACAGAATCGCTTAAGAGCTGTACTGCACAGCTATAAAGTACATTTCTTAGTAAAGAAGTGATCCCCCAAGCTTGAAAGTTGTCTTAATTGGATTAGGTTGCTTTAGCAGGTTATAGTAATATTGAATTATCTTATGAGATGCATTACTTCAATGGAGGGAGATTATAAGTTACCATCTAATAAGTCAGATAGATAAGTAATTTAGCCATCTATTAAATCAAATGGGAAAAAAAAAAACAAGTGTGGTAACGCCATCTAGTTTGAATTCTGCTATGAAAGTGAAGTCATGTTTTTAACTTTTCAAATCTAGAAAACAACATAACATAATGTATGTGCATAGAAAGACAAAGGACCGAATAAATAAATTCAAAAACATTTTTCTGATAGACCTAGGTATGCATTTTAAACTGAACTTAATGGCACTACAGACCATGAAGGGCCAAGACCTACTGTGCTTGTGCCAGTTCTTTTGACCTTGGGCTCTGAGGTGAAGATGCAGATGTTCCCGTTGGGTAGTCAGTAGAACACAGAACCGCCCAGTGTTTCGACCCCAAATATGTTTGGCACTCATTTTTTTAATCCACTGAAGAGATGACAGACTGGGTTACCTTTCCTAATCAGAGGATAAAACCCCAAATCTGTGACACGAAAGCGCAAAACACTACCATTCATCCACCGGTGTCAGGTATGCATTCTGGTAAAGTGAAATCCATTCTCAACGTTATTAAAAACAGGAAGGGGAAACAGTGCACAGAAAAAAGTACATTTGCAGAAATTTGTCCACTTGAAAGATCTAATAACTTTAAATACAAAGGGGGCAAAAATAAGACTGAGTTAATAAAGACATACTTTTGGAGCTTCTATAGCAGTGTATGTGGCACCAGGAGGTACAGGGTAACCTTGTGTGAAAAGTTTGAAGTGGTGTATCAATGCTTCCATAGAGGTCTATGACAAAAAATATCAGTTAACAAAAATGTTCACTTATTTTAAACAGAAACATAACAAATTTGAACAAATGCATAATACTGACCTTCATTTCCTCCCGTGTAGGTGGTACAACCTTATGATCATCCACTTTAATTTCCCCCTCGGGCATTTTGTTAATACATTGCTCTATGATACGCATGCTCTGTCTCATTTCTTCAATTCGGCACAAATACCTATAATGTACACATAAGACACAAGAAAAAGAATTTGCTTATTTAAAGAAAAAAAATTATATAATGTCTCAAAATTTATGTAACATGCAGTTTTAACAGAAAATATAGGTTTTTAATACAAAATTGGGAATTTTTTTATTGTTATATTAAGAATACAATATAGGGTTAGGCATGGAATATCATATGAGGTAAATAGCCAATGAAGTCTAACTGGAGTATAAATTTTAAATATATCAATTTTACATAAATATGGGTAAATTTTGTTGATACCGTGTTCAATTTCCTTTTTTCCAATGCGTGAGTGGTTAAAAGTTCTACAGCATTAAAATAAATTCTGATCACTAAAATGCACAGAATGATCCAACAATGAAAATGCATTTTTCGTTTGACATAATGCTCATATTTTAACAACCTTGAATAGAGCAAGTTTCAAATTTTGCATGAATTTCTGAACTGCAATTAAAGATTATTGTCAACAAAAAAAAAAAAAAAATTAAAGCTAATATTTAAAAATATAGCTTTCGGAGGTAATTTGTTCAGTTTATGGCTACTTAAGTCAAATAAAGCATATGTATAAGAACTTAATACTAAATTTATACTATCAATAAAATTTTGCTAAAAAGCTTAGTTGAAGAGCATGTAATGAGACTTATTCTTTTTACATTATAAAATCATCAATCAAGAGCTAGAATTAAAAAAAAAATGAAACAAAAATTTCAGTAGCTGCTATTAAATGATCAAAACATTAAAGTACTCCTAATATTGGACATAAAATAGGGACTTCTCTAAATAATTAAAACAGTAATTTTTAAGGATATTAAACATTGCTAGCAAAAATTCTAAAAATACTAGAATTAGTAACTTAAGGAAAAAGTTTTTTTTTCCTCTTAAATCTTGAAGAGTTGCATTTTCTACCCATGTAAACAAAATAATTCATTTATTTTTATCATTCATTCGTACTTTCTTTGAAATTTTATTTAATCTTATAAAGTAGCATTTGAGTTTCACATTTTGACAGTAAATTAACTTAATATGAAAAGCAATCATTATAAAATAGAATATAAAATTATTGTCTATTGGAATCAAATGTTGATAGTCTAAGGTAACATCAAATAGGAATTGGCTGCTTTGCCTTAATTTTTTTCTGAATTCCTCAATGTTTTCAGAATGTCAAAAATACTTGATAATTTTTTCAGGTCTGTCACCACCCTGATAAACTTTCAACAATTGAGATTATTTCATTCTAGTTTCGAATTTTGATAAACAATAATTAAATGTACACTTATGATAAATAATATTTATATAACAATATATAGTATACTCTCGATATCTCAAAGTTGAAGGGACGTTAAAAAAATTTCGAGATAACAAGTTCAGAACTAAATATGTTCTAAAAAGTATATATATATATATATTGACAATAAGTCTAAAGACAGCAAGGACAATTTTATTTTTAAAAGCAATGCAAAAATAATTATACACTATATAGAAAATTGTTTTACAATAAACTCACATTAATAGAGTTTATCAAAATATTCTATCATTGTGGCCAGCGGACATTGTTTTCAAAATTATTCATTAATCAATTTTTCCATTTGGAAAATAGCTGCCAAGTCATCGCTTTCCATGATCTTGGAGTATTTCATGAAACGTTGTGGGCAACATTTTCTCTTAGGACAAGCAATATTGAGTAGTGGTACGCGGTGATTTTTTCGAACAAAATTTATCTTTTACTTCGAAAAGTATTTGACATGACAAGGTTTTTGAGAAGAAACTCTTCGACACAGGAATTCAAATTAACATTAGGTGGATATGTAATACTAAGCGGAAAAGTATTTTTTTGACAATACAAGGTTTTGAAAGTTCCAGATATTGAGAGTATACTGGATAATACTTTATGAAAACAATAAAACATATACACAAAATATAAACATTTTATTTTTAAAAAAGGAAAATAAAATAAAATATTTAACTTATAAGCAAACAAAATGTTTACCTATCGTAGCAATCACCTTTGATACCAATAGGAATATCAAAGTCATAGTTTTCATAACCATCATATGGTTGCGTTTTTCTTAAGTCCCATTTAATTCCAGATCCTCTTAGCATAACACCACTAAAAATATATATTATTCATAAGTATAATCACTAGATTAATACAGCATTTTGAATTTGAATACATCAGTATATTGGATATAAGACTTATAAATGACTGACTTGCACTAAATTAAATTATAGAATTTTGTTAAAATGAATTTTTGTCAGAGTCAATTTCAAACCATTGTAATTGAATTTTTTTGCATCAAAAAAGCTATCTGTGTACATAGGCAAAGATTAAATTTTTGACACACTACACAAGCTAAAACATAAAATGATTTAGTTATAATAAAAGCAATATTGTTATTAATAACTATAATAATTGCATATGTATACACTTTTATTTATATATAAAAGCAAGATTAAATCGAAAATATAGAAAATGTAATTTTTTATTTAAGTGGTTATAATCCAAATGAAAAATATTACAAAATCAAAGATAATTAAAGAAACAATAATATTAAAATTCTTATAAAAATACTAAAGAATTTGAGCGCAATCATAAGAGAGAAAAAATTGTAATAGAAAAACTAGAAGTACTAAATGTAGAGCATAATTTCATGTTTGAAAAGCTATATTAACAATAAATACAAGATATAAAATAGACATTAGGGATGGATTTATTTTAGTATGTCTGATGATTTATAAACTTATATAAATGTATGAGAAGATTTAGTATTAGTTATTCTTAATATGAAGCTAGCACTAAAAATTTACAAAAAGATAAAAATAATTTCGGTTTTAATTTTCCAAAAGGCAGCATTGTTAATATAACTGATGTTAAATATAACTGATAAGTCAAATAATACACTTAATAATATAATATAATAATAAACAATAGTTAAAAAACAATGTAAATTACTGTAATAGAATTAGATAGAATACCAGTATCAACTAGAGAAAAAAAAGAAAGATTTCTATCTGAAATTGTTTTTAAACTTATATCAACTTTAAAATTAGAATAATCATTCACCAAGTAATACTAGGAGTTAGTATCTACAGTTTAAAATGGCTTCAACTTTTCTTTTCTTTTAAAGAAGTTTATGCACAGTTTATTTCTCTCAAATTAATTTAAAATGTATTTTAGAAATTTTGGGAAAGTAAAAGTTAATCAAAACTTCCAGTACAAAAACTTATGAAACTATTAGAATTTACCTAAAGCCATAGTTCAAAGCATCTTCAGAGCTCACTATTCCAATATCGATTGTCCTAGCTCTCCATATTCGATTGTTTGTCAATAAATCCTCGACTTCATCAATTCGTTGACCATATTTGCTTAACCATTCAAATATATCATCTAATAAGCCAATAGGAAGATCCTGATTAACTCCACCAGGTCGAACGTAGGCAGCATGCATACGAGCTCCAGAAACTCTTTCATAAAATTCCATTAACTAAATTATAAAAACTTTGTTTACTTAATTTTTTCTCATATAAAATACTTCTTATAGATCAGCAATTCCATGAGTAACTTATAGTTGAGAGCTAAAGGCTGGGAATATTTTTTGAATTTATGGGTTAAAATACTGGATAAGACTTAAAATTACCATGCCAATGAAGATAAATAACATAAATAAGATAGCTAATTTTTGTAGTTAGCACATGCCTTAGTAAATTCAGTAAAAAAAATTTTTTCCCCATTATTTGTTATTATCAAAGATTATTCAATAATTTCGGGGCATTAACCTACATTTTACTATGAATGAACAGAAAAATTGTAAATGATCTTACATTCAGTTCTTTAGAATTGGAACGTTCCAGGGTAAAATTACAAAATTCGATAATTATACACAAAAATAAATTAAATTAAAATTTTATTTGCTTCTCAGATATGTAACAAAACTTTTATCTTTTAATAATTCCTGTACTACTGTATTTTAAAATTGGAAAAATAAACTCAAGACATTCTGTCTGTTATATTTCAAAAATCTATTTTATAAGTCTACAGGATTTATAATTTAGTATAAATATGCATTTTAATATAAATCACATATAAAATTTTTAAAAGACCATGCACGTAATTTTTTTCAAATATTAGTTAAATTTAGATTTAGTTAAAATCCATTAATATTATTGAATGTTACCTTTTCTCTTTCTTCAAATAACCAGAAAAATGGAGTCAAAGCACCAACATCTAAAGCATGAGTACCCACTGCCATGATGTGATTGAGAATTCGAGTAATTTCAGCAAACAAAACTATTTTAAAAAAGAGAAAATTTTTTTTTGCATTGCTCAAATCATGAATTAATTACAAGAATAAGGTAAATTTTAAAAAAGCTTAATGAAATGATTTTAAAAAATATATAAATATGTAAACTATACAAATGCACTCTTGTAAAAAGTTATTGAGGTGTTATCAACTCATGTGGCTCATAAACTGTGCCATCCGCTTAATCCTATTAAAAAAAGATCTTAAGATCCAGGGATCGTATTGGCTATGTGCTTAACCCTTTGCTTTGTACACTAAGTGGACCCGAATGGCTTCATCATGCCAAGCGCCGTAAGCAATAGGTTAAAAGAAATTCACTGTCACCCCACGTATCTAAGACACTCATGAATGACACTTTATGAATGACTGATACCTGAGAAATTTTTAAAAAAATGCATTTTTAATGAGCATTGGTCTAAAATAGAAAAAAGTTCAAAACAAGCTTTCTTATAGATTAATGTTTATTCAGGCAACAAAAGAGTTACACATCAAATATTTGTAATTGAAAAAAAAAAAAACATTGCATGATTTTCTTTAATTTTGTGAATTTACTTTTACGTGAAAACAAAATATGTGTAATGGTATCGGAAATATAAATATTTAAAAAATTTTATAACTGCTTAAGGTGTCCTAAAGTAAAAATAAGAAATAATTCAATACATTTTTAATAATATTTCCTTTACATAACAATAAATCAACAAAAATCATAATTACCCCTGATGCATTTAGCTCGAGGTGGAGCCTCGATGTTTAGAAGCTTCTCAACAGCAAGGGAGTAACATTGCTCATTACACATCATGGATACGTAATCCAGTCTATCAAAGTAAGGAAGCGCTTGAGTGTAAGTCTTGTATTCAATAAGCTTTTCAGTGCCTCTATGTAAGAGTCCAATATGAGGATCAGATCTGATTACAGTCTAAAAGTAAAGAACGAAAAATGTAATTATTTTAGGACAAATTCCACACGTTACACAGAATCAGTAAAAGATTTTAACACTTTAACTGTGGACCTTGAATTTTGTCTGTTATTCTGCAAATTAAACTGGTTTTTCCTTTTTTTTATTAAATGAAAATAATTTGTTAAAATAGATTTTAAAAGGTGACATTATAAATTGATCAAAACAAGCAATCAACTTTTAGTGGACACAAGTATAGCATAATCTCAAAAATTTGAACTTTTAAAATACGGAAACTTCTGAAATTCATGATGAAAAAAAATTAGCTACACGAATTTTAAATAGGGAGCAAAATGCAAAAATTCATAGGTCATAAAATATCCTACTAAAAAAAGTTATTTTAAAAATTGTGAGGAAATCCGTAGCAAAAACTACTCAATAAACCATTGATAAGACTGTGAATTTCTGATGAAATCATCACCAATGCAAAATTTGTATGTTACAATTAAAGCACAAATGCAAAATTTGCATTCTATAAAAAATATAGAGACTTTAAAAATCATGTTGTAATTAATCGTGATAACTGTCAAAAACACCAAATGAGAAGCTTAAGTAAATTTACAATTTAATCATCACAAAACAAGAGCACAAAAAAAAAGATTCCTCAATACACAACTCAAAATTCATATATCATAATCTTGTACTGAAATATCCAGATATAAAAAATCATGTCAAAATTCAAAAAAATTACGCTGAAACAATGCAACCCAACCCAAAATACTCTAATTTGGAATGTAAAATTAAACTTAAAATATAACTGCTGTTATCATGAAAATAATGTAAGCATTGGAGTTACAGAAAATGCAGCTATGCAACAAGAATTAAGTAAAGCATTCCTACAACAGCTTGTGGAAGGCCAAGGAGTCATTGAGGTAGACTCCGCAGTTTTCTGACCAACACAAGATTGTGGCAATGTAGTCAGCACAGTGCACAGGCCGCCTTTACTTCTAGGCAAGCTGGTACCCCTCAAATCGAAGATGGGTTGGCTTCAAGCTGCCACTGGGGATTGAATCCAAGTTCTACACTATGGCAGTTCAATGCTTTAACCACTGAGCCATTGTGGCTCATAAAACAAATATTAATTGATTGGAAACATTAAAATCAAAATTTATATAATTTTAAAATATAGAAATATATCTCTGTCAATATATTTAATAAGAAAAAAAATATATAAAAAAAAATAAATATTTTCTATATTTCTCGGTACAATATTTTAAGATAGTTTAAAATTCTAGAGTGAGTCTCATAAAATATGAATAAACATACCACTAAAAATGTCGCATGAACATAAATTTTATTTTCTTCATTTCAATTGTAACTAAAACTAAAGTTAAAATCATTAATTTTTCATTGGATATTTAAATATATTAAAATAAGAGACACAATTTAGAAAAGTTGTAAATGAAAATTACCTCTCCATCTAATTCCAGAATCAAACGTAACACTCCATGAGCTGCTGGATGTTGAGGGCCAAAATTCAGAATCATATTTTGAATTTTTTTCTCCACTGGAGGTATTTTATCTAATAAAAAAAAATGGTAATTAACATAATCTTTTCAAAGATACATCAGTTAGTTATTTCTTTAAAAGAAGGACTTATTTCCGTAATACACTGCTAAAGAAAATTTTTAAAAAATATTGTACAAGTAAAACGAAACATACTTTTAACTTTATAGAGTACCCTGTGGCAGAATTTTTTCGAGCTTTCTTTGACAATTCTCTATAGTACTAATACCTTTCTTTAATAGTCTTCTTTAATAATAAAGACATTTTTAATAGTAGCAAATATATATGTTACTAATTTAAAGTAACAGAGGTTTTTACTGTTTGCAAAAAAGCCTTTATGTATAGATCAGAGCAGTATATAATTTTTTTTAAAATTATAAATATAAGAATTTTTATTTTAAATCTAAATGTATAAAAGAATATTCTAATATTATTGGCGATATTCTTGTTCTAAAGAATATTTGTATAGTTAACCTTTTTAAATTTTTGCTATTTGGAAATTACTTTTTATAAAATCAATCTGAAATTCTAGCTAAAGTCAGTCATAGTGGATTTTTTTTTTCTCAAAAGAAAGTAGCAAAAAAAAAAAANAAAAAAAAAAAAAAAAAAAAAAAAAAAAAAAAAAAAAAAAAAAAAAAAAAAAATCATGAGCATTTATTCCATCTAAGATATGCCAGAAAGGCATTTTTTTAAATATAATTCTGCAGAAAGGGGGAAAAAGTTCCGCAGAAAAAAAATATTTAAAAAAATTCGGCAGATAAAAAAAAAAAAGAGATAAGAGAGATAATATATAAAAAATATTTCTGCAAGAACTCTGTAATGCTGTGCGACAATACCGCTCAGTCGCCACAATTCTGCCACAGGGATAGAGCAAAATAATAAAAATAAAATGAAAATCTTTCTGTGAACACAAACTCTCAATTAAAAAACTTTCTACAACCAATTGATGTCATTTACACTATTGCAACTAAACAACATTTACCAACTACTATTAGGGAATTTTATTGTTCTGTTAACCAGAATGAGACTTTTTTAATGACTTAGTCAAGCATAGAAACCCATCTTGGAAGACACCACAATGCATGATGGTTGGGTGCAATCTGTTCTAAAAAGTACAAATATTCAATATATGAGTGGCAAAAAATATATAATAAGTAACCTTTTAAAGGTCTTGGTTTCCATTTTACTCCTGGGAAATTTTCTGGATACATAACAGGTCCTTCAAATTGTTCCAGAAACTCCAAATCTGGATACCATCTTTTAGTTTTAGTTCTGAAACAGGATTAAAACATGAGAAACTGCATAAAGTACAAAACATTAAAAAAAACATCTGATTACAAATATAGCATTAAGAATAATTTTTTCCTAATTAATTAAAATAATGTTTTAGTGAGAATCCTCAAAATTTAAATTTACATGAAAAAAAAAAGAGATACAACTTAAAAATTAACTATTAATCAGGGTTGGCAGGTTTTTGACATGTGACAGTTTAAACCATGGTTTAAACCGTCACGTCAAAAACCTCACTGTCAAAAATGTCGAAAATGTCNTAAATTTCAATATAATGCATGGCAACTGTTGGTAGTTTTGAAGTTTATATATTTTTTTGGCAAACTTTAGTTTATGACATTTTTGACGGTTTAAACCAGTATTATACCCTTGTCATGTCAAAAACCCAACCCTGCTATTAATATTAGATTTTAACATTAGATTTAACATTTTTAATATTAGATGCTATTAATATTAGATTAGACCAAAATTGCACACCAACAAGCAAATGAAACAAATTGACTTGAGACAGTTAGCTCAAATGATTATAAAAAACAACAGATTATTGCATATAATATGCTGATAATTAAGAAACCATCCAGTTATATAATTTTCATAACTCATCTTCATTAAACTTGCAAAAATAATGTAAATATCTCCATTTATAAATACTTAAATAAATGATTTATTTTTAAATCTGTGCATTCAGAAAGAGAAACTGAAAAGTAGAGTACATTTCAAGGATATTTTCCTATCTGTACCAGTTTGCGACAATTGAAACTTCTTGGTTGTGGACTTAGATTAAATTTTATATACAGTGATTTGATTAGAGTGTTACTATTAGTTTTACAGTTTGTATTTGCCCCATTCAGAATTTTTTCCCTCACATTCCAGTGCCTGGTTATGGCTATTTTGATACCACTATGGATATCTAAAAATTTTATTCATTTTGTATATAAGTTGCACCAGAACATGTATCTTCGCCAAAAAAATTGCCAAGTTTTGGCAACTTTTGAGCTGTGGCCTGAAGAAACTGAAAAAACATTACAAAAGAGGGCACATTTATTTCCAAATAGTAATTTGTCATGTCAACAACAATCACCCAGTTACCAAATGGATTTTAAACTATATAAAAAAGAAAAAAAAATAGGTAGAGATTGCCTCAGGGTTACAAGTTAGATCATACAAGTTGGTTCCTTTTTGAGGTGTTATTTCTTAGTTTTTAACAACTCACTATCAGAAGTTGTCAAGACATGGTGATTATTTTGGCTTAGATCACATTTAGGAAATTTCTTCCAGAAGCATATCAACTTGTAAGGGGTGATATTTCCATAGTGTGACCTGTCTCACCACTTATAATCACAAAGACCAGTGATGCATTTGTAACTCGCAATTAAAACAAAACATGTAGATGCTTGCATGGGGGTGGCTAAGTGTTATACCCTTCAAGTTATTTCCTTCTATGATTTTTCTTAATAGTTTCTCGTGGGCCACTGCCCAGAAGTTCCCAAAACTAGGCAATAGCTCTGCTGCAGATCATGATACGTAAATATTGCCTCGAAAGGTATAATTCCAAGTTATCCCATGTAAAATCACAACACTTTAATTTTGATAAGTTAAAAATATCTTAAGCACATTGGCGGAGGTAGTAGGGTCGAGCAGATACGATAAAGAAACCTCAGTTGCACCACCATAAGAAGATATGGAGCAGCAACTGATCTTTGGGCAAAACTATATAGTGATACAGATGACAATATAAAGTTTCAACTACTGGAAGTTTATATTTTAACAAATTAATAATTCTTTCATTAAAAATATCGTGTTGGTTGTATTTAATTCAATGACATTGTTAAATTTGTATGTGTTAATTAGTTATTGCAATAAGACAACTAATAACCTTTCATCCTTAGCTTATTCTTTATATTAAGTAGACAAATAGTTGATTTTTACTTATCAAATTATATCCAAAAATTAAATAAGCATCAAAAACTTAAAACATAAAAGTACATTTTAACTTTGCCGGTAATAAAATAAAATAATTATTTTTGTTCTGCTACGCAGAGTTGATAAAGTGCAAAATTGAATGTATAACATTTTGTATAAGAATTTGACAACGTTTGATTGATGGTTTATCATACCTATTTGGTATTATAGAAGCTCCATACTGGTACGATACATTTTTAAATAAATTTCTAGCAGGTAAACTTAGAGTAAAAGACCTCACAACCGAGGCCATGTTTACACTTTCGGACTTTTGTTGACCTTCCTTAAAACAGCCAGATTCATAAAATATCTTCCTGAGAAAATATAAAATCTTCATTAAATATTGAAATTTGCTTCAGAAATTTATTATAACTGTGTAAAAAAGTTTTACATTTAAATATCTCCTTTTTTGATCTACATTTGCTTTCATTGATAATTATAATTCACAAAGCCTTAAGCTAAACTCATACGACAGCAGCTTATTTCATTAAAAAACTGAAGTGAATAAACTTTGTTTATAGGAAGTGGAAAAAAAAAGTCGTAGACTAAAATTTTTAAACTTTTAAATTTGATCTGTGTTTTCCAATCAAATAGAAATTTTCACTAATCAACTAATTATATATTTACTAATCAGCTGATCCTAGGAATTATTTTAGTGAGAATACATTTCATTGTTTTGAAATATTTTCTTTTATATGTGTGTGAAAGTAAGTTTCTAAAGATTGTTATATAAGTATTTTTTTTATACATTTTTTTATTTTATTTATTTCTTACATTAATCTTACATAATTTGCCTCTCTATAGGTTTATATGAAAAGCATAATGAGTGAATATGATTTAGACTTAGATGAGGAGAGTGACTATGAAGCTGCCGAAAAGAATGAAAATGAATCTGATGAAGGTATTGATTAAAAATATATTTAGTAATACAGATGACAGAGATATTTAAGAAGGCTATTTAAATTGATTTTTGACAGGTTATTTGAGACAGATTTTGGCTCATGGAGGTTGAGAGAGAAAGGGAATCTGGAGAGAGAAGCACCCTTCTTTTAAATGCATTATTTCTTGTTTCCATATTAGCAGATATCGTATCTTCTATGCGAGAGAAATTCTTTCTGTAGACAAACTGTATTTAACAAGAAGACATCATCATCATGCCTATGCTGTTCAAAATAGTAGATATTTTCATATCTGTAGCTATTCGCATCAACTGTAATTACTAAGGCATCAAAAGAATTTTTAACTCCAGAAAATTTATGAATAAGAACATATAGCAATTTGACCTGGGATAGCTACGAGTTGGTTTCTTTCTGCGATTTTTATTTTTGCACTTCCTGCTGGCCAGTGTCAAAATTCTGAGATTAGTACTCCCTTCAAATATCATATTTTCCTTAATTGGGCATATCTAGAAGCGGAGAGATTTCCTTATCCTGATCTGTGGAAGTATGATTTGTATAATATAAATTTATATTATTATTTGCTTTTTAATATTTTATTCTACATTTTTAGATACAGAAGATGCTAGTGAGACTGATATGGTGAAGCAAGAGGAAGAATATACTGAAATCAAGGAACAGTATGTGCTTTACTTTCTGAATTTTATAAAAATTTCTTGCTTCTAACCTTTACCATCTCATTGGTTCTTTTATTTATTTAATTGTAATATATAAATTTTCTGATTCTGGGTTAATTCCGTTTAGCCATAGATCACGGTAACATCTAAAAAGTAGTTGCTGGCATCCAATATTCTTGATATTTTAATAAAATATAACCAATGGAGCAGAACCGAAGTAGTGCATTAGTAGCAAAACTTGTGTAATTGCTGCATTTTTTTTTTTTTTTTGTAGTTTGTGGTGTAGTGTGCTTCTTTATAAAAGGATTAGTGTAGTGCATAGTGTTCCACAAAACGAAAAACGGTAGTTTGTAGCAATTCCTGACTATCACATTTGACGTTAATTAATTAATAAAGAAACAAGGATCAACTGCCACTAATTTTTTGAATCTAATTGGTACAAATTTTCATTGGTTTGTCAATGAAAGTAATGTAAATGCCTCTCTAGCTGAGAGTTAATAATAGTTACATATTACTAATATTTGAACTAGCTGTTACGAATAATAGCTCATTAATCACTCTGGCCACGCCTTCAATGTACTGCAAATGTGTAGTCACGAAACTTATATATTATATCAATGGAAGAGAAAATATTTTTTCTTATTTTTTGGTGTACAGTGTGCCAAAAAAAAGACAAATCACCCTAAATAACTTTTGATTTAATGATTGGATCTTCACGTTCTAGGACTCAATCCTTATGGTTTAAGGCAGGGATGGGCAAACTACGGCCCGCGGGCCAATTGTGGCCCGCCGGAACGTTTTATCCGGCCCGCGAATAGAATTTTAACTTGCCGATCCGTGGTGAATATAAACAAGATACATTATACATCTATTTTCCTGTCTACTATGTTTAAAGCTACTGATGACCTTTTTACTTACCCTATTTTTGTTCTACAAAATATAAATTGATGGAAATAGCACAACATGGAATACGGACAGCTTCAATATAAAATGTTGAAAGCAGAAGTTCTTTATAGAATAGCCGTAGATTGGCTCCAACGAGCGTTTGTCTTTCTCGAGGAGCACACATATGGAAACTAATATAGGTGAATTGTACTTCACATGTGGTAAACCACGAAATTATAAGCTCGAAGCAGCGGATTTTTCTGTCGGCGCGAGTTGTAACATTATTTATAGCGTATGGAAAGATTGCACACATATCATGTCATTGTAAAACCCAGAAAATCAGCATTATGTTTGCTTCATCTTATATATGTGAACAAGTGTTTTCAACTATAAACCTTATAAAAAATCCTTTCAGAAGTAGATTAACAGGCAAGCATTTAGCCTCGTTTCTTAAAATAAGCACATCTCAAAAAATGAAATCGCAATTTCATTAAATATTTAAATTAAAACTTGTATACGTTTATTATTTTTTTAGAAGTATCTACTCGGCCCACCAAACTTTTTATCCTCAATATTTTGCCCTCGACCAAAAAAGTTTGCCCATCCCTGGTTTAAGGATTGGAATTTAAATGTTCTAACTATTTAATGCAGACAATATTTTAAGTTAAGAAATCAGGCATATAAACTTATTTTCTTTTAATAAACATACCTTATTTTGATGGATTCGGATTTCTGACCTTCAAAGTACAGGGAGTAGCCGCAATCTGGGAAATATGGTCCCTATAGTTTGGTCAGGAGAGCGGTTCAAAGTTTGGACCCTTTAATGCTAACTTTACTTTTGCATATTTCGCCATATCTCAAGAAATATTTGCTTGTGGGCTGGTTTTTTTCCTTAAAAACCTGAATTTTGGCAAACTATGTAGAATAATAAATAAATGGAAATAATTTAGAAAATCAGCAACATTTGACTTAGTTTACACTTGAAAAGTCTTCCAGACTATCCAATTTGCCCTAATATTTGACTGTCCTAAATTTAATTCGAGCATTGAGATTTACATCAATATTATTAGATTTAAAAATGTAAGTATTTTGTATTTAAAATATTTATTAATTGAAAGGGAAGGATAGATTTTTAAATTTTATTCTTAATTAGTAGAATGAAGTTCTTATTCTAAATTTGTTGGCACTTATTAAAACCTTTTTTATTTATAATGCTTTTCTTTCTAGAATGTATCAAGATAAACTGGCCAATTTGAAGAAACAATTGCAGCAGTTAAATGAAGGAGTTCATCCAGATTATTTAAAGCGCTTGAAAAAGTTAGAACAAAATTATGATCATCGAATTCTTATGACGCAGATATTTGAAACAATAGAGGTAATTTTTTTTAAATAAAACCTGTATGATTTGATGGCTCTAATTACTTACTTATTATAGCAATGATTGTATTCCAAGTTTTTCGTATTATCCTTCTGGGTCTAAAAACTCGGAGCAGGGCATGGGATTTTCCACAAATTTGGCATAAATCCGCTTATTTTTAGACCTTAGATTGACGGACTTAGCGTATCAAAACTTATGATCTGACTAAAGTTCCACAGAGTTCATCAATTTAAAATTTAAATTTCGAAACTTTTGCTAAATCGTGTTAAAGAGACGTTTCATTAATGTTATTCTTTCGCCAATTTGATTCTTTAGGATTGTAGGATTTTAGAAATTTTTAATATCTCAAACTACTCTGTAATCTGCTAATATCACAATTCATATTCACATGCTTTTAATATCATGCATCGATATTTGAATCAACCTGATTTAAAAGCTACACAACTTGAATCATATTCACGCAATTTAAAAATCATACATGATTATTCATATTTAAGTGATTTAAAAAATTCAATTTCGTGATTTGTGTTTATGTGTTTTTAAAATTAGTATTGCGATTGTATTCATGCGAGTTTAAAATTGAATGTAGGCAGGCAATAAATAAATCGTGTTTCATTATTTGTATTTATGCGACTTAAAAGTCCAATATAGCGATTTTTATTTTCACATTCTTTAAATCCAATATCATGATTTGTATTTTTGTCCAATATCATATGCATGTTAATCATATTCATTTAATTTTAAAATTCAATAATGTGATTTTTGTAAGTACTAAGTTTTCCCTTAAATTAGTGACCATAAAGGTGTGATATTTTTTATTGTTAGGTAATTTAAATAACAAATCTTAGTTTAAAAAATTGTATTAAACATGTATAGTTTATAAATTGGTAGTGTGATATCGAGTTTTCGCACATAAAATTTTCAGGGTTTTTTGCTTTTGTGTATAGCATTTCAAGAAATATTTTTCAAATCTGTTAAATAATTTCATATTTTTGTTTAGTGGGGTTAAATGTCTAGTTCTAATCTTAGTTATTTTTAAAATAAAAATTGTCTCTTGTAACTTAAAAATTAATGATTGCTTTTTTTTTTTTCCTTCTTTTTTTTTTATCAGTTTTTATGTGATCCCAAATACTCTTTTAACTTTCATAAATTTCTCGTTAAAGCTAAGGCTAAAGTTATATTTTACCTTGCATGTTTTCTATAAGAAATGTGCTAAAATTATAATTGAAATTTCAACTTTATTATCAAAATTACAATCAACTTAAAAACTATTATTTTATAACATTATGATAATTACATTTATCTAGTTAAAAAATATTTAGAGGAAATTAAAATCTTGTAAGTTAATATTTTGAAGCAATTTCTATACTTAATTTTAGAAACAGTTGAAAAACTATGAAGAAAAAAATTCTAAGTAAGAAAAAAAGAAAAGAAAAAGAAAACTAGCATGTAAATAAGAACTACTAAGAACATACTTTTATAAGAAAATAATATTTGAGTTTTAAATATTTTAGTGATTATTTTACTTAATTTCTGTTATTTAACTTAATAAAACTTAGTTAAAGAGACGGCATTGCAAAATATTGGTCATTTTTTTGTGTGTATAATTTGTTGGTAAAACTCTTTTACCATGCTGCGTTTATTGTAGAAACAAACATATTAGTCATTTTTTAAGCAACGATTCATTGCTATTCTAAGATTTGCAGGTTAGTGGTAACTGCTTTGTGTATGTTTGCAGATTATAAAAATAAAATATTAAATTTAACTAGTTTTTTACACTATTGCTTCATAAATTATTCCTTATATAGCTACTAATCCTATCATAAAGCTGGGCTCTCACAAGTCAGGGAACATCTTGAGTTGTTATTTTAAATCTAAAACAAGTGAATAATCAGGAAAAGTTGCAATTGTTTTACAAAAAATCTGGAAAATTCCTACATTCTGCCTGGAAAATAACCTGTCTTAGAATTGTCAGTAACAGTAATCAGTTATTAAAATTTGAGTTAAATAATTCTAACATCTACTAAAATTCTTTTATGAAATTTCCACTTTTTAGGGGAAGTTATCCATGCTTCCATACTCATTCTATTATATATTTTTGCTCACGAAATCTAATATTTCGCATTACAAATAAAAAAAATCTTTCAGATGAAAAATTGGATGGTATAGATAAAATATGGTATGAATTTTCGTTGATATTTAGCTGATATTCTTGGAAAAGTCAGGGAATTTTTTTCTGAAATTGAGTAGGAACCCTGTAAAGTGTTTCTTTACTATTATGAATTGCTTATGTAGAATATTTGACAAAGAAGTAAAGTCAAATTTATCTTGGAAAGCTTTTTTTTTAAATGAGACGTTATTATACAAGATTATTATGCAAGATAATTATACAAGACATATTTATATCAGATTAGTATGTATGTTAATATTTTTTTTTATTTTTAAATAAGCACTTTTTTTCTCTTAGTCATGTTATAGTCTTTTCTTTTCAAAGCTAAGAAATTAATCCTTAAGGAAGAAAACTTGAGTAAGAAAAACAAAATGCTTTTTAATAACAATGAAAATAATATGCCAATAAACAGAACTTCTGCATTGAAAAATGATTTTCTATTTTAATTCAACAATGAAATTTTTAAAATTATATTCTTTTTAACTGGTTGAGTTTTTATTTTCTATATGTGAATTAAGAGTAAGTTTTTTTTCCAGCTGGAAAGAATTGAGCGTGATTATATTCTTGAAAAAGAAGCAGCTCATAAAGAGTTTGAAGATAAAAAAGTTGAATTACGAGAAAATTTAATATCAGATTTAGAGGAGAAAAAACGATTAATTGAGCATGAGCGTAATACAATGGAGCTTACAGGTGGTAAGTAAATCAGATTTTACTGAAATTTAATATAAGATGATGTGTTGATAAGAAATAACCTCTAGAAAAACTCAATTTAGTTACTCAGAAAAGTTGCTTGTTTTTAAAAGTATGTAAATTATTAGTGTAAAATTTTAGTTTTGAGATTAACACTTTTATGTTCAATTATTTTCTGTAATTAATTATTTTTTTATTTCTTGTGTTGCTTGAAATTATAAAGTCAAATTAAGGAAATTCTATTAATTCACCAACATCCATTTTTATTTATTTAAAAAAAACTGCATCATATATGAAACGTTTTGTATATATTGGTATAATTGACATGTACTATGTACTGATAATACTACAGACTTGTCACTAATACTGTATTTCTAGCTTATTTCATGATAATAAATAAGCTTTCTTTACCATTCAACTTTATTTGATTATATTATGCAGTGCTTGGTTATTTTTATAATGACAAGCAATAATTGTGAATTGTATTTTAAATAAATTGTTTCAATTCATTATCTTCTTTTTTTCTAAATAGGTTTTTTTTTAAAAACTTTTATTAAACAATTATTTAAATTTTTTTTTGAGAATAAACTAAAATGGACTAAATTGAATTCCAGATTCAATGGAAACTAAACCTGTCACAACTAGAAAACTGCGACGTAGACCGAATGATCCTTTACCAGTTCCTGAGAAGAAAAGAAAAACCCTTCAAAATATCCTTTCAGCGTTTATCATATTTTATTGTTTTGCAAATATTTCCTATTTATTTATTTATTTTGGTATTATTTACCTAAACCTTTTTAGTGTGAGTTTTATTTTCTATGTTTTATTTCAAAAATTATTATATTTTTGCTTCATGTAATTTTTAAAAAATATTAAAAAATTCAAAGTTTTGTTAATAAATAATATATTGAAAAATTAAAAAAAACTTTTCAGTGAAATCTACTCACTGAAGTGCAAATGTTTATGTCCAGTGTGCAAAATATTAATAGGAACGCTTAAATAAGTTTTAATCAAATTATCAGGTACTAATATACAATCTTAATCCAGGCAGATTATTTTAAATATGCTTCTTATATATAAATATGCTTCATATAGTATAGAAGAGCAGCCATAATCCTATCAGAGACCCCATCATCTGACCCTTAGATCAGAAGTTTGGTTCCCATTTCAATATAAAAGATTACAAGAGCAAAAATGCAAAATAATTTTCAGATATTGTAAACAATATCCATCTACAAATCAAGTAACTTAAAGTTATTATTAACTTAATGTGATTATTAGCTTAATGTGATTAATAATTGTTAATAAAGTAAAAATTTTACTTCATTAACAATTTTGTTTTTAATTATTATGCAATTCAGTCTGTGTTTTAACTTTCCCAGTCTACTTTTTCACTGAAAGCTAATGAATTTGCAAATGAATTTATTTATCTTATGTTATTTATGTTTGAATAAAAAAATTTATTCTTTTTTTTTTTTAAAGAAAAGAAATTTTTTCTTCTTTCTATTAGCCACATTTTTTTTTTTAAATTCTAGGTTTTAGATTTTTTTGTTTCATTTAAACTAGAAAGATTAAAAAGATTTAAATTTTCACAAATTTAAATATTTTTCTTTCAATTTTCCTACAAAAAAACCTGGATTTAGGCCATATGTCTCTTATACTTGCCTATTATGTCAGTAGAATAGTTCTAAACTTTGCAGTTCCAAAATTCATTGCTTAATTTGAAAATATAATTTTACTTTTTAACTGATATTTATTTGCTTTAAGCATTTTTGAAATTGCAATGTTATATAGTGAATATTATTATGTAATGTTAACTTCCTTAGTAGTTTATTACCTTCAATTAATTTTCTCTTGGATGAAAGTGAAATAATGGATGACCTCAGGTCAATGAATAAAGTAAGAAATTAGAATTTTATTACAAAATTCTTTTATTTTTTTATGAATTTTTTTTTGTTTACCCTTAAATGAATTTATTTTTGATACTATTATTTAGGTATATGTAAGTTCTTAAATTGATCTTGCAAACAATTGTATAACAAATTTTTTTGACAAAATCAGTTAATCTAAGTTAGCTCTAATGTGAATTTAAGTTTTATTTAAATTAATTTAAGAATTCTCACAATATTGTACTAAATTAACTTTTGATTCATGTGAGAATAACTTGTAACTAAAAGTCTTTGACTATGGTGTGTAATGTGATTTTCATTAATGTAAGTGTTGTGTTGCAAAGCATTAGTTGTAAGTGATGTTAGTTTGTAGGTGTCTGCATTTGTTTTAATAGCTGTTTTGTTTCTTCTCTTTAGTACAAAGCATCAACATCTAAAAGACATGATAGTGAGTATAAATTGTTTCTTCATATTTTCTATATTATCAACATAATTTACAACACATTCTGTTGACATTAATCTGTTTTCATTTTTGTACTAAATATCTTATTCAATGTAATCAGTGTCAAAGTAAAATCAATTTGCCTCTAATTATTTTAGAAAAAAATCTTAAGCATTGTGTTTAGTTACATTAAATCTTTTTCACAGAAAAACACTTGGAACAGAAATTGGTATTTTTAATATAGTATACCAATAAATATTAATTAATGAGTTTAGCGTAGCGTGGGGTTTATAATTATCCATTGAAACATATTTTTTTGCCGTATAATTTAAATCTAACCTTCTTTATTCATTATGATTTTCACTCAATTTTTGATAAATAGCCAAATAATAGATCTCTCTTTGTGATTAGTTAAGAATATGTTTCACTCACTTTGAAATCCTTTTTTTTCTGAAGAAGAAAAAAAAAGAGAGAGAGAGAGACCAAGGATCTGTTTCTTTCAATGTTTTTGAACAAAAATGTAACTTTTCAAAAATTGATATTTTCCAATGAATGAGGAGAAATTATCTCCAAAAATCTTTTTTAAAAACATATTCTATAATGATGGTATTTCAATAGATTGAAACTTCCCTTCTTAAATAATGTGAGCTTTTATTTATAAATTAAAAACCTGAAATATCAATTACTTATTTTGAAAAGAAACAATCAATGACATTCTCAATAAAGAATATACCACTAAACAGTCTTACTCTTTTTGGATGAACAGAAAATTAAGCAAATATATTTACACTATACTTACTTTTTTATAGAAAAATTCAAGTTGTCTCATTTTTATTACTTTATAATGGAATTAAATAATTTGTTTACGTATAGTGCCGTGATAAATTGAAAGGCCCTTATCAGGCATGTTTAATTTTCCTAAATGGTTTTTATAGTGTTTTTTTAATCGATTTTTAAAATATACTAATATCTCCACTTATTACAAAATTGTTAACTATTATGTCGCAAAACTCATCACTAAATTAGTAAAAGAGTGTCAGAATGTTATATACGAACGTATACTAATGAGTTTTACTGAGGGCCCTAACTATTATTTGATGTAAATGGCAGTTGAAGAAGTAAGTTTTTCAGTGATGGGGCTTTTTAACTTATGGGGCAGTTCAGCCAACTATACCATTTTACAGTTAGTAACAACAAGAAATTTCACACTGATCCAATGGCTGATATGTAGAAATTTTTATAAATAAAAATATTTTATTGCACTCTAACATTATTCTCAATACAATAAATTTTTTTCTTCTTTCTCTTGTAGGCTGTGAAAGTGGTTCAAGTGATCGTGGAAGCTCAATAGAGGTTAGAGTTGAAGATGGAAAATTATACTATGATAAAAAATGGTAAATGGTTTTTACTTACTCTTTTAAAATTTATGTATGTGATTAAAAAGAAATATACATGAAGTTTATTTCTAAGTATTAACTGATGATAAATTTCTTTGCCGTTCGAGTGATAAGGATTATGTTTAAAATGTTATTTTAGGTATCATCGTGGTCAGCAAGTGTATTATGAAGGAAAGGAAGTTGGTACCAAAAATAGTGGTTTAATCTGCACCATTAGTTCGTCTGAAGTAAGGAATTTTTTTTTTTCTTGTTTGGATTATTGTACCTATTTTGACAATGATTTTCTACAGTATTATCTTATTGTGTCAATGTTATTTTTATAGTATAAAATTTAACAAAAAATATACTTTTTATGTGCAACAAAATTTTATACAAGCTTTAGCAAAGTTAATTTTACTCTTATTTAATTTTATTCTATGTAATAACTAAAAATATGCGGCATGTAAAAGATCCCTGGAGTGCCTTATTGGCTCTTGGCATTTCCGGCAAAATTAAATTCCTAGTGCACTTTAGCATCCAAACAGTCTCGGTGCTGCCATCTAGTGTGGCAGAAAATGGACGTCTAAATTAACATGACCAACAGTATCTCCCCCATTGTGGTGGTCCTGAAAGAGTGGATACCACCTCTGGAGAACGCACTAGGTCTGCTCATCGGCAAGACCGATTCTGCAGCTCATTGGAAATAATTCATCATTTGGAATTGCTGCTGATTATTAAAATATATTATTTTGTGAAAATTTAAGCTATGGAATATTAAAAATTATTATATTAATAATTATGTATGATTTTGCACAGAACTATATTTATAAGAGTAATTTCTATTTTAGCTGTATCAAATTAACATTTCTCCTTGTTGCTGCAATCCTAAATAATCATATTTCAAAATTCTCGTCATAAAAGCTTTTAGAAATGGCATCATTTACATTTTTAAAAATTCTCAAAAGCTTGCTTATTTTAAAAAGTGAATTTTTTTAAAAAAAATAGTTGTTTTAGTTGATTTTTTTAATTAATAAAAAAATTGGTGTAATAGTTGTGCATCTGGGTATAAAACATTATTTTCTGCTGCAATTTTTTTCTTCTTTTTTTGCTAAGTTATTATTAAAAAAGAAGCACCGTGTACCGTAAGGGAATATGCAGGAAATCTTTGAGTTGAAGTACTTTTATAGTTTTTATATAATGCAGTTATATCATTATGACAATTTATCGTAATATAAGGGGTACTATTTCTGAAAGTTTAAAGCCTAAATTTTTTCTTTAAAAAAAAAGTGAAACAAATATTTTTTTTTAACTACTTTAGTGAAAAGACACATTTTGATGATATTTCCCCCCACTTATTTTAAAACGGCAGGTTTTGGTTTAATATAGATATAAATATTTAAAACAGGGTTCGTGATTTTTTAAAAAAAAATCAAACAAATCAGATTTTTTTGATTTAANTTGTAAGATAATGAAAATTGAAAATGTATCACGAACATTAACAGGAAAATGGCCGTCCGCGCGGACGTCGGAATTTTTGATCGACGCGGACGGGCTGTTTTTCGAGCCCTGCGACATCGTGTTTTTTAAATTTCAACGATTTTAACCGTGAACAACCACCGTATTATCCGCACTGGTGGATAGTCCGCACCTTCAAGAATTCGCATTTTAAACACAGATAGTCCGCGGACTATACGCGCGAAATTACGGTACATAGCTTTGAATGCATAGCAACCATTTTGAAACAAATGCATGATTGAAATTTAAAGACTAGATGAAATAGAATATAATGCAGATATTAATTCCACGCTTTTTCATTCAAAAGGTAGAATTTTAATTAACATTATTTGCATTATTTTTTGAAAAAAATTCATGTTTATTAATTACTTTTTACAGCTATGCAAGTCTATATTAAGACATCATTAAATGTTTACTTTAATCTATACTTTCAATCTCAAGAATTAAAAGATTTTTAAAAATTTAATTTCAAATGTGTTGGAATTTAACACACACCAAGGAAGAAAGTAATTTCGTTAACTTAAATTAATTTATGCAGCAATTTATTTAAAATAAATATTAAAACTAATAAAATAAAATAATAAAAGTATCAATAATTTAAAACACTGTTTTTTAACTTTTGAAATCAATAAAAATTAGTTGCTTTAAATCAATGATTTTTTTAAAAAAAATCATTTGATTTAAATCATGATTAAAATCGTGATTTAAATCAACAAACCCTGATTTAAAATACCATTCAATAGCTGTTATTCTTAGATATTGATAATAAATTTCATGTCTTCACTATTCACTGAACTGATATTTTTTCGATGCATTGTAGAAGCTTTTTTTAAGTTTCATTGATGTTTACATTTGCCTTTATTTATTTTGTTTATTATGTTTCTACTATTAGTAAAACTATAATATTGATTGTAAATTTTTATATTTGTTTCTCACTAAAAGAAAATCATTCAGTTGTCTTAATGCCTGTTACAACTAAAGAACTTAGTAGAAAAGCATGTTCAGTCCCATTGTGGAAAGTCAATTGTTGGTTTTAAAAACATGCTATGATTTATAAGTATAAAGCACTAATTTAAAATCAAAAGGTTTACATTCGAAATCTAAGACAACTCTTTGTTAACAACTTCCTGATGTTTTGACACATCTTACAGCTGAATTTTTTAAACTCATGAAATTATTTTTTAATGTGTTAGTTTAATGTAACTAAGCAATTAATTCATAAAAAAGATGTTAAAATTAACTTTTTGTTTAATATTTATTTTAGATATGGATAAAAAGAACAACAGATAGCAATAAAGTCAGAATCTACATTTCTCAACTTCAAAAAGGAAAAATTACCATTAGAAGAAGATCTGCTTAACTAATTAAAAAATATCTAAGACCTTTTTATTTGTCCATTTCCATTCTTAGGAGAGAGAGTTTACTATACAAATGTTCTTGATGTAGGTTTTAGTATTATGACATTTTTCGACAAAAATATTTCTAACACCTTAATTTTTCCACAAAAAAAAACATTCAGCTTTGTCTTTTTATCTTAAAAGTTAGATTTTTCTGCCTACTTTTTTATAATGATTTTTATACAAATCTGTAAAATGGCTGATAAAAAAAAAAGCAATTTGCTTTTCCTGTTGAGAACAGTTTCATTTATGTCTGTTCTTTTTTAACTGTTGGTGCTAAGGTAAAAGAAAAGGGCTGCTTTTTTTGTGTATGCAATTGTGTGATACATAAACAAAGTTTACATATTGGTTACAGAAGATGGGTCTAGGTTGTTTTGTGTATGAATCTATGATGGATATCTTGAGAAAAATTCAGTTGGAATCAAGTATTTCTTCTTCTCCTTTCTTCAAATCAATATCTGTCTTATTGAATTTTCACTTGTAATTATCATAATCATTGTATCATTAGCATTTTCTCATGTAGTATTCATTTATTAAAAATATTTTTAAATTTTTCTGTTTAATTTTTTGTCTTAAAACTGTACAATTTTTATATACAGGTTGTTACATATTGACCTCTTTTAACACATATTTTTAGAAACTTTTTCAAAACAATGTAAACATTTAGGGGCCATGCATTAATATCTGAAGAAAAAAAAATCTTATAAAGGTATAATGAATAACTAGTGGGGAAAGTGAGATCGTGCCTTGTAAAATTTGGAGATTTTTCTTATCACAATCATCTCTTAAATCTTCTCAATTTAGTCCTGCAATCAAATAGATTTTAATGTTTTCCACAGGTGTGATTAGTTAGTTTTCAAAAGGATTTTCATTTTTCTCTTGCTAAAATATTAACGTCTCAAATGTCTTATATTTTCATCCGTATTTTAGCTTTAATCAAAAATTCATTGGCTTTTTTTAAAAATATATATATATATTTTTGGTTCAATCAAGTCAGGTAAGCTAAGGCAAAATGAATGTGGGATAAAAATTGAATTTTTAGTTTGAAAGACATCTGAAATCATGTACTTAATTTGTTTTAAGTTTCACTATTGTAACTTATTTTTATAAATAATGAAGGATCAATGGGTATCTTGCATCTTTTAGATTTAAAAAAACAGATTTCTACGAAAAATAATAGCAGTCTAAAAATTATTTACTGAGCAAATTGCTTAATTAGTGTAAATCTAGACTATCATAAATTGGCCACTATCAATAATCAATTAGCATCACTTTCCGTGTTAAATAATTTAATTAATCTCTATTTTGATGAGTTAAATTTCTAAAAACTCATTTTGCTTTTTCAAACAACAAAAAGTCACCAGGTAGGACAATAAATAAGAAGAACTTGGAATTATTTTAACTGTCCTTATATGGCTTTCAGATTGTATAGTGTTGTTTAATATTGATTTATTAGTTATAAACTTTTTTTTCATCCTATACTAGGAATAAGCCAGTTTATAAATATTTTTGAATTTAAAAAATAGCATATAAATTTCAAATTGTTAACCAAATCCCAAATAAATTGATTGTACAAACATTATTTAACATTTTTCTTTTATTATTTAAAACATACTTTCTGTACAAAATAAATTATATGATACAATATGGAATCTAGTTTCATGAGTAATTAGTACTTAACAAGTCTTCATTAAGTGACTGGTCTTTTGACTTGAATTGTAAACTAATCTTATAAGCAACTTTGTTTGGTTCTTTATTATCTAGGGAAGCATCATTTACTTCAACAGATATATGAACAGAACTACCTTTCTTTATCAGTTGCTTCTCATATGCTTCTGCTAAAGGATTTATTACTCGTCGCTCCACCTAATGATAAAAAAACAAGTATCAAAAAAAAAACTCATCATTAAAACTTATTAATTTTGAAATTCTAGTGCATTGTTTTATTTCAAAGTGAAGAGCTATTTTGCAACCTTGACAATAATTACTGTGCACAAAGTGCTATTTCCTCAAAAATATACTCTACTTGTTCTACTACTTTCTACTTTTTGTTCGAAAGAAAACTAAATCTGACACTCAGGAGAAATGTAAAAAAGAGATGGGCTTACTAAGAGTTTTTCTGGGTCAGGGAGACGGCATTTGCTTAAAGAACCCAAAGAATTTGCCTCTAGACTTGTATTTAGTAATATCACACAGTAATAAAGTTACTCATTTTGATAATTACATTGTTTTTGAAACATAAATTTTTAATAAGAAAACAATTTTTTTATTCTCTCAGTGTTCAACATAATTTCCCATGGTACTAACTAAGTTGTAAAAAACTAGCTAAATATTAACTAAAATCTACTAAACAAGAGTAAAATTAGCTACAATTGACTAAAAAAGAGTGAAGAACATAGGCTATACTAAAAAAAACATAATATGTTAGTAAACATCGGTCGATGGTTTTCCAGAGTCATGAAGTTATTCCTCTATAGTTTTTTGTTGTCAAGAGATCAAAAATAATCTTGTATTGTTATTTAATAAGTTATGTTTTCTACACATAATTAAATAAATTTTCTTATTGTATAAGGGTTAACAAATAACTTGTAACTATCTGAAGGATTGTCACAAATTTAATTATTAAAAAATATTCATGGGTACACAAAGCAATAACTGCACAAATGATAAAAATATTTACATAATAAGTGAATTCCTTGATCATTAAATTTTTTTTCTTTTTAAAAAACTATAAAATTTACAATAGTAACGTGAGTATAATTCCTATTTACTTAAGTCTATTCGACTTATATATTGACTTGACTTCAGTTAGTTAAAGCAAGAAAAAATGGATAGTAAAAATGACTGAGAAACACTAGGAAATGTTTAAAAATCGTAAAATAAATTACAAGATATGTTTAAAATCAATGTTTCTAAATTAAAAAAGTGTATCTGAAAATAAGTAGAAGTTATACCTTATGTCATATTGTTTGGTTTACCGGTAAATAAAGGTAGAATCTTGAATTTTTTTTTTTTAAATTTACAAACCTAAGACTCAACTTTAATTAGCTTAGATAAGTAAATAAATAAAATAAAAATAAAATTCTTTTAAATTTAAGACAGTAAAGATGCCGTTAAATATTTTAGTATCCATTACACAATTACTTCATGATACGCTATACTGAATGAAAAATTTACAAGTTTTTTGTACACCTGATAAAACATAGAATGTCTTTAAGTAGTGAATAGAATCTACCATAATATACTGAACTTTCTTGTGTGAAAAGCAAAATGCAGTAAAATATATCATTAGAAAAATGAGAAATAAATTTGTCAAATGTAAAACTTTTTGGTAAAAATTTCTCTATGTTGTAGTGAATTAACAATTGTGAATTAACAGTGAATTAACAAAAAAATATCCACACTCAATTTCAAGTGCTATATTAAATTCTTTGTCTTTTATAGTTAAAATTTATATGTAGTAATAATCAAAACAATTCTAAATCAAATTTATTTTACTAAGAAACAAAGCATAGCAAAAATATTTCGCAACTACTTTAAAGATAAGAGAAATATTTAACGAAATGAAGAAAAGTTTGCAGCCATGGGCCGTATGATTCATTAAACGAAAAACAAAATTATAAAATTAAGTGTATTACCTCATGCTTTATGGAACGAGCACCATAGTGAATATCATAGCCTTCACATAAGGTTTCAAGTAACATTTCATCCCATGACAAATCTATTCCATGTCTTTTCTTAGCCTAAAATCATTAAGCAATAGTTTAAGTATATTTTAGCAAAATGAAAAAAAAAAAGAATCTTTAGCAAGTTTATAACAAAGATTTGGACATTTAAAAAATTGATCATGTAATACTTGTATACAATATATTAACTTTTATTCCTTTGGGATACAATATCTTTTAAATTTATGAAGGTAATATTTATACATCTGAGTTACTCTAAAGTATTCATAATCTCAAAGTCTTATTGGGACAGTTGATAAGAATGCCTGATTAATAAAAAATCTATGAATTTAATGAGCTATAATATTTTTCAAACAATCAGACAGCTTTAAAGGGATGATAAAATTCTTTTTTTCTTCTTCATTGCTTTATTATTTTTATAGTGCTAATGCTTTAAAATTAACATATTTTCATAATACATTAAGTTAAAAAGCAATTAGTTTGGACAGTCGTCATTACAACTTGGAATAATTTATAACTTTTTAATTTGTCAGGTTGTTGATATTTTATAATGTAAGCAAATTATATTTTCTGTAAGTTCTCATCTCATTGAGACTGTGTGAAATCTGGTCCACTTTTGGTGGGCAACCTTTTTCAATTACCGAACTTATAACTGAACCGATTCCTAAGCAATGCAGTGATAAGATAAAATTTTTTGGTTTTCATTATTTTTTTCAAATAAAAGCTAACAAAGAAATCAAAAAAGTAAACATTAAATAACATAAACTGTGATGTGTGTGAATGAGAAATTTGTGTATGAGCAGAAACTGTCCATCGAGTGATGTAGTTCGTTTTGAAGATAGTAAGCGGAAATTAGGTCCTATCTGAAAGAGTTGTAATAGAATTATTTATGATTGTTATGTTTTATATAAATGGTTTTTTATTAGTATTGTCAAGCCTAGTTAGTAATTAAGAGTGAAATACACTACAATAGCAAATATTTTTAATAATTTATAATTAATTTATTCTTTCGAGAAATTTTAATAACTGTTAGGAATGTAAATATATCACGAAACAGTAGTGAGTTTCATTTAATGTTATGAAAATGAACACACAAAATTTAAATGTAATAACGAACTTACTTAACAAGAGATCTGATTCGGAGAATGTCATTAAAATTTTGTAACTCAAGTAAAGAAAGAAAAAAATATACAGTAGGGAACCGATTATCCGGAACGATTGGGACCATCGCTATTCGGTATAACTGATTTTTCCGGTTTACTGAATCGCTACAAAAAGCGTTTTTTTTTATTGTTAAACCCAACTAAAAAAAAATTATTTGGAAATAATCTTAAAAAGAAGAAAAAACAATGAAGTACTACACTAATGATTATTTCCAAAATGATGGTAAGGTAAAAATCTTTCAAAAAAGAAAGAAAAATCCTAAAATCTTATGAGGAAAAAAAATTTTTTTTTTCAAAATGGCGGGAAAACTTATCGAATTTCATTCCGGTATTTTGGTTTTCCGGTTTTCTGATTTCCGGATAACGGGTTCTGTACTGTATTTTAACCATACTCTGCCTTTTGTGCATACAGGCTATTAACAACAAGGAAGTTCACTGTCTTTAGAATAGCAAGAACTAAATTAAAAAAAAAAATAATAATATGCTAAAAATATCACAAATTAGTTATGTTATAAAAAAACTATAATTTAAATTTATTAAAACTGACCGAGTATTTTGTTATTGGGGAATTTTTAAACAAATTTCTTCTAAATACACAACTTTTTCATTGGACAACAAAAAAGAGAGGAAAAAATATTTTGGCAAAAGAAGAAACATACAAAATAAGGCTTTTGTTGTTTAAATGTCTTTAGCCTTTCATTAAAGCTCAGTCAGTTATAAAGTAAATAACAATACTTAACCTACACTTTCTGTCCAATGTTCCAATTCCTTTTGAACTAATTTTAACAATTCTGACTTAGAGAAAGGTAGGAAATAAACTATTTCATTGATTCTTCCTAAGAACTCATCTCTTTTGAAATGCCTCTAAAAAAGAAAATCAACTTCATAAAATAGGAATTGTCCAATAATAAATTAAATTCAAACAAATAAAGGTACCTGGAATATTATACTCTAAAAAAAAAATAAAGAACACAGTAAGTTTAAATCAAAAAGTTATGCTTAATATATAATTATCTTCCTTATTGAAGTAAATGCAATAAATTATTAAAAATAACAGATTATTTAAACAAAATGTTAGTAAATAAAGTTACTTGAATAAACTAATTTGATTCTTTCTATTCCTAAAAACAACAATTCTATAGAAATACCTTCAGAAAAGAAAAGAAATTTCATTTAACTGGAATTGTCAAGGTAAAAATCAAATTCAAATATAAAAAGGTATCTGGAATATTATATAGGAAGAAAAATGTAAAGTACAAATCAAGAAGTCAAGGGTAGACAGCAGCTTTACAGCAAAGCTTATTTTTTATTATTATTTTAATGTGTGCCTAATATGTAGTTTTTTACTTATTTAGAACATTGATTTTTTGAAAGTGTTTAGCTATCATTCCAAGTTGAAAAATTAATTGCATTCTTAAATTTATTTTAAGAGCTCTCAATAGTATATACACTATCTGGCCATTAATGACCGGACACCCCTCATTTCGGATAGATGAGGTGCTAGTATCAAGTCAGTAGGGCGTGAGGCCGCCACGCGCCCGAATCACAGCTTTAACCCTTCTAGGAAGGCTGTCCACTAGGTGTTGGTACTCGGCGGCAGGTATTGCCCGCCATTCCTCCTGTAACATGGCGAAGAGTTGAGTGGTGGTTTTGGGGCGTTGTGGTCTGGCCCTCAACCGGCCCTCCAACTCATCCCAGAGATGCTCAATTGGATTGATGTCTGGTTTTTGGGATGGCCAGTCAAGCTCTTGCACCCCCATTTCATCAAACCAGTCCGTGATGGCATGTGCTTTATGAATGGCAGCGTTATCGTGTTGAAACACAAACGGGCCATTACCGAACTGTTGCCACAGAGCGGGAAGCGCCGAATTATCCAGGATGTCTCTATACCCTTCTGCGTTCAGGGTTCACGCACTAACACCAAAGGTCCAAGGCCAAACCATGAGAAACAGGACCACACCATAATTCCTCCACCACCGAATTTCACAGTGGGGACAATGCACTCCGGTAGGTACCGTTCTCCGGGCATTCGCCAGGTCCACACCCGTCCATCAGAGTGCCACAACATGTAGCGTGACTCATCACTCCACATAACGCTTTTCCATTGCTCTACTGTCCACTGGTGACGTGCTCTGAACCACTGAAATTGGTGGCAGGCGTTTGAGGGAGAGATGTTTGGCTTATGTGCTGCTGCTCGTCCATGGAATCCTTGTGAAATCAGCTCCCGACGAATGGTACGTGTACTGGCAGCACTGCCAAATGCAACCCAGAAGTTGGTAGCGACAGTGTCACACAACATTTGTCGGTTTGCCTTCACTACACGTCGAAGAGATCGTCGATCCCTGTCAGACATTATTTTGGGCTTACCGGGTCGGGACTGCGGTTTTATCACTCCCTCTCGTCCCCATTTCAGCACGACGTCACCAACTGTTGACCGTGGTACCTGAAACTTGTCGGAGATGGCACGTATGGAATGACCAAATCGGTGGGCGCCTATGATCATGCCACTTTCCGCCTCATTCAGCTCTCGCCGTTCACTCATTTTCATTGTTAACGCTCGTATGGCCGTCGCCTGCTTGCGAATGATCTTTCCCCCACCACAGGTTCCGTATTTATTCCGCCAGGACGAGTCCACCTGCCGTTGAAGGGGTGTCCGGTCATTAATGGCTAGATAGTGTAGACATAAAAAAATATAATTTTTAATGTGCTCTAATTTAAGATGAAGTTTTAAAAAAAGTGAAAATATTCTTTTAAACATTATTTTTATACTTTTTTCTTTCTTAGCAAGTTCTCTTTTTGAAAGTTCAGCAATGTTTAACAATTTCATATAAGTGATTGAAACAGATACGACATACCTTTAAAATGGGATAGACAATATTTTCTTTAAATTCTTTAGATATAGTGACTTTTTCAATCATGTCAGTATTACCTTCAATATAGAAACAAATATTCATTTAAATTTCATTTTGAACTCATGCGATACATTTAAATATTGTATATATATTCCAATTATGCGAACCTTCATGATCACCGTATCTTTGTTTTGCAATTTCTGCTGCTTCGGCCCTCAAGTGAATCCCATGCCTAGCAATTTCATTGCTTGCTAAATTTGAAGTCATAATAAAGATAGCATCCTTGCATTCAATCGTTTTTCCTTTACCATCAGTCAAGCGTCCCTATAAAACATCATCAATATTTTTAAAATAAATTCTTGTGCATTTTGAATGATTATAATAGGACTTCCATAATATTTAAGTTTTAATCTTTATATAAATTCACAGAAACAGATCTCTTACTAATTCATTCAATGTAATATGTGGTAATATAAAAGAAAAATCTATTTATTAACTTAATTGTTTAAATAAAATAATGTGCTTTGTTAAAAAAAGAAGGTAAAATTTTTTAACATTATTTTAATAGTTTTTATTTTTAATAAAATTTGTAATAAAAACTATTTATAACATCAAAGATTGTTAAACTAATTAAAATGAAGCTGGTCAAAGATAATATTCTTAAGTACATTGCTACATATAAACAAAATTCAGACACTTTATTCAGAATGAAGTGTCAGGATTCCGTTTATATGAGCGCTGTTTTGTTAATATGAGTGTTTATATTTGTGCCAATTATAATAAGCAATTTACTGGTTATTTAAAAATATTAAAGCAATTTTCAAGCTTTAAATAAGGAACCACCATCATAAAATTCTACGTGTAACTCAAGAAAATGCAAGTTCCATATATAATTATGAATTACTAAAATTTTTTGGGTTTGTGTTTCACGGAAAATTTAAAATGACTAAATTTTTTATCTTAATAATTTTAAATAAAATCAATAATAACTTGATCAAAAAGTTAAAAAAAAATGTTTGAAATAATACTTTATGAATTTAATTGTACTTATCAATTACAAAGAATACATGGGGTTATTGTGGTTTCATGAAAAAATACCTGAAACTTAAGTCGGAAAAAAGTGTGAAAAGGGACCGAAATATTGAGGTTAATATATATTTGCAGTTAGGAAATCATAATTTATAATTGATATTATCCTGTTTATAATTTTTATGGATGAATAATTGATAAATTTCTTTTAAGTCTTTCCGTGAACAAGAACCATAATGTCCAATTCATAAATCGCATTTAAATGTACTGTGATATGTTATTTGTAAATCGAATTAATAACAGTGTTTTAATGCACTCTCTTTAAGGCTATTATTAACAAGTTTTGTCCTTCATCATAGATTCAATTGCATGAAAATTAAAGAGATAATTAGATATTAAAATAATTAAATAATAAGACATTAGACAAAATAAAACCTTTGTGACGGCTACTACCAGTTTGAAAATAAATCAGAGTGGTGATAACAGCAGCAAAACTATTAATTAAAAACAACACTAAAGATTTGAAAATCAAAGGCCCTCAGCTGCCAAAATTATTAGCCAAATATTTTAAAGCTTTACGAAGAAAAATCAACCTCAAATGCTGGTCCCTCATTATCATATCTTGTTTTAATTAATTATTATATCCCTCTAATGGTGAGATGATTTATAATCTCTTAATAACCAAGTTTTGTTGTAAATACTCAGTAAACAAAAGTATTAACTCACATTTTTATAGTGACAATATGTTAACTTGACAGGTTTATTTAAAAACTAAATATATCATTTTTTTACTTACATATTTTTAAAAAAAAAACATTTTTAAAAAATTTGAAACAGTTTTTTAGCATTGAATAAAATAGTAATCTCAAAATGTAGACACTGAAGCAAGTTAAATAATTAAAGTGTCACCTCGTCAAATAGTTGCAGTAAAACAGACAAGACATCAGGGTGGGCTTTATCTACTTCGTCAAACAGCACAACAGCATTTGGACACTTTTTCAACTGCTTTGTCAATTGACCTCCTTCATCATGACCAACGTAACCAGGAGGTGAACCTATCAACTTAGCAACCTACAATCCCAAAACTCAAATAAACTTTCTTCATAAACAAATTTATTAACAATTACTTATAAAATAAATTAAGGTATAGAAATTTGTTTATTTTTACATTGTAAATAAAATATATCATATTAAATCAAAATACAGTCAGTTTTCAACATTATGAAAACCAGAACATAGAGCGAAAATAGTCCTCATATTGAGATTGCACAAAAATATCACAGATGTTAACCCATAGAAAAAATATGCTAGATTAATTTTAACAAATTAAGGTTTTTCTTTAATATTTTGATAATTATCTGGATAACTGATAATAAAGCAACTTTTTTATGTTAACATGCACATTTAAGTACCTTTCAAAATAATGCTTTATAGGTGGAAAATTATTAAGCTGGTTCAGATCAGCCATCGAGAGAGAGATAGCTCATAAATACCAATAAATATGTGAAGATAACTATAAAAAAAATCCTATTATTTAATTTAAAAATAAATTTATAAGCGAACTAAGAATTTCTAAAATAAAAAAAATTAAATTTTCAGTTAAGAAAAGTAAGATTGAAAAATTTATTTTACCTATGATAGAAATTGTCACCGATTGTGACTGCATTCATTTAGCCTAATGAACAAATATGAGACTTTGACTCTGTAATATATATTTTTGATTATTAGTGTGAAGTAATTTAAATTTCCTTAACTTTCTGATTACAAATCACAAATGCTAAAGATAAAAATATGTAAATATGTCGCTTTTCCTTCATTCAAAGAAAATGTTTTACATTTAATGTGCAGTGGTACACAAAAGAAACACTGGTTTAAATAATTTCTTTGAAACTTTTACTGATTAGAATTAGGTACTTAATTTTGATTGAATAGACAGTTCAGTGCGGAAGTTCTATTGGGCAGTGAAATAACAATGCATCTATAGAACAAACAGGACTTCATGTATTATAATGAAAACATATTTATACACTTTTGTTATTTTAAAACTCATAATTTATAAACTGCCAGTATTTTCTAGCATATAAAACAGGGTTCCCACTCAATTTCAGAAAAAAATTTCCCTTAGTTTTCCAGGAATATTAAGAAAGTTTCAATGAAAATTCAGACCATATTTTACACATACCACACAATTTTTTCATTAGAAGACTTTTGATTTTTTATTTGTTACGTCAAGGATGAGAATAAAGATGAGAGCATAAAAGTTTCAATAAAATATGATATTTTTGCATCAAATTTTTGTAACAGATTCTAGAATTATTTAACTCAATAACTGATTAGTATTACTGACAATCCTGAGACTGGTTATTTTAAGGTATGACATAGGAATCTTTCAGGCTTTTGTGAAAAATTGCAATTTTTCTGCTTTTGAGAGTCAAAACAAAATTCACCGACTATTCCAAGTTTTTCCTGTTCTCCCTGACTAGTGAGAGTCTTGTATAAATAAGCCCAAGCACTTCTAGTCTTATTATCTAGATGTACAGTGGCATATTTTTAAAATTAAAAAATGGATAATTTGAAAATTATTTAATTTAAACAAGTACTGATTAACCCAGAATTTCTTAATGAGTAAATATTAAAATTTTCAGTGAAATCAAATGTTTACAACTATTTTCGTTTTCGTTCAAAAGAAATCAGCAAATTTTTGTAACTTATCATTTCTTGAGAAATAATAGTAAGTAAGCAAAGATTAAGAACTTGAAAAAAGTTAACAAAAGAGCTGAAGTTTATTTTGAACAGTAATGGAAGGCTGCCTTCTAGTCATTACTTACTAGTGCAACTCCAAGAAAATACTACAACAGATATAAAATGAAAAATATTGATCATCATCAAAAATTATTAATAAAATACATCTATTACAGTCCAACTTCTATTTAACGAACTTCCATTTTGCGAATTTCTCTATTTTGCGATTTTTTAAGAAGAACCACGAACATTTTGGAAATTTTTTCGTAAAATAACTTCCAAATAGTGAAGTGAATTTTTAGATTCACTTTTCTTATTTCCCAAAATATTTCGGAACATTTTAAACTTGTTAACGCATTTTATGGGAGAAATGATCTGGAATGGATTTTTGCAGCCACTTAACTTTTAGAAAAAGTGGTAAAATCCCTTTCCCTTTTTGTTTGCATTTCATATAGGTATCCATGCCAAAAATCAATTTATGAGAAAGCATAACAGAAATTTCTAATACATCGAACTATGATATTACAGACTGTACTATTCGTAACAATTTTGCTAAGCTGGATTCTTAGTCAGTGAGGAGAATTTGGAAAGTGCAGAGGACAAAGATGACATTCCTTTAGAAGAACTTAAAGAAATGTGGGTTCAGATAAGAGAGAACCACGAAATTAATTTTGATGTACTGATTAATGATTTTCTTTTTATTGATTCTGAAGCTGCAACCATAGAAACATTAACTGAACTGGATATTTTGGACAGTGCAAAAAATAAAAGCAATACAGCAAAAAATTGTGAGGAAGACAAAGAAGATATGATGAAGAAGACACCAAACCTTCATATGATAAAATGATTTGAAACAATTCGATAGTAGATAATAATTTACACAATAAAGGTGTATCAATTGCTATTTTAATTATGTCTAGTGTTCATGAATTTAAAACCTGTTTTGTGTTGTTTCAATTGGTGTATTGAAACAACACAATTGAAGTTAACAATTGAACACAATTGAAGGATTTCAATTGGTGATTTTCTATTTAACGAATTTTCCATATAACAAACTTTTCATCGAGATTTAGCGACTTCATTAAATAGAGGTTCGACTGTACTTTCATCCCAACCAATTTATACAACAAAACTGGGAATGTGGTCTCTAAATTTGCTCGATTTTAAAGAGATACTTACGTATATCAAATTGCATTTTAAGAAGAAAACAACATATGTCTTTTATTACATATACGAAAAGTAATATGGCAATTCAAAATGATTTTTTATTGCAAAAAATAACTGTCATGAAATAATAACTAAGTAACACCAGCTAGTAAAATAAAGCTGCAATTTGTTCTTTGTATTTAGTTCATTTTTCAAAACAAAAATAACATATTACTATATTATTATTAAAATTTGTTTTTAAATTAATATTACTATTTTCGCTGCTGCAGTTTGTTAGGTAGTAAATTGATAGCAATTGAATATAATTGTCACAAGCTTAAAGAAAGCCTTAAAAAAATTTGAAAAATTGTAAATTTCATTCTGGAAATTTAAAGTTATTGTATCATAGAATGTACAACTTACTGTATGAAGTTAAATTTATGAAATAGAAACTTCTTAATAATATTTAGTTCTTTACTGCAAAAATAATACTCTAGCATATATATAGATAAATTTCATGACCAATATAGTTAATTTATGATAAATTTGCTTTGCATTTACTCAATGTTGAAATAAATTTATAACATAATAAATATGAATTGCTTTGAATAACATCAGAACATTTAAATTTTTTACTAAAATGGTAATTTTCTAAGTTGCAACCTATTAGAGCTTCTAATTTTTATGCATTAAAAAAGACAGTGTTATTAAATTTATTAAGTAAAAATATTTTTATATCACATACTTCGTGTTTCTCTTGATATTCAGACATATCCAGCCTAATAAAACCCTGAAAGAAAAATAAATGTAGCAATTCTTTAATTGTAGCAAATATTTCATTCAAAGAAGAAAATTAAAACATATTTAAGTACTTACATCTTTTTTTTCCTTATGTAAGTATTTAGCAACCTGCTTTGCAAGTTCTGTTTTTCCTGCAAATTCAGAAATCTTATATATTTTTCCACAAATATAAGACAAATACAGTTTTATTAGATAATGTTTTCTTTGAAAAATATGTCAACCATTGCTCTTAATAAGTCTCAAGGAATGCAAAAATATATTTTCTTAGATTTAAAGGACACATTAAAGACACATAGAGTTGATTTATTAAACTGAATTATAACTTTTGAAGTAACAGTTATTTATTTTTAGATTACCATTACATTATTATTTGCAGCTATTTATTTAAAACTAAAAATATTTATTAACGTTATTAATAAGGTTCACTCCAGCAAGGAAAATTTAGTGGTTCAATAGGATCACCTAGGTATTCAATTAGTGGTTCAAAAACTTAATATGGTAGACTAACTTTAAAAAAAATTGAATTTTAGAATTACATAATTCATGTTATGGTACACAACAAAAATTGTTAATTGCCATTTATAAGAGCCTAAAACTAATTAGGTTTATTAGCCCATAAAGATTGAATATTTATTAAAATTAATTGCAAAAATCTAAAATATTAGCGAATAGATTCAACATAGAGATTAAATGGCTAAGACCAAATAAATAAATGAGGAAAACAGAGAAAGTAATAGTTAACAAAATTAAAAATCTAAAAATTATAAAATATGAAATAAAGACAATTCTAAGAGTAAATGATTATTGCTGAACAATTATACTGTCAATAAGTGAATATAAAGTACAGCACAACATATAAATTTAATGTTTCAACATTTAAAATTGTTTTGTACCAGACATTTTCAGTTATTCCAATTGAATAAATCGCATTCGAATTCCATACAAAGGGTAGAACAATAAAATCGGTAGAATAATTTTTTTTTAAATGCATGGAATTAGGTGCCAAAAACTTTTTTTTGAAACAATTTTGCAAATTCCCAACATATTTCAAGTTTGTCACTGACTTTAGAAACATTTGGCGACAGTTGTCACTATACTGGTGTGAACCCTAGTTATTAAAAATACATTATTTAAATATGAAATAAAAAGCTAATAATTTATTGCTATGCAATATACAGAATGTCTACCAGGTCCCAAGAAAAAATCCCAACCCCTCACCAAATTTTAATGCCTTTAAACACAGATAACTCACTTGATATTTTAAAAAATAAAAATGTCTTATTTCCTCCAATTTATGCAATATTTTTACTATGGTTGTATTACGACTTGCAAATTTTGAATTTTAGTTAAAACTTTTTAATGTGCCTAATTTGCGTTGATTTCATCATTTCAAATTGTTTTATTGGTGGTTATTTACAATTTTTTTCCACCATTTCAATATGGGGTTTTTTTTCTTTCAAATTTCAAAATTTTTTAACATGATACTGATTTTTCAGCAATTACTTTTTGATGAGCTTGATTTCTGAAGATCGTATCATAAACCCCATCATCTTCCAAAAATGTTTATGCTTTTTCAAATTTTGTTGTTTTTAAAACGATATTATTACTCACGAATTGCAAATTTGAGCTATCACTTTTTGATGCTCTTGATTTGCGACAATTCCATCCACACATTTTTTTTATCATTTCATCAAATCTTTTAATGTATTCTAATAATTCTCAAGAAATCAAATTTATAAACCTTAAACTTCTTAAAATTCAATAACCATATGGATAAAATTTGATTTGATATTAACTATTCTGAACTACATTTTGAACGAACTCTGATTTAACTACATTTTTAATAAATCAGTTGTAGTTAATTGAATAAAATTAAGTTTCTTCGAGCACTAAATCTATTAATATTTCTGATAACTAATATTACAGTTTAATATACTCCATAAATTGTGGCGTCAAGAAGCTGGGTACCAACTTGCCTGGGTAGTAAAGGCGATTCATGTACAATATCGATCACATTGACGCCATTTTGTCCTTAGTCATAAAATTGTACAGACTTAACTCCCATGATCCCACTATTAATGTAAAATCCTCTTGTGGGAAAGCTTAATTAAACTGAGAAATATTAATTATATTTATGAGATTGTGGCATCCCAGTGGTTAGAGCATCAGACTTTGGACAGGAGGAGACGTGATTTGATTCTCTAAGGCATTAAGACTTACCAAGTACATGCAATATACTGTACTATGGAATCGAAAGCCCTGTGGTCAGTCGCTGAGTTGTACCATGGATATAGGGACCTTGAGAAAATTTCTTGTCTTTTCAGATCTATGTCTAAATTGTGGAAGTAAATTCACAAATGAGTGACGCTGCCATCTGTTCAGTGGGATCTGAGTTAAGTCGCTCTTTAACCCTAGAGGTGAGCTCTTTTCAAAAGAAATGCATGCCTTAATGACCTAATTTGTAAGGCCAATGACTGTCACGCCTTGCTTGTCCAAGTGTCATTAGAAGCAACAACACAGACTAATTCAAAATTTAAGTTCTTTAAAAATTTATAAAAGTATTATCAAATTTAGTGATAAGCCATTTAAGAAAACTGGTTTATATAGCATAAAAATTTTATAATAATGTTAGCATAAAAAATTGATAACCAGGTCAATTTCTTAGTTTAAATTCCATTTCTGCAAAATTTTAAGACCATAATTTTGCATAGTTTTTAGAAAGGCTTACCTATTCCCGATGATCCCATAAAAAGAAATACTAAAGGATGATCTTCATCAGTCCAGCCATTTTCCTTTCTTCTAATAGCTGTAAAATTTTATTTATTCGAATTTCAAGTTCATAATCACACAAATTATAGAAGTCATCATAAACTCTCAAATAAATTTTTTGATCAATAAAATGATCATGTGACTTGCAATTTTAATAGCAGCGAATTTCGCTATTGACATTCCAAATCTTTTATATTTCCCTTTTTTTCATTTAATAAATGCAGGCATCACCATAAGGTGATGAAACTTACATCGCCCTGTTTTGAACAAACTAAAAAATCTCTAAAAATGCCCTTAAAATAAAAAGTAATTCTTTAAAAATTAGCAAGAATTTGAATTTAAAACATTATTTATTTCCAAAATTTGCATATAACATACAATTGCTTTAAAATATTTTTATTAATTCGTTAAAGAAGAGTTATAATTAGAGAAATTTTAATGCAATATTCAGGTAAGTTTAAAATTAGAGTTAACTGATTAAAAAAAGGATTAAGAAGGTAAGAAAATGAATTGATACCTACAAATAATTTTTGTAGACAAAATCAAAATAAAAACATAAGAAAAATTCCATTAAAGAAATGACTAAGCAAATGTTCTAAGAGAGTAAAAGAAATGCAAAGAGAGTAAATGCCATCAAAATCTGGGTCTTAGTTATCAAAAGGAAAGGAGAAAAGGGAAGCACTTTCTTCAATTTTGAAAGGAGCTTTGAGCAGAGGATAGGAGAAAAAAAAGAGTTGCAAATAATCGCGAATGTGTGACAGAAGCTAAATAAGACAAATATAAATAGAGGATTTTAAAATACTAAAAAGGCTAACAATTTTCTTCTTATTTTTTGAATTCTTATGATAACTTGTCTGACATTGAAAATTATTGACAATTACTCGTGTGATGCCAAAAAATGACATTTTCTGCTAGATAGCAACAATTAAAAACAAAAGAATAATATGAAAAGGTGAAAAAAAAATGCACACAACCAATATGGCATTCAATGTTTCTAACCATTTTCATCAATTGGAACAATATATATATATATATTATGTTTTATTTCTAAAAGGGTGAATAAAATTTATTTGGCTGGAATGGGGGGTGAGTTGTTTTGCACTAAATAAAATTTCCATTGTTGCACTATTGAAACAAAATACTGGTTCATAAAGAGTTAGCATATTCAGAATACTTTACATAGAATTCTGATAACATAAAAACTTCTCAAAGGAAAAAGCAATGAACAGCTAGCCTAGCAGGTGATGGGTCTATGATAATGCTATTCATACTCAGATATAAAACATAATTTAAAGTTTAAATATTTGCATTAAATTACAAGAAAAATTCCAATTTTTTTCAAGCTCTTTAACAACTTAAATAAAATTACATTAAAAGATTGCATACAATGAATATTGAAAAAAAAAAGCATTTTTGCTAATAAAAATTATCAATTACAAATACAATACCTGCTGAAACATTAGTAATAGCTCCCTCTTGACCAACAATATGTTGTTTTATTCGCTGTTCTAAAGGGAATCTTCTTCTTTCTGCAGCATCCACTTCTCGCTTAACTTGCTCATACTAAAATAAATTTAATACATACAACAGTTTGAAATAAAAACATGATACATTTCCTGCTTGAAGATAATGAAATTTGAATGATACATTATATTTTTAACTTTATCTATTGTACTGCATCTTGCCTTGTTATAACATTTAAGCTCCACAAATGCATTCCATATTTCCTCAAAATTTTAAATAAATTAAGCTATGGTAAAGTTATCTTTGAAAAAAACTTTAAAACAGAGAAATTTACATCCATTGTGTAATATTTGCCATATATATAATATTTGAATATATATTATATATATGGCAAATAAATTATATGTATATACAGTGAAACCTCCTGTTATGGACACTCCTGCAAAATGGACGCCTCTCAATACGGACATATTTTTAATTCCCCGGGAATCTTCTATGAATAAACCATTACGTACATTCTCCGCAAAGCGGACACTCCCGTAACCGGACGCGGACAGTCATTTTGGTCCTGAAACGTTGTTTTTTATCTCTACAAACCGGACACTACTTTTTCTAAATAAATTGCAAGCTAAAAAAATGCAAATTTTCACCATTTTTAAAGCATGTAAATAAAACTTTTTGCCTTATCCATAACTAAAAATAATTTTAAGCTATTTCACCAGCGAAAAATCAATCTTTCTCCTGTCACCTTGCCTTATCTTTGTAAAGAAAGGAGAGAAAATGGTACTGCACTCCTGAAATAATTCTGATCTTCTTTTGATCTTTTCATCTGGACCACACAGGTTATGAGACCCCTCAAGTTGAAATTGCTTTTCTCAATGCTTCTTCCCCATTGAAAATTTCTTTAATTTTCTTATCAATTTGAAGACTGTATTTGGGGTATACTGGGGTAAAAAAAAAGAAAACAGAAGTATAATCTTTGAGATGTTTATATAAATGAAACATTTATTCAGACACTTGATAGCTGATCAATTGTGAATAATCATCTCCATAGGTCCTCATGACTTACAGTTATGCATTACTTTTTTTTCTGTGAATCATAGGAGGTTTATTTTTCAAGAAGGTATTAACCATGTTCCCTATCAAATGATAAGTAGGTGTAAGGGGATGTGAACCTAATACAGTAAAACTTGTGTAAGTTGACCACTTGTGGTGCATTGTTTTAGTGGTCAACTTAGACAAGTGGTCAACTTATAGAGGGGGTGGGTCATTGTTTACTTTTTCGTTTCCTATATCATGTTGCTATATATTAAATTTTTTTTTTACTTGACTTTNCCCGTAAACGGACAACTCTCATAAACGGACAAATTTTTTGGTCCCATGAATGTCTGCTTAACGGAGGTTTCACTGTATATATATATATATATATTTATAACTAATCTCATAAGCATGAATTCAAATATTTATTTATGGGAAACATTTAAGTAACAACCATATTTTCCTCAGCAATAGGTGAAATGAATGATTTTACAAAAGTAAAATTTCATTAGTTTCTTACAGTTATTTTAAATTATAAGATTGTAATCATCTTATAATATTATTATGTATAAAGCATACTTTTAAAAAAATTGTATGTAAGATATTGAATTATTACTATTGCAGGATTACAGTCCAAAATGGATAGCTTTGTTGAGTTGCACAATGCATTAAAAATGATAAATTTTAGTTAAAAATAAACATTTATTTACTTATTCTAATTGTTATCACAAAATAGAAATAAATGAGCAAAAATAGAAATAAGACAATTTTTATTTTAACTAAAATTAATAATTTAATACCATCCTTTTGTGGTACAACAGAGGGAGATTTAAAGAAAATAACCCATGATAGTCGACGCTTTATCTATTAAAGAATGTTGATTTAATATGATTTTTCCTTTTTCTTTTTTTGTTTAATATTGAAGGTTGGAAACAAAGTTTTCTCCTTCTTACAGCGACAAAGAGAAGTAGTTATTAAAATAAGTTAGACAATCTATATAAAAAAAAAAGTTAGATTTCAAGTAAGCATTTGAAATTTTTCAGAAATATTTCTTGAAATTGAGAATTAACAAGAAACATATTCAGCCAAAATAGGATAAAATTAATGAGAGTGAATTACATATAAAACATGAAATGTGAGTACAACTTGGAGAAAAAAAATTCATTGATTCATAATAAATTCATGAAAAGATTTTTATAAACTTGACAGTTGTTAAATTTATTTTTAAAATGAATAAATCTCTCAAGGCTGATATATTTCTCTGAAAATTAGATATAAATGTAACTTGGAGGAAGTAAAATATACCTTTTTCATATAAGATTGTAACAATTCTCTCATCTCTTCATTATTTGTATAATCTATAGGTTTATGGTTAAGATCATTTGTTTTAAATGGATTTGCTCCTATAACAAAGACAAGAAATAAAATGTAAAATATTTTATAGCAGCAAATTCAGAGAGCGTGACAGATCATTTAGACTTTAAATAAAAACAAAATGTTGCAAAAGTAAACATGAAGCTATCGTTTAAGTTCATCATAAATTTAAAGCTCATTTTAAAGTATTGAAGTTAGGATTTCAAATAACTATTTACTACCAATCCTTAAAATATTGTTTCAAAGATTTCAAGATTCAAAGTGAAACATTTGAGGATTTACATAAGGCATATTCACATTACTGTTCTTTCAGTTTTCAATATTTACAATTGAGGTTGCTATTAGCAAATTTCTAATACAAAAATAAACATATACTTTTAAAGAAAATTATTGCTTGTTTATGTACTTTATTGTATTTTATACTTTAAGTTATACTATACCATATAATAGAAACAAACAAAAAAAAATATAACTGATACATCGTTTCTACAAATTATAGAAAGTTAGAGATTATACTTCAAGATTATTTAACTTTTAATTAAAAATATTTATAGAAAAAAAAAACACTAGAAAAATACAAATGTTTAAAAAAAACAGAGTTGTTGATACTACTATTAGTTTAATCATAGGATAGTTTTAAATACATAAAAATAATAAGTTTTAATTTAAATAAATGCAATAATAAATAAAATTTTGCACATTGTTTTATTATTAACAGATTTTGGTAGCACAGAGATTATTATAATAGCTTAAATAAAAAAACATTTGCTACACATTATTTTATATTATACAAGTAAGGCATGTGGCTTTAGATACAGTGATAAACAATAAATTAAATTTTTATATCTAAATAGTCTAGTTAAAAATTACTGTTAACTAATTAGCCAAAATTACTTAACAGCAATTAACTAAAAGCCCAAGAGTCTATGAAGTGAATATATTAAATTTAAAAATTAAATAACTGAATCAAGTGTCATCAAACAAAACTGCATTAAAAACATTAAATGAATGTTTAGGTCACAGAGTGTAAGATTACATAATTGTAAAAATTCAATTAGGTGTGTTAAGTGGAACAACATTGCAAAGCTATAATAACCAAGTCATCAATCGTTTAATAATCAGTTAGCAATAAGATATTACAACCATTAGCAAAGCAGTGTGTGCACAAAAGTATATTTAGAGGTTTAAATCACTTTTCTTATGCAAGATTTTGATATGACAACAAAATATTGTACTTTTTTAGCTTTATTTTCTAATTATGTCTTTAGATAAATATACAAATGAAGGCCTTGAGACAATATAGAGATAAGCCACATTTTTTCACAATTGTGTCATTTTTAAGTCAAACTGACTCCTTGTACTGTTTCCAGAGAGGTACTTATAAGTTTCTTGAATTTCTATTGAATGACAGCACAATACACAGAAACATTGTACTGGTATAAAAACCACAGTATTTTCCTCTAAAAACACTCTCCTGAACAATCTGAAAATGTAACTCATTATTATACTGTCAGAACTAATGTACCTAATTATTATACTTTTTATTTTAAATCCTTTGTTATGACTGTTATGGAATACAAATAGTCAGAGAGAGTAGTAGAAAAATTATTTTTTTCGCACTTATGTAGAATATATAAGACTATCTTGTTCTCAATTATAAACTTATGACTATGATTATCATAAATTTTGGTTTGTAAGCATCTTAAACAATAATTTTTAAAAGTGGTTAAGAAAATCTAGCTGCAAACTTTTAATTTTATTCTGAATTTTGAGCAGTATTTATAGTACCATACAGAGCTTTAATTATACATAATTAAAAGCAATATTTTATTAAAGAAAATATAAGTAAGAAAATATTTTAGATTGTCTTAACTGAATAGATTTCAAAAAATAACTAAGAATATTTTCTTTAAAAGTTATACAAATAGCATATAAAATGCTCAGTTAAAAAAATCAGTAATGTTTGGAAATAACAATCATCAATTTTTATTAATTAAAAGAATTCAGACAAAGCTAAATTTATAAAATAATAGATTTGAATTAAAGATAGTTACAAATAGATTTTGTTACCAAATGTATGCATTTACACAGTCTTTGATATTATGTTCATATTATATATGTTTACAGTCTTTGATATGCATTGATATATATTGATTGATTTGTTACAGTCTTTGATATACAGATGTGTATTTAATATACTTATTATTTTATAAACGAAAAAAAAAATTAACAAAAAATGCCTCCATTGCAAAAAACTCCTGAGTATGTCATTGCATTAATCAACTGAACAATACAAATTTTGCTGTTGAGGAAATCTTTTAAAATAAAGAATTTTAACAATAGCACCATAAAAACTATGATTTCCAATTTTAAAATCAAGTTTCCAAGAACTATAAAATTAATAATCAACTACAAATATCAAATGTTCTAATAGCAATACATAAATAATAAATTAAAATAATATAGTTTTTACCATGTTTCAAAAGAACTTCAACCAAATTGTAGTCATCCATTAAAACAGCATAATGCAAAGCAGTACAGTTACGAAATGAAGCTCTTAAGCTCAATCTTGGACTGAATTCTTCTTCTCTTGTGGACCAAACTTAAAGGAAAAAGTATGTTTTAAAAATTGACATACTATTACTAAATTTTAAATGACACAAATTTTTGGACAGTTACAAAGTATTGGGTTGTTCGGAAAGTCATTTGGTTTTTCGCAGTAGAAGACTTATATTTTTTTACTGTATGCTTAAGCGGCATAATTACTGTATATTTTGGTAGCTGATACAGCAGTGATGCACCAAACCAGTTTCAGCTAATTAAGGCGCAATAAAGATATTAAATAATCCAATCCGGTGATTAACAACTCGGGAGATCTCTAACACATTAAATTTGTCATATTCGGCTATTTATGATCATTTGAAAAGTCTACGATTTAATCTCATAACTCTACATGTGTTTTCCTCATGTTTTTACAGAAAGAAATTTTCGCCGTCACTTTGAAAATTGAAAATTACTTCTCAAATGTTAAGAGAATCATCCATTTTTGAAGCACATCATCTCTGGGTTTGAGGAGGATTAGATTATCTACAACAATGTTCCGAACTCTATAATTTTTTTCTTTAGACAGTAAAATCTTTACTTCCAATAAAGAGGTCGAAAATCACTTTCTTCGGTTTTTGCAGGCAAAGAACAAAAATTTTATGAGCAAGGAATCATGCTATTGCTAGGAAAATGGCAAAAGGTATTGAACCAGAATAGACAATATATGATTCAATAAAATATTCATGCACTATAAGAAAATCGCCTTTCCTTTTCATAGAAAAAAAAACGAAATTACTTTCCAAACAACTCAATAATAACTACAAACATAAAGACAAAAATTTGCACTTATGCCTACAATTATAATAATTGAAATATAGACCTAGAAGCATAAAAATTTACTAATAATAGAATGAGAGGAATTTTTTAATTATTACCTTCTAAAGAATGAACACGTTTTTCTTTTGCTACTTGATAGACATTGGAGAAATCATCCCCCAGATCAGGGTTAGCACCTAACTTAAGAAGTTCCTCCACAACTCTGAACATAGCAAAACAGAAAATAAGTTAAAATAAAATTTAAACCTTAACAATATATATAATAAATATAATATTATTCTGTTTATAATATTATTAATTAATGATAATAAAAAATTAAACGCTTGATTATTAAATTTCATGATTCGAAAAACAATTTTAAAAGTGTTTAGCTCTATACTTGAAACAATTTACAAAAACTTATGTAATGAATTTGTCGAGCTCTAATTTACATAATATTATTATAGTATGGCTTTCAACAAATTGATTAAACATTAAAAACTTTGATATTTACTTAGTTTTTCCATTAATTGCAGCAACTTGTAAAGCTGTCCAACCATATGAGTGTCTTTGATCAACATTGATGCCATTTGCCACTAATCTAATAAAATATAAATGAATTTTATAACAATATTTATAACAGTATTACAATATATTTAAAATACTGAAAGAAAAAAAAATGAAATTGTATTCTATATTTTTATTATTAACCTCGATTACATTGCTATAAATTTTTTAACATTACAAGGGTAATAAATAATCACCAAAAAGCCAAGAATATAAAATTGTTCCCTAAGTGCTAGTTTTTTATTGAATAGCATGAAACATGAGGAAGTAAGTAGTAGTCTTTTAAGGTTATTGAAAAAAAAAAAAAACTGGATATAAGAGTTAGAAGGTTAAAATAGAGAAACTGTACAAAATAATTAGTAGGTGTCATACTTCACAATTAAGGAAACAGCTAGTACACAGTGTTTTCCATAGGTGTTTTATCACTTAAGAAATAGTATTCTGCCAGAAATTTAAAATAAAAAAAATGAAGAAAAAATGATATGTCACATTGAGAGATAGCAAAGCAACATTTAATTTCTTTGACAAAAACCAAAATTACAAAATAGATATTTATTTTTTGCATCGAGAATTTTAGTGAGTAAATTACGCATAAGGTGTGCTAAGCTCAATTTTGGAATATATCCAGATGTTTCCAGAATATATATAGATGTTTTGAATTACATTTTTTAGTTACAACTGTTTAAATAAGATTAAACATAGTATAATTGATTTTAGCTTAAATACAATACTACTAATAAACTTCTTAATTGATTTTTTTAAAGGTGCCGTAAGTAAATTAATTTCATGTCAGCTGAAATTTTTTTTAAATGCAAATTCTAGATACTTACCATTTTTTCAAGTAAATTCAGCTATTTTATTTATAAAATTTTTATTAAATAAAAGAAATAAAAAAAGGCACTATTTGGTTAACCAGGTGTAAGTACATTAAGTGAGAAGTTATTTTATTTATAATTTTTTTTATTAAATAAAAGAATTAAAAAAACTTCACTATTTGGTTAGCCCAGTGCAAGCAAAAAGTCACCAAAAAGTGCAGTCCTCCGCTAACTTTTTATTTTATTTTTTTAAGCACAGAAAAATAAGAAGAAAAAAAAATATTAGTTGAATTTCCAAGCACTTATCTAATCAAGAAGTGTTAAAAAAAATTAAATTTACTGTTTTTAATTGGAGTCTTTATCGCTTGCACTGGCAAAATACAAAATTTTGTGTTTTCCAACGTAGCTGTTTACCCATCATATAATATATGCGTAAGTATAAAAACATGAGTGTTTAGCACAAAATGTCAACTTTGAAAATTTCATCTGCAAAATACATTTTACCAAAAATAAGTCTTTTTTGCATTGTATAATGCAAAATACTAGTTTGCTTTCAAGACATAAATTAAAATTATAACTTCAAGCAAATACAAGAATAAGATCAAATTAATGTAAACAGCAATTAAAGTTACCTTTTGATTTCTTTGACATCTCCTGTTTTAGCAGCTAAGAAAATTCTATCATCTATAAAAATTAATTAATTAGATTTTGTTAAATTCAAAATCAAATGAAAAAACATTTTAAAATTTTATAAAAGAAACTAAGGGAAGATTTTCAGATTGTGATTTGGGTCAGAATGATTTGTTAAGGCTTGGCAACTTCCCTACAGCGGCGGTCAAAGAGAAACTAAAGAAACGTCACATATTATGTGTTTAAAATAGTTTAGTTTTGACAAACAATAATCACAATTTTTGACAGGACTATATTGATGACAGACTCAAGAAATCCAATCAGATAAGTATACTGTATAAGTATATACCAGACATCATAATTCTGTTAAAATAAATAATTTATTGACCATTCTGAGGATATTTCTGTATTGTGATCTGTCATGCCAACTACAATCATCAAATAGATTTTAATTTTTTTGGCAAAAGACATAAAGATTATTTTTCCGGTTTTCCACAAATTATACCCTTTGAGTTGGTCCTTTTTTGTGGTGTTTTTTTATATTTTTTTAATAGACTATCGCGGATCGCGGCCTTGAAGTTGCCAAGACTTCATGATTATTCAGCTACGGAAATCTTCCCGTCATTCTTGCATCAAGGGTTATAAAGTTTAAACACAGAAAACTTATTAATAGATTTCATTTAGATAAACCATTACAAAAAAACAAAAATCAATTACCCCGGATTTTCTCCGCACAATAAGTATACAGAATTGCAAGGGCAGCAGTTTTCTTAAACCAAATTTCCCTTTCTGAGTAAAAATAATTTTTGTTTGTAAAATATTTTAAAGCCGGTTTACATTCACTTTTATATGTTAGATAGTAAGAAAAGTAGCGGCATTTATTATATTTTGTATGTTGCTTAGGAGCAAAGAAGTATCGTAGGCACCCAACTGTCGAATATAATTTAAGTTTTTTCATATTTTAAATCATTAAATAGAGCTTAAAATTGATTAGTATTTAAATAAATGTTCCAAAATATCATCAACATAGATTGTCAGTTTTTCCTATTTATTGCATCACTTGTACGAAAATATGGCTCACACTACATTTGTGTACTTGCTTGAGTTTCAATTGATACATAAAAGTTCTATAAGAAAAGCCTCATAAAAGATAGCAGGCCATTTTAAAAAACACAGGAACAAAATGCTTTCAAGTTCTTAAAGTCCTGATCCAGCTTTCATTAATCATAATTACAGTCAGCAAGAAATTTTGTCTTTAGATTAAAAGTCCTTAAGAAAAAATTATATTTTTAAAATGTTCGGTTTTACTTTTGGTTTCATTTTCAAAGTATTTGCATAAAAAATTAAACCTGACATCAGTGTCATGCAATTTTGCTTTATTTAATTTTCAGCTTCGTCCTTTATGCGTCTTTACATTGCAAAAGCAGAATTAGTCAAAATTAAAACAATAAATTCGAAATTAAATATTATTCTATTTCAAAAACAAATCTTAACTCTTGAAAACTGGCACTGCAGCAAAATTGACGTCACTTCTCCGCCCCATGTGAAGGGAGAGTGGACGGCTGTTATGTGATTTTAGTTTGTGATATAGAAACATGATAATCAAAGAATTGTAAGTATTATTTATTGTCAAATCTTCTAAATTTTTAAACAAGTACCATAATATTTATAAATATTTCCTGTAAATTTAAATTCGACGCAGTTTTTGTTACAGCTTTTATTTTAGAAATCCAAGTAATGAAATTAAGCAGGATATGGTTTATCTTTCTCTCATTCCTTAATTAGATCAATTGAGTGTTGCTTTTTTTCAATTGTAATTGTTTGATTTAGGCTGTAAACATTACTTTTTCGCTAATATCACTCTAAAGGCACTTCTGCTGCGAGTATTGTATTAGTCTGAAATTAATGTAAAGTTTGTTTCAGTTCTATAATATCAAAGAAATGTGTTTTCTGATTCTTTTTTCTAATTAAATTTTTTATTTAATTAAAGAGTTTGCCAACATTTGTAAAGTTAATTTTTATTTTTATTATTGTATTTATGTATCACCATAAAAATTAATAAAAACTGTTTTAAAGGAAAGATATGTATAACTTTACTATTAAATTTTAGTTTTGCTATCCAGTGACTTATTTTAAACATAATAGTTATTATATTTGTTTATTTTTTTAAAACCAAATTAAAAACATTCAGTGTAATAATTATTTTTTGCGTCTGCTTTCACCCAAATTTGTCTCTGGAAAAAAAATTTGGAAATAATTTGAATTTGCAATGATAATGTTTTTTTTTTTTATGTCTGTGTTTTTAACAGTTATGAATAATTATTATTAATTCAGTTCATTTAATTTTTTTGAAGTTTCATCATTTCTTAATTTGACCTCATTTTAAACATTTTATTATAAACTCATTTATTGTTTTAGTCTTAATTCTTTTCACTTAATTTGATTTAATAGATGCTAACTACTTTATTCACTAGATGATTTTATTTTATAGATTTATAATTTTTAATCTTGAGGTTCTTTATGTATACATACATATATGTATATATTTATACACATATAAGCATGTATAAATATTTGTATACATACATATATGTATATATTTATACACATATAAACATGTATAAATATATATATATATATATATATGTTGGTTACTTAATTCACTTGATGGTTTTGCTTTATTGACTCGTTATCTATTTTCTATCTCAAAATTTTTTTTTCATTAAATATATATACATATATAATAAACAATAATACAGGAAGATAAAATTAATAAAAAGCGTTGTGACTTATCTGCAGCTAATACCACCACATATCTTTGAACCGAAAATGTGTTAGGTTTCGTTATAGCAATGTGGCAAACAGCAATTAGCTATAAGCCATGTCTCTATTGGTTGGACCCTACACTATCAATAATAACTGGGGAATGCAAAACTTATTTTATTTATAAAATCACATATGCTTCTTTGAATAGATTAATATAGTATATTAACTAATTTGTCTACAAAATGCAAATGTTGATTTTGAAGAATATTTTTATAATTCTTTTATGTACAGTTTATTTTGCATTTGATGTCTTAACTTACTCGCTTTGTATTATTGAAAGTAAAATTTTTTTTCATACTGTATTTAAATTCATTTATTGTGTTAGTAGCTTAAATTATTATTTTTATTTTATTAATTTTTAATTACTTTAATATTTTTAAAATACATATGCAAGTTTCAATGTAAAATTGAGCTCATACATGCTCCCTTAATGCAAGTTTTTCATATCTTTATATATTAAATAGTTTTTCTATAAAATACAGGTGTTGGTTATATAAATTCATAAGGATATTTTTTTTTATGGACACTCTATTTCTTACTTGATATCCCTTAGCTCATTTGCTTCGGCTCACAGTAATGTGCAATTTCTTGAAGCAAATAAGTTTTGCATTGTTATTAGTAATATAACTTATTTTGTTTTTCATGTTTTCAGTCGTGTAGTTCTTCCCATTACAGTGGAAGAGGTAAGTAAATTCATTATTTTTCTATTAAAGAATTTCATGTTAATAATTTTTTTGTTTTTGTTTCTACATATAGGATAGCTAACTTGTGTTTGAAAGTTAAAACAATGATAATGGCTCTTTTTAAAAAGCTAGAAAATCATCTGTTGCAAAAAATTGTAATTATTTTTAATAGCTCATTTGTTTTAAGGGATATGGAGGATCTCAAATATATCATTGGAAATAATGGGACATATTTTGTTTATTACAATTTTCCAATTTTTAATTTAATAAATTAAGAATTATATAGTTGCAAATAATTAAAGGTGTTGTGAATTATTAATTGCTATTTTAGAAATATTAATTTAATGTTCAAAGTAAATATTTCTGAATGTAAAGCATTCCATAATGATAAACTATTCTATTTATTTTTGTTTGAAAAAAAGTAAGATTTCAAGGGCATGCCAGAAATAACCTTTGTCAACATCTGTCATAGATAACCTCATTTATATTATTATCTCCAGATAAAGGCTTGCATAGGAAGGGAAAATTTATTTTAATGTTGAAAAGTATTATTTCTTCTTAATTTTATTTTTGTTGGCCGGCATAAGAATTTAATAAAAAATGCATATTTCCTTATTTTTATTTTGTTCTACTAAGTATTAAGGGACTTTTTTTTATTAATAATTTTTTAACTTATAAGTATTTAACTCCTAACATAGTTTTAGATGTGGGGACATTTTAGGTTATCTTTTCCTTGATTATCATAAAGAGTATTTGCAATAGGCCATGATCCAAATTCCATAAAAAGAAACAGATTCCTTTCTGTTGGAATGTATTGATGGCAATGTCCTAATTTGGTAGCAAGCTAAATATTTTAAAGATTAGGTTATGCAAGCTGTGCAAAAGATAAGCTTTAAAAAAAAATAATTAAAGATCTCTATTGATATGTTAGTTAAATTAGAGTTAAAATATTATCTTATGTAATAATACTAGATAGATAACAAAATTGTATTTTTATTAAAATATTTTGACACGTGTTTAAATTTATTAAAAAAAATAATCTTTAGTTCCTTTTTTTTTAACGATGTATTGTTATAACATACCCTATACATTCTATACCCTTTAGCAATCAGGGTTCGTTGAAATCACGATTTAAATCATAGATTTAAGAAAAATCCTTATAATATATGGATTGAATATTAATTTTTTGATGAATGACAACATTTATAAACACAATCTGTTGCATTTATTTTGTCATTTTATAAATCATGAGAAAGAAAAAAGAGATCACAATTTTAAAATTAAAATTATGGTGTGCTAATTGAAACTTTGTGTTACTAGTTAAAGTAGTATTCTTTAAATTATCTATTTTATCTTGTCTTTTAATTTCAATCATGACTTTGTATCAAAATGGTCGCTATGCATTATAATGAAAAATTATTTTAGAAAGTTAGAGCTTCTAAAATATTGTTATAATATAGTTTTAATATTAATTTAATTTTGATTAAACATTTATAAAGTTTTTTTAATCATAAATTAAAGCTCTTATAGTGTATTTGAATAAAAATAAAAAAATCTGATTTAAATAAAAAAAATCCGATTTAAATCAAAATAATCCAATTTTTTTGATTTTTAAAAAAAAAAATCAAAAAAAATCACGAACCCTGATAGCAATAGGGTTATGGTTTTACCTGTTATTAAAAAATATTTTTCTATTTTCTTAACAATTTAGTTTTTAATTACTATTATTTACTTCAATATACATTCTTTGCTTGAAATTTTTCTTTTTGTTTATTAGTTTAAAATAGTTGTTAAAATTAATTTTGTATTTTAAAATTAAGTTCTAAATAAAAATTATAGCTGTCTTTGGTATAGTTACTAATTTATTTTTGATTAAATATTTACAGTACCAAGTTGGGCAGTTATATTCTGTAGCTGAAGCCAGTAAAAATGAAACTGGTGGTGGAGAAGGAATTGAGGTGCTCAAGAATGAACCTTTTGAAAATGTACCCTTGTTGGGGGGCAAATTCAATAAAGGCCAATATACTTACAAGATTTACCATTTAGCCAGGTATATTTAGAATTATTTTTCAATTATGTTATTTGTACTCTTTCTTTTTCTGTATTTAAAATTAAAAATAATTAATTGCAGATTATTAATTACCAATATATTTTGGTTAATGTCTAACTCAGTGGTTACCAACTGGCGGCCCGCGAAGCCTTTTTTTTTTTTTTTTTTTTTNAAACTTTTTTTTTTGTGGCCCACGAACTAAAATACATTAGTTGACATTTTTTTGCTGACAATTTTCATAAAAATTCTATATGGGTTTAAAATACTTTTCTCGTTTAAAAAAAAGCCCAATTTCTTCATTTCTGTGAAATTGAACTTACCAACGGTGCAAAAAAAATTTATTTCTCAGGTTTTGCATCAAAGAAAATATTTATTCAAATGCAAAAATAATCGTGTATGTTGCTCTTTTTATTTCGTTTTTTTTGTATTTTGTGAATATAAATTAGCATGTGCATGTCTGAAATTTTCTCGAAGAAATTCTCCGACTCAACAATTTGAAACCACTCATTTTGGACAAAATTATTTACATCTGTAAATTTTAAATCTAAAATGTAAATATCTATACTTTGATGGTTGCAGCAGACAAACCTCATTGAACATTTTGTGTGCTACTATGTAAGTTTTAATACAAACCTTTTTAAAGTTTTATATCTTAACAATTAGATATCTGTTGCACATTAATTGTTTAATAAATAAGTGCACATTATAGTTATTGTAGCCAGAATTTTTTAATATGCAATTAAATATTTTTAAAAATCTAATTCTTATTTTAATTTGTAATTCAATACTTTTGTTTTGCACAACTTGATAAAAATTTTTACAGTAATATTTAATGTTCCTTCAAACATAAAAGAGTAATATATAAAATAAAAGTTGCGACCTGTCATTTGACTGGTGTTTCTAATTGTGGCACCTGGCCTCATGTAAGTTGGAAACCTGGTCTAACTGTTAAATTACCTTTTTTTTATGTCTTTTATGAATTAGGTATATATTCCAGTAGAATCAAAAAGCAGTTCTTTGGGTGTTAAATATTAGCAAACAGTAAAGTGTTTTTTTACTTGATTAAATCTTTTGAAAAATCACTGTTTTGAATCAAGAATTATTTTTTTATATATATAATTGCATTTTGTAGAGCAGAGCAAACATTTTTGGAACTTCCTAATGTAATGTGTTTGTATAATTCATTCTATTTAGAATTATAATTTTTTGTGTGTCATATTCTGGAGCTTTTGCTTACTTTTTGGTTCCAAAGCCAGGATGATACAAGATAAAGTGTTTGCCTATCGACGAAGCAATCCAGGTTCAAATACTGGCTGATCAATTTGTCTACTGTTTTGATCTTGCACTGGCTACAATACTGACATATCTCCAATGACAGACAAAGCTTGAGTTAGAATTTATTCCATTAGCATCAATTTAACCATAGTTTTTTTTTCCCCACTTAATGTAATTTCCTTCAAAAGTTTTCCATTAAAGCAAGTTTTTCCCATTGTTTGACCCCCAGAGTTCTATTGTGTTTTGGGTTAAGTTTAAAATTACAAGGCAATAGAGTTGAACATTAATAGTGGTAAATCTAGTATGCATCAACTATTCAACAAGGGTGATGGAAAACTAAGTGTTTAAAGGTTGATGGTGTACTATTATCTAATATTTTAAACACTATTAAAAATAAACTATATGAGTCTGAACTAGTGTTTATTTTTCAGTAAAGTCCCTGCATTTATTAGACTTCTGGCACCAAAAGGATCCCTTGAAATTCATGAAGAAGCATGGAATGCATACCCTTATTGTAAAACAGGTATGTTTATAAAATTAAAACTGGCTCCATAATCTTGAATACTGTGTTTAAAAAAATATTTTTCATGACTGCTTAGTTTTCATTTATATTTGTAGTATATTTACTAAGTATTATAATTTTATTCCTGGGCATATTTTTTCTAAACATATATTTAGCAGTATTATATATTCAATGATGTGTGGTTGAATTTTAATAAATCTTTTATGTTATCAAAGTTTTAATTTTTTATAGATAAATTAAAAATTTGCTTAATCCTCCAAGCTTTGAGCTTCCGAGTAAAATAATAAGGCTACGCTACATACTACTCTCCGATTGAGTTACATGAGGAAAACTGGTTTTTGATGCAGGGAAGCTTGCAGCTAAAAGTTCGAAAAAGCCAGGATCTAACAATTAGAGGGTTAAATTTGATATAATTGTAGTTCTTTTTTTTTCCTGTCTATTTTGATTTTCATAGTAACTCAAGACTAAGCCAGATATTTTTGAGGAGTAAATTGATTTATTATTAATATTATTACTAAAAAGATTAAAACTAGTTAATGTATTTCAGAGACATATTTTCAGTGAAATAAAAAAAAAAAGAAATAAAAATATTTCTTTAAAAACAAAGTAATATATAAATTATTTTTCAAATTAAGCAATTACTATAACAATTATCTATTAAATTCCATTAATAGAAACTGTTCAGAAGTGTACAATGATTTTAAAAGTTATATTCTTGGGAAGTTTTTAATTTTTGCTCTTAACTTGATTTTTTTTTATTAAATCACTTATTGAATGAAAATTGGAAAGCTTATAAAAAGAAAAAAAATTGTTTATTAGCAAATTGCTTTATAATGGACTCTAAATGTTGTATGTTTTTCAAGTAAACTAAATGAAAAGTGAATATTTGGTGCATCTTTAATTCAATATTACATATTTTTGTGCTTTAAGAAATTGCATTTTGTGTTTTTTCTTATAACAATTTTGTACTTGAGCTTGTAAGTGTCTTATTGCTTTGAATAAAAGTTTTCCTAATGCTAAAAAAAAACTTATTTTTCTTTCATTTTCCTGTTGTCTCATTTCCTGCAGTCATAACTGTAAGTAGCTTTTAATTATTGTAATATATTAACTTATTATTATTTAATTTCAAGTTATAGTTGTCTGTTTAATTTACCATTACAAAATATTGAGTTTTTTGTTATAATTGTTATACTTTTATTATTTTATTTAGTACATAAGAGGCTGTATTGTGAGTAAAAAGCTATATTTATCAGGTTAATAATATCAGGACAACTGTAAATGTGCTATAATTATCTTGATTGTGCAGGGTTGCCACAGAAATCATAGAATTTTATCAATCAAAAAAAATTTTCTATCGCAAAAATTCTCTAATATTACAGACTATAGAAAACAAAATTCTTCAATAAAAAACCTATACTTATAACTATTATCTTGAACTTTTTTCCAATAAACATTTTTTTATATCTCAGATAGAAAAGTTGGTAAAAATGTTGATAAGCACTTAAAAATCTTAAAGAAATATATTTTTAATAAAAGTAATGTAAAAAATATATATATTATCCTGTCGACCGTTTTTGCATTTAAAAACATTGAAAATGAATTCAGATTTGGTTTAAGTTTAAATTCTTATTTTTTGCATGGAATAAGCTATATTTGTATTTTGTCTATTTTTTTTATGATTAATTACTTTGTAAAAATAAATTTGGGTGATACCAAAAGAATCCAGGTGCAGTGTTGGCAAAAGTGGTCATTGGGATAATATGTAAGTATCAAAAAAAATTTTTTTTTAAATTAAAGTATTCAATAATCAATATTTTCTAAAAAAGTGAACTATTTATTCTGAAATAATCCACTCCTCAGTCCTTAAAGTAAACAGGAGAGGATAATTTTTTCCTTTCAAATTTGACTAAGAAGAACGCTCTTGGTATTTAAGCTTATGTAATATCAATATATATNTTTTTTTTTTATTATTTACATCTCTTTTTGTAGTTACGCAGTTTATGATATAATTTGAAAAATTAATCCCTGTATTCAGTGCAATTAACTAAATATTTAATGAGGTGTGCAACATAGCATATCGAGTAAAAGTTTGTTCTCCAAATTTTAAACCTCTTAGTTTGGATGCAAATGATCATCTTCTCTTAGTTTCTGTAAGAGTTTACCATGCAACATTGTTATTGACAACTTTTAAATCCTGCTTCTTTAAAAATTGTTTTTAAAATAATACCTCAATTTTTAAATGTTTATACGCATTGAAATAATGTATCTAGAAAAAGCTTTCTTTAGGGAGAAAAAAAACCCTTGAATTTGGTCTTAGTATGGCTTGCATCTATTTCTTTTGCCATTAAATACTTCATTCAATATAAACAAATCCTATTTTTAATTTCGTAGATGCCATCTTTTCAATAAGAAATGTATCTTTTTTCTTTCAATTTTAAGTATGTTTCTCAAAATTCGGAACCTTATCTAGAATTTTGCTTTACTTTTCTGATACATGTTGTTATATTGAAAATAATTGTTTTTTCTTAAGTCTACTAATATTTATTTTTCAGAATCCAGATTACATGAAAAATAATTTTTTTATTAGCATTGAAACAATGCATTGTCCAGATGCTGGTGATCAAGTTAATGTAAGTTTTTTTCTTTTTTTAACTTGCTGCATCAAATTGCATGTTTTTCACTTGCATCACTCTATCATGATTTGTTTTAGTCTGATAGTAGTTACTAAAAAAATTATTTTGTTCTTATAATCTTAATGAATTCACTTTGCACAAGTTTGCAGGTTTGTTTTGGTTTCATTTCAAACTATAAAATTATATGAATACTTATGTTTGTTGAACGTGATAGAATCATATGATACATTATAGAAGTTTTAAGTTGTACTTAACAATATTAGCTTATTTCTCAGTTTTTTGTTTTAATTTTTAGAATAATAATAAAAAAAATTATTGAACTTACAAAAATTTAATTAAGCTTTGATTTTTTTAGAAAATGATATGTCCAGTCATAATAATGCTTGGTCTAACATTTGTTTGCTTGAGTTTTTAAGTTATTGTTTATAAAGCAAAATCTCCAGAAAAAATGTAATACTGTTTTTGACTTTTACGAAATTCATAAATTATTTCTAAATCGACATTTCAACAACACAATTAATATTTTTTAAAATTCGGTTTCTTTTTATGATAACATTTCTAAAGTGACAGGCAAATTTACGCTTTTAAGCACTTTGAAAATACTTGATTTATTATTGAAAGAAGTTATTTTTTACATTGCTTCTCTTCTAAAAACTTCTTTAAAAGTTTAATAATCTATTAGACTGTGCCATAAGGTTTTTTTCTCTTCAAAATTTGTTAAATTTTTATTTATTTTTTTTCAAAAATATATTAGTTCATAACTATAGCATTTTATATGATCTTAAAAAGTTCTTAATATCTTTTTTATTGAATATCTTAACTTTATGGATTTTTCAAATCTATTTATCTCTAAGTTAAAATTTATATTTTTCTTCTGTTATATTTGTATCAATAATATCAAAAATCTGCATTGATGTAAGGAAAATTTGGTAAATTCTTTTTATTCAGTGTAGTTATCATTTGAATATTATTACAGACTTATGTGAATATATCTCATAATTTTGAAAGAATAACTGTTTTTCAAAGAGCATTTGATAAGCATCTTATTCGCCTGCAATGCATTTAATGGATTGCAATTTATTTAATCTTAATAAATTTGGATTCAATTATGCCTAATAAATAGTTCATATGTTTAAACAAACTTAATTTTTGCACTTGTATTTTAGGCCCATGAATTGCCCCCAGAGAAACTTAAACATCGAGAAGTAGTATTTATTGACATTGCAAATGACTCAGTTGAAAGTAGGGTAAGTAAGTGCTTAGCTTTTTATAAAAAATTTTTTAAAAATTACTCGTTGTGTATCGTATGTTAGATATTGATCAACAATTTGAAAAATCAATTTAGGGATATAGATATGTGCATTTTGCCAGACTCTGCTAAGAGAATCACTACTGTGTTTTCACTAAATTATCAAGTTTGTAAACATATGGTGCTGCTGAATGAAAAAAAAATATTTTCTACTACTTGCCAGACCATTCCAACTGAAATGTTTCCAAGGGCATCTGCTAGTTTTGTTCTTAGACTGTCACTTTGTTGTTGCAAATACGGATAGCTTTAAAATCATTGATTTATAATTTTTCTCAGTTAGTAGAGCCATCTACTTATAAAATCTGTATTTCTGAAACTTGATGCAAAGAAATTTTATGGTTTCTAAAGCAAAATGGGACAAGTTTTACACTTCCATCTCTTTTCATTATTTTTCAATTGAATTTTCCAATTAAAAATCTTTTTGGTGCCACCCTGTAATAAATTGTTTTAGATTTATAAATACAAATCAGTTTTTTTATTTTATTATTTATAAAAACGATAATTTAGGATAATGCATGCATGAAAAACTTCAGTTATGGGAGATGATAAAATGCTTAAACTCATTTTATTATCTTTACTATGTTAAAACTATTGAAGTTAATTACAAAAGTGATTTTGAAGTATAACAGAACTTCTTAGTTTTTTTTGTTGGTGAGAATAATTAATAAATTTTATTAATTTTAATTAATATTTTGCATTAAATATCTATATACAATATATATCTAGTATTTTGCATACAACTTCTAATCTGCAGTAATAGGCATGACTGTCTGCTCAGAATACTTTAAGTTTCAATTGAAACAGAAAAATCAGGACTCTCTCATATAAGGATATTTTTCTGTCCTATATAAATATATAAGTAATATATTCATTTGTAAAATGTGCTTATATTGTGGCATCAAATAATCACTTTTCAATATACAATTTGTATTTAGGAGGTGAATTTGGTGCCATAGAAAAAGTACAAGGCTTCACAGCGTATAAGTTAAATAATCTTATTTTCTCAATGAAGTTATGTGTTTTTGTATGAAACTTTGAATTACCAATATTAGTTTCCAACATTATGTATTGCTATGAAAATTAAGTGAACACTTTTAAAGGTTGTTATTTTTCAACCAGGTTGTAACATTCTGTCAATCAGCGAGTTCAAAAGTGTCGATTGATGTTATCTATCGAAATTCATGATTTAGTTTTTTTTTTATTATTTACATCTCTTTTTGTAGTTACGCAGTGATTCGCCTGGATTTCAAAAGTCCAATGATAAAAGATTAGAAATTGTGGTTCATAACTTAAAATTTTTGGATATGATTTGAATTCCCATAATTGAAATAAGTGTTGAATTTTTTTTCTTTATTTAAATTCAAAGAAGTGTTATTAATCTATTGTCGTTTCTTAGGACTATAAGCCAACTGAAGATCCCACAAAGTTTAAATCTGAAAAAACAGGAAGAGGTCCATTAGTAGGAAATTGGCAAGTATGTTTTTATTCACTATAATTTTTAAACTTGTATTTTCGCCAATGTAACAATGCAGATTAAAAATTTTTAATTTTTGTTTAATTTAGATTTTTTTCAAAATTATATGAATTGAAGTGGTAAATATGAAATAAATACACTTTTAAGATAGCTAAGATATCTAGATTTTTAGACTCTTAAGTAATATGTATTCATTAAATCTGTCTATTTCTTAAGATTAGATAATTATTTTTAAAATGTTTTTAGTTATATTTTAATGCATAAAGTAGGCAATATTTTTATTTATAAAAGTCTAATTAGGAGAAAAGGAGCTGAACAGGGAAGAAAAAAAATTTATTTTCACAATTGTTTTTTTAGTATCTTATATCATTAGATTTGCATAATTTAGAAATCAGTTATTAAAATCAAACTAGGTTTGATTGGTGTTGCAATTTTTTAAATTTGATTCAAGTTTCAATCCTAGAACAAAATAAGGCTCTAGAGAGGCAAGTAAGTGTCAACTAGCTATTTTTTAAATGCTCCTAAAATAAGTCGAAACAATTTTGTTAAATTGAGGATTATATTTATTGGAATGTATATTGAGATATACACCACACTCAAAAAATTAAATCAAAGAAGAAAAATTTTTCATAGCAAAACGCTGTTGGATACACCATAAAAAATTTTATTGCATGAACAATCACAAAGCTAACGAATCTGTTACAAATGAATAATTAGAAATAAAATATATGATTAAACAATTGAGAATTATCAAAATAGTTATTATATATACAAGAAAGAATATCTGCGATTTTTCTCTAAATCAGAAATGATGCATTTTAATAATTTTTGTGCATAATTGTGGTTTTAAAATTGTGCATAATTGTACTGTATAAAATTTTTTGCAAATTTAATGCAATACTAATTTAAAATATCCCAATTTTATATAAAAAAAAAGTTATTAAACAGCTAAGAATAATTAAAATACAATAAATGAATAAATACCTCTTTATTAACTCAAAATTGTGCTATATTGAACAATCACAATAGGATCGCATCTCTTAATTGAAATTTAATTTGAAATACTTCAATATAAATAAACCAAATAATTAAACGGCTAAAAACCCTTAAATTTTTTTCCTTTCTTGTGTTCATAAAATTTTAAATTTTAAGATGTTGAATCAGAGTTGATGCACTTAATATATATATATATATGTATTTTTTTTCTATTTAACCTAGAAAACTTCTTCTCCTATAATGTGTGCCTATAAGTTAGTCACTGTAGAATTTAAGTGGTTTGGCTTACAAAATCGAGTGGAATCATTTATTCAAAAGGTAAGCTCAAGATTTTTATGATAATTGTGTGTTTCTAAATATAAAACTTTTGTGAAAAATATTATCCACATTAATAATAGTTTAATCTCATATTAGTTAGAATAAAGAACTTTTTGAGAGTCCTTTGTCAAATGTTTTATTGATTTGTTTCCATTTAGGAAACATTTTAAGATCTCGTTTAACCCTTTATGAGGCAATGAGAATTGTACTTCCAGCCATTTTAATTGATTTTGAGATGTTGATGGCTTTCTATTTTCCCACTTATGATTTGTGAGTCTATCTGTTAATAATTTCAGAAAATACCAAAAAAGGGAGAATTTTCTTGACATAAATGTGGGTAACAGTAAAGGTTCGCCTGTGGTCAAGAAGAGAGACCAATGCTATGAAGCTATCTTTTTTTGTGCATTCGTTTATTTGATCAATTCTCATTGAGTTTATTTGCAATCATAAATATGATACTTATATGTTCCATTATTTTTAAGCACAGACATTTTTGCCAATTCTTTATAGTAGGTAAAATTTTAAAAATGCCGTCCACTTTCCAATCTCCTAAAATGGTCTTAAATTTCAAATTAGTTTTAGCTAATAATCTCAATGAATTTCATTTTATGAATCAATCTCAATCCCAAAAATATTTAAACATAACATTACTAGTAAAAAATGCTCATGAAATTTAAAATAATGATGGAGGAAAAAATGGCTTAAGAAGTTAGTAGATAAATTAAAGGCAATTAGAAGATTTTCTTTGAAAATAAAATAAAAATCAATTTCTTATTATTTACTACTTTTCACCATTTACACATTTAACTTAGTAGATCAGATATTTTTTTTAGCCGTGAGAATAAATGGCATATTTTTAGACCCTTTGATAAGGAAACTTAACTACCATTACTCATTAATAATCTTATGTGTCAAATAAAATTTGCATAAATTACAAAAGAGGAAGTGAAAAAAAAATTATATAATATATCTTTTTAGTGCTAAAACTATTTAATTTGTTATCTCTGTTGTATGCAATAAATTGTCCTTAAAGTAGATTAAATAGTGTAATAGTTTGTAATAGTTTGTGAATATATGTAATAGTTTGTGATTGAATGGCTTGATGAATAAAGCTTGCTGAAAAAGTTTCATCCAAAATTAAATCTTTAACTATAAATTCTTGTAAAATTGTTCAATAAGGAATTATAAAATTTATACTACTTTATAAAATAAAGTTAAATAGAATGTTTTCCGCTCATATGAAGAAAGAGGGGTTATTATCTCCCAGTTATGTTTTGTAAGATGCAATTCAATTGGTTTCTTATTTTTGTTGAATTATTTAAATATGTCTTAATTTTGTGTATTTTAGACAGAACGACGAATTTTTCTGAACTTCCATCGGCAAGTATTTTGTTGGTTAGACAGATGGCATGGAATGACTATGAAAGATATTAGAGAAATTGAAGATAGAACTAAAAAAGAATTAGATGAAGTAAGTTATTGAGATTATGTAGTTATTAGAAAACTTTCTTGATACATAAGCTAATTAGTAGTAGCTAATTAATCCTCTTGCTTCTAATTAAATATTCATTTCAAGAACACAAACTTTTAAAACAAAAATTATTAATATTATATATAAATATGATGTACAGTTTTTCTGAGTTTGATGAGTGATTTTATTTTAAATACTTTTTTTATAGATAATGAGCTATATTTATTACACTTATTTATATTTTATTATTTTTATATCAATATATTTCAATAGCGTAACAAATTAATATTAATCGAAAGGAAATTAAATGTTGAATGCCTAAAAAAAGACAATAGAAACATGTAAATATGTGCATTGAAATTTTAAAGCATTCAATATTTTGAATTGCAAACATTTGGAATAGTGAAAAGTTCATAGTTGTCTTGTTAGCTTTTTGTTCTTATAAATTTGATTTTTGTGAATGTTCAGAATATCCTATTTTCTATTATTACAAATGTAAATTTTAAAGTAATCGATTTAAAGCAATGAAATATTTAAAATTTTGTTCAAACATTTGCTTATTTTTATTAATACTGCTACTAAAAAATCATAACTCTGGAGTTCAAATTTCGAGACTGTTCACTAATTTTGTGCATGGAACAGACGTATAGCCTTACTCACAAGCTTCAAACTTTTTGGAAATTCAGTAATTTTATGAAGAAAAAGAAAAACAGAATTAAAATTATTAAAATGTAAAATGTTAATGCCTGGTGAGGAATTCAGGGATCATGTGTTTATTTATCATTTTCATCTAACACAGTCGCAAATTTTGTCGAGAGGAGCTTTGTATTATCACAGTTGTTGATTCATTTGAATACGAAAGATCAATTCCAATCAACAGTTCAATAATTATATCATAGAAATTTTAAATGGTGAATTGAGGGATCATCCACTAACTTTCTTTTCAACAAAAATGTTAAGTGGCATAATCACTGTTTTTATTTTGTGATAATTGAGACCTTAGTTTGAAATTATTTGATTATGGAAGTCTTGTTCTTTTATTCAAGTTTGAATGAAATATTGGTATGAAGAAACATAAACTAAATGATACTATTTTTTTTAGTGCAACAGTGTCATAAATATTTTCTAAATATTGATTTTGAACTATTATAAGTTGTTCAGATGTTAATAAAACACTAGAAACTGTCAAAACTCTGTTCTAAAAGTGATTTGAAAATTCAAAATATAATGTATTCTATTGTTCTTTTGAAATAAAATTTACTTTCTTTTATTTTACAAATTGATATAATTTTTTAATGTAAGTTGAGTCAAATTGTACTTTTATATTTTGTTGTTTGTCCTTTTTAAAAGTAGTCAAGTATATGTTTACTGGTTCAAAAAAATGTTTATAATTTTTTCCCCCTAAAAATGTTGTCCTAATATCTTCTTTGGTTCATAATGTGGCCTGAATAATGTAATATTTATTGTGCTTTAGTATTTAATTATTTTAATTAGTTTTTTTTTATTATGCAGACTAATCTTTCTTTATGAAACTTTTTTAATCTGTAAAATCAAAATGATTTTTAATTGTTATATGTATAATTAGATTTTTTTTTAAAATTATTATCAAATTTTTTCAAATTATTTTTGTTTTTATATGATAAGCCAAAGCTGGATATAGATTAACAAAATGAATCTTTGTGTGCATTTTAAGAAAATAGTGATGCAATTTAAAAGAATATTCTGAATGATAATGAAAATATGATACCTAACCTAGCAATTGTTCATTCTTATAATATAAGGGCTGGTAACAAAATATAATGCATAACCGCATTTTTATTCAATATTTGCAATCGCATTATTAACTCTTCATAAATCTGTATAACTGAAATTTCTGTATAATGCAAAGCCTCATGTTTCAAAGTTTGTGTTAAAGATCTTCTGCTGTATTTATATAATACGTTTAGTATAGCATTATTTTCCTAATCCTGTGTTTTATATAACACCATGTAAGGCAAAACCTTATTTTTTAAGGTTTGTGTTTTAAAGATCTGTATAATACTCTTAGCATATCAATGTTTTCTAATTCTGTTCTCTATATAGCACAGAATTCCATTTAGTACAATGCTTCATTTTTCAAGGTTAGCGTTATAGAGATCTGTATTTATATACTCTTTGCAAAATAATGTTTTCCTAATTCTGTGTTCCTCCTGTATTTTCTTCTAAATTGACATTTTCTCCCCTTCTTTTTTTGTAGCAACGCAACAAAGGAACTGTTAGAGGCACTCAAGGTGAGGAATGACTTCAAGTGGTAACATTAAATCAAGCATATCTGTTCCAAATCACCTATGTAAATTCTGTTTCTGCCATTTCACTGTCCGGAGAACATAAAACAATCTAATTCTTTTATTCTTTAAATACCCCCAAAAAATCGTTTTAGAGTATATCATAGTGATGTAATTGTACTACGACTAAGGCACATCCAGAATTGTAAAACTCTAGACTGAGACAGTGAGTTTAATCCATAGGGAAGTTGTGTATAAACCATGTGGTAGCATACAAGCTCTCATATTCTTCAGATCAACTAATTTCTGTGTTATTACTATGTGTAGCAGACTTAGTTGCATGTTTAATTGACTATATAAAACCTAACCATACTTTGCAAGCAACATTCAGATGTGTCTGGCAATCTATATGAAGTGTTAACAGAATTCTTTTTAGACTAATTTTTAATCTTTCAAATGATTAAATAAAAGTATGCAATTTTGTAATGATATTTGGAATTAAGAATCACATTGCAAAGAGTAGAACACCTCCTAATGCACTCACACTTACTTTAAAACCAAACCTAATCTTTTAGTTGAGATTCTGTATTTAGTTTTCTTAATATTTTGTTTCAGAAATTTGACCTGAGCTGGTGTAGTCATTCATTCATCCACTTTTGTTTAGTAAGTTTATTTTCAGTTGTCATATTTACTTTTCACCCCTTTTAGTAAAAAGTGTGTAGATTTTTTTTTTAGTAGCAAATTTTGTTTTTTTGAATTTTTGGTAGTGTTTAGCTTTTTTTACTTTATTTATATCTATTTTTCTTAAAGGAGTTGTTTTACAATTGTTAGTGATTATTTAATATATTTCAGAGCTTTTTATATGAGTGTGTGAATTAAAGATTGTATTGATTGAGCTTTCAAAACTTTATCAGTATAAGCAGATGTAGCATAATTAAAATTTAGTAACTGTTTGAAGAAAAAAAAAAGCTGTGTATTTAATTTTTAGGTTTGCAGAAAATTTAAATTAATTTTAGTTTTGTTTTATACTTAATTTTTTTTTAATTTTTATTATTTTTGTGCTTAACAAAATTTATCTAGCACTTGTATTTTATTTGTATTTCTTTTGGAAAATATTGAGTATTAATGTGTAAAAATTAACTAGTTTGTAACAAAATATATATTTAGCTTAATGTAAAATCCAAATAAACTATCTTGTTGTCTTAAAATTTAATAGTTAAAATAGTTTAATTCATGAAAAAGGTGCAAGTTAGATATTCCTGTGATACAAATAAATTTCTAGGGAGGTATACTCTAATTATAGTATTAATGAATTATTGAAGGAGATATTCAGAGTTTACAAAAACATACACACACAAAAAAAAATATGTTAGAATATATTTAAATTTGAGGGAATTTCTTTCCTAATAATGAAGTTAAATTTTCTTGCATTTGTATGTAAAAAAAATTTCCGCAGTTTTGTTTTTACTAATAAAAAAACAAAAGAGAGATTGTAATATATGATATTACTGATGATAAAAGCATTGAGGGTTTTGTGAAGTTCGTAAATATAAAAGTGTAGAGAATGTGCTTCAAAAAATGAAGAAAATTATGCCTATCTAATGAAGCTGACTAAAAGATATTCTATTGGAACAAAAAAAAATACCTATCGTGTAAATTTTAAAATATATTCAACGTTTTTATTCTTTTTGCCATGAGAACCAGTATTTTAATTATTTAACAATGTAAAATTTTGTTTCCTAATTCTTTTTAAATCAATGATCGACAATCTTTCTCTGTTTTTTTAATATTGTATAAATAACATAAGTTTCTTAAACCCTTTAAACATTAAGCATCTTTGTAAGTTTAATTGAAATTTTCTCCTCTGTACATCATTTCCCATTGAAAAACATGGGATTTGCGATGCAATACTGAGAAACAACAGAAGTTAGGAAGTAGCTGATCCTCTCAGAGGATTAAATAACATAATTTTGTTCTGCAATGTAAAACAGCTAATTGCTAATTTACATTTTAAGAAGAAGCATAGAGTTTTTTTAAAACTTATCTTGTGTTAGGTGGTAAATAAATAACTATATCTGATTCTTGCACTTAGAGCTTTCGATTAACTGGCTAACCTTAGGTGATTATTCTGTGCAAAGTTAATTAAATTTTTGGGACAAGTTTTGGTTAATATTTAGCCAGTCCCGCTTAAGTAGATTATTTTTATGAGTTAATTCAATGTTAAATTTAGTTCTATTTATTTAATTATTGTAACTAAAATTAATATTTTATTTATTGTTATGTTTATTAATTCAATAGAATTTTTTTTTGACTGAATTTCATTTTTTTCTTATTGGTCTTTTATTTTTATAATTTATTTTGTTTTATTACTTTATTATGCGTTTTATCTTAAAAGGTTTAAATGACTATGATCCGCCCAAAGCTAGTATGTACATCAAGTAGAGACCTATGTGAAGTTAGGTAATTATGAAACCAGACGTCTATTCGAAGCGAAGCACACAGTTGAGTTCATACTATTTTGGACATATTGAATTATATGTTTCGTATTTTTTAAGTGAAAGGTTATTTTTTTACACAATTCTGTGATTCTCTCTAAATGAGTGAATCATTGTTTATTTAAATTTTCTAACTGTATTTTTATAATTTTTGTAATCAACATAAAAGTTATGGACATTCCATCTCTGTTTCGATATGTTTTGTTTTATTAATGGAGTGACTTTTTTTCATTGTTACGTTTTACAAATATTTATGTGCTGTGCGGAAGTTGGATCCATTTGATGTTTAGTGATTCTTTAGAAGATCATTGAATTATTTATAAGTGTGATTTCGAGAGATATTATTGTAGTATACGTAGATAAATGTTAATTTATTACTGTCCTGTGTATGTTATTAATTTATCGGTGATATTTAATTAAAATATATTTGTAAATATGCTTTTTTTTAAAAAAAAATTAACCTGCTTACTAGCATGTTATTTGGATTTAACTAAATTTAGTCTAGTCATTTTAAAGTAAAATTACTATTTTATTTTAAATTGATACATCTAGTTAAAATGAATTACCAAAGAAGTTTTAGTGGTGCATTCTCACTTTTTACCTTCATTCTGTTAGTATTTATTTTGAGTTTTACACTTAAGATAAATTAGTTTTTAAATGAAAGAAGAAAACATGTTAAGCCACATTTTTAAGATTGTCTAATATCAGACTGCAATTCTTGAATTAGGCAGTTTTAAAAGATTTTGTAAACGGGTTCAAAAAAAAAAAATAATATCTGGACTTCATTTAAAAAAGAAAAAGCTTAAGCTCTGTTGGTTTCTTCTAGTTTTGAGTTTAAAATTAACTTTTTTACTAAAAACAAATTTATCTAAGAAGTTTTATTTATAAATTAAAATGTGGGATTTCTTTCAATCGAAACAGAAAAACTTATCATACCCCATGCCTCATTATACTAATACAAAAATATACAATCATAGTTTAACGTGTAAATCTACAATCTTTGTTTTTGGTGATTTAGGAGGGTACTAAAAAAGTGGCACATTATTTGTGAATTAACTTTAACACTAGTTCTAATTTTAAAAAAAAAATTAAGTTATCCAAATCAGAATAAGGAATAATCAAATGAACAATAAATAAAGGAAATGTAAAATTGTACTGAATTTTGATGGGTTTAATCAATTAAGTTTATCAGTCATTAAATCTCATCATTCTAAACTATAGTTAGCATCAAAATACTATATATTATATCAGTATTATAGAAAGTTCGGACACTTAGATTTTATAATTATTCATTTGTATAATCATTTTTAATTCATTTGCATTATTTAGCATAATCAAACTTTTTTTAATTTTTCTACATTTATAGGTTTTTGATAAATTTTCGATTTGCCCAATGAATTTGTCGAAACAGGTAGCCATTTAAAATCTCTTGTTTTTTTTTTTGTTTTTTTTGGAGGGATGTGTTAGCTTGGATATTTTGGTTACCAGATAGTGAACCCTATTTTGTTATAAGCTCCTAGGTATTTCTATACTCTCTAGCACTAATTTATTCAAATACATTTTATGTGACTTAACATGTTGATTCACTTAAGTACTCAACGATTTGCTATATATTTCTGTTGGTTACACAGATTGTTTTTAAATTAAGTATTTAAAAAAAATATTATGTATGTTATAAAATCTCTATTAGTTTAATTTTTATTTTATATCATAATTGAAAATTTCTTTTGTCTACTTATCAGTTGTGAATACTTTGTGTCTATAATAATATTATTCAGTCTAGATGTAGAATTCAGCTTCTAGATCTAGTGACATTAAAATAGGAAATCTTTATTTGTATTTCAAATTATCATATAATACATAACAAAAAAAAGTGGATTTCTGTTTTCACTGTAAATAGCATTACTTTCTATTTATTTTATTTATTAAGATTAAATGAAATATAGACACCCTTAAAATATTAACAAGTATTGCTGCTAATTTGTTTTTAAATACTTAATGCAGCTAGTAATTAATATTTTTATTACTAGTACGGGTATTTATTAAGGATAATGCTGATCTTAGTGATAATTATGGGAGTGTAATCAATTATATTTCTAATTTTTGAATTAATGCTCGTTTATATATTTAAAAAAATATTAATTATAAGTGTAACATTATGTCTGTTCTATATCAAAAAAAAAAAGTCTAGCTTTCAGCAGAGAATTTGTTTGATTTAAAAAAAAGGGAAGATATAAGTTATCTATGATTTAAAAAGTGTTTAGTGATGTGTTTGTTATTAATGTGATTTATTTATTTTAATTTATATATTTTTACAGCTTGTTTTTTTTTTAATTTTTCTATTTCTATGGTGGAAATTGTTCCTTTGTATGTAAAGAATTAAGTCCTGATATATTTTATTATATATTTATCTTTTTTTTTTCAAATGAAAAATTAAATTAGGAATAAGATTATGGGAAATTCAACTATTTCATTTTCAGGAAAAATCTTTTAGATAAAATGCTTTTATGGTTATATTTGCTTGTTGTTTAAGCCTTTTTTCTCTTTTTGTGTATATTACAGATTTTATTAAAAAAAGTGAAAAGAAACAAAATGTTCTTTTGTTTGAAAATAAATTTGTTGAAAAATGAAATTATGTATCAATACTTTTTTTTGTGCATACAATTATTACAAAAGTAAAATGCTTGCATTTGGTTGGTGTAAATATAAAAATTGTTACTGTGTAATTATCTTACTTATGTGAATAACTAAATTCTTTTAAAATTTGTTAAAATATTTATTCCAGTAATTTCATCTACTTATTAAATGTGTATCGCATGCAAACAATATCTTAGCATGCGAACAGAAATTTCAATTTATAACTAGGATTATTAATCTTTCTGATTAATATTCCTTTGTAAAATGTTCGACCTCTTTAGACCTTTCAACAAATTTGTTTTGGGACGCTACGTTTAAAATCTTAATATCGTAAATTAATTTTTGAAATGCAAACTGTTAAACAGTAGTTTACTTATATTTCCAACATTTGCGACTTAATTTTCATACTAACAATTTCAGTATCAATTACAAAACCCTCTCATAAAATTAATTATTAATCTTATCCTATTATTACTTTCCAAACATTTTTTTAAAGAAAAACTTGGATAGAATTTTATTCATTTTCAAAAAAAAAAAATATTAATAATAATTTATATTGAAACTAAATTTTTTACGCACGACATTACCTCTTATTACGGTTGAATTTATTCAAGTATTCTATTTTTAAGTAGTAAAAATTTGTTAAAGTTTGAGCTAAATGTTTTAAATTATTCTTTGCAGCCATTTTTTATTGTATGTAAAGTAAAAACTTTTGTTAACAAGAGTTTACTATTATTTTATTATTTAGCATCTATTGCAAAGTAATTGGAAACTTATATTACTAATTTTTAAGTAACAAATACAGCTGGTATTCTTTGTAAATCATTCAAACTGTGTTTATCTAACACTTAATCACTTATTAAATTTAATTAAATAACTAATATTGTTATGCAAGGTCGTGCAGATCACCCGTAAAGTTGTAATAATGTGGTTTTTGTAATTTATTATTTTGTTATTCTATATCTCTATAGTGAGAAGATCTTATACTGTGATTCGTTTTCTGCATGTGTATGTTTAGTAGTTCCATTTTATTTGAAAGAATTCTCCTTTTATAATAAAGTGATAAATTATTCGAGTGATCTGCGTTTTTTGTTTTAGTAAATGTATGTGTGTAAATTTTATTATAAAGATGATAGTCTTTCTAAGAAAATATTTAATTGTTGAGAGTTATAAATTAGTAGATTGTGAGTAAAACTGCTATCAGTGACTTAATACACAATCGTAAATAGTGCAAATAAAAATATCTTTATATACTTGCGGTGTGCTAACCGAACGCATTTGAACGAAATATATTTATAAAAATTTTAGAATATGATATTTATCATTCATTTAAAGGTTTAAATATTATTTATTGATCAAATTTTTAAGTAATTAATTTTAAATAAAAATTTTATTGATTAATTATCTAAACATTTGATATTTTGTATATTTTAGGTATTTACTGTAAAATAAAATTTTTAATTGAATCCTATTTGCTTATTATTATTATTATTTATTTCAATAAAAAATTTCCTTTTAATCTAAAGTTTATAAATGATATGAAGATATTTTTTTACTTTAAAAAAACGTTTAGCTTTTTTTTAAATATGTTATAATCCCCAAAATACCTAATTTAGCTATATTTTCTAAAATAGCTCAATGTTTGACCTCTTTCTAATAAAAGGCAGCAAAACATCTCTCAAGATGTGTTAAACGAATGTTCCAATGTAAATCTTTTTTTTTAATGTCATGCCTAGACTTGTAAAATAATGCCTCAGTTTAAAATATTAACATTTGTTTAGTTTTCATCAAGGAATATCATTTCACGCTCGTGGTAAGAAGCACTTTACACTAAATATTTACTACATTAACAGTGTTTATTGAAGCTACTGTATACAAAAAAAATATGTGTTGTAGTTGGAGTTGTAGCCTATTTTAAACCGAACTGTTTAATCTAACCGTACTGCCATATTCATTATTTAAATAAATAAAAAGCATGCTTTAACTACTTTTTAACACATTCACTGTATTAAGCTACATGTGTGAAGGAGCAGAAAGTTCGACAAGCAATTGGTTAAAAGTTTTTACTAAAAATGTGTAAACTATGCCATATCAGACCATCCTAATTTTTTAAAGAAAAGAGTATTTTAGTTCCACTTAACACGAAAAAAGAAATAACATGTGGATTCAATACATGGGTACTATTCACTTTTTGATTAAAAAACTAACATTTTTGAAAATTGAATAGAATAAAAGCATAAATATTTATTAGTTAATAAAAAAAAATTATGTTTAGTAAGTTGTGTAGGTTAATGAAGAGGAAGTGGACCACAGAAAAAAAAATTTGCTTCACCTGGGTTACTTGAAATATTTATTTATATTTTTAGCTTTGCAGTGAATTTGTTAAATTGTGTAAAACATATTTATTTTTCTACTATTAGTTCTTATTTTACGTGAAAATGTAATATTTTAACTCCATGCATTCCTATTTTTCATATTGTGCTCTAATTATCAGTCTTTAAACCTTTTAAAATGGTCTTTTTAGTTTTTTCTTGACTATGTGAATGTGTCAGAAACAAAAAAATATATATTATATTATAAAAATAGAAAATTTAACTTATTATAAAATGAAATTATTTTTCAAAATTGTTAGACAATTATAAGTAAATAAAATGTGTTTTAAGTTGACTCTGTTTTGTTTCTCCCAATTAAATTTTCATACAAAAAATATGATTTTTTAATTGTGTATCACTATGTTGTTTCTATTTTAACTACATACTTTCCCAGTAGAAGTCCCAAAAATTTCCGCCAATTTTCAAAAAGTAGAAGAGAAAGAGATAGAAATTTAAGATTTTTTGTGTTTTTTCGCAAGAGACAATTTTTATTAGACAATTTGAACTTGACAATTAACTAAATTTATTCTTGGCAAGTTTCAAAATTCGTTACAAAGCTCTTCAAATGATTCCATGTAAATATTTTCCTTTAATTGTATGATGTTGTTGCAGCAAATAATGGTTGTTTTTAATTTAATGGTTATTTTTATGAATGGAAGACCTCGTTTTATAGTTTTTCTCAATGTCTATGGACGAATTTTGTAGCAAATATTAAAATTTGGTGAGAATAAATCTTGGTTTCTAAAATAGAACGCAGCACACCGTGCATTNTTTTTTTTTTTTTTTTTTTTTTTTTTTTTTTTTTTTTTTTTTTTTGGTTTAATTAGTTTTTCAAATTGTCACTTATTTTTGGCTCATTCAGTAACTTGGAAATATTTTTTATGGATTTGTTTAAGTCAGAACATTAATAGAGTTATTCAAAATGAGAAACTCAATAAGTTTATTTATTGCAAATGCGGGATTATTTTAAGTTATTAAAACGTAGCTTACGTTACAGATTACCGAAGTCCAAACCCTATCATTAGATGAGATTTTAAATTTTTACGATAGTCAAATTTTTTAGGACTTTTAATGTTTTTTTAAAAAAAAATTTATATTTATAACTAAATATTTATAGCTAAATGAAATGAATTATCTACGGATTTTTTTAACTTTTTTCCGCAAATCGAAAATTTAAATAATTTTAATCGAACTAATATAAATAATTGTATTAATTGAATATAAATTAATAGTACTAAATAAAGTGCTATTTTATAAGTAGTTCTAGGAGAATATAAATTAAATTTATAATATTTAAGTGATTTCCTTTCGTTGGTGGTCATCTATGCGTCTGGAACTATTGAGATATTGACTTCTGCCGTCAAATCTTCGATAGTCAGCACGAAATAAAATTTTTGGTTAGAAATGTATTTCATACTTAAAAATGAAAATAATTAGTTCGAGGGGGAAAATACGATAACTTTGAATATTTCTGCGGGGGAAAGAAACGTCGCCATTAATATTATGTGTTCATTTTTATCCAAATGAATTCTGTAAACCGGCGTGAAATTGTTTTTCACCATTCTTCAAGCGATGGTTTTTGGAGCTAATTATTTCACTGCTAGTTTTTCCGAAATG